AGGCAGGCTCCACAACATGTATTGACTGTCCGCCAGGGTATGCCTGCAATGATCCTACATCTGACGAATTAGTACGCTGTTGGCCAGGATCTTACTCTACCGGTAGTAAGACGTCATGTACAGTCTGCCCAGCAGGATCGTAAGTACCGCTCCAAATTTTTTGTTTTGACATTCAATTTTCAAGATATAATCTCATCTCATCCCGGATAATCCAAATTGGCACCTCAAAAGTTGTTCTGTCGTGACTGTGTATATACTGTGAACTTTGCGCTATTTTTTGTAGTTTTGACCAAGAATGATTACATGTCATTAAATGCTATTTTGTTTTCCATATTTTCAGAGCATGTCCAATTACCACTCAAAGTCTAATAGTACCTTGTGTTCAAGGAACATATTCTGCTGGAAACCAATCAACTTGTACCAACTGTCCACCTGGTTATGAATGTCCATCAACATCCAGTGACACAGTGTAAGTTTTCTATTAGTTTGAAATGGATTATTGGAATTGGTATTAACCATTTTAAAACACATGTTTTCGAGTTGAATCAGAGCTTTTTAAATTTTACTCCTTTTTACAGTACCCGATGCGCAGCTGGTCATTATTCTCTGGGTAAAGCTAAGCAATGTACGCCGTGTAGTGAAGGATACAGTTGTCCATTTGTGGATCAAGCAGGAAAACTTTGTTCACCTGGCTCGTACAGTGGACCTACAGCTACCAATTGTACCACCTGTGAAGCAGGATATTTTTGCCCTACCACAGAACGTAAGTGAATTTCGATGATTCTAGACATTCATGTTCTTCAAGATGATAAAGGATTGACACTCCTTGGGCCGATGTCAAACCTTGTCACTTTTGTGTATATTTTATGAATTTACCCAAGGTATATAATACAGCAGGAAAAAGGTTTTGTATCCCCTTTCTCTGTATGTGTATCAGGAACATTATTCACCATGTTGATATTATTCGAAAAATAAAACAAGATATGCCTAGTGATTTCACAAATTGTGATTCAATTTAAGAAATAATTAATGATTGGATGATCTGCTTTACAGTTTCGAAGAAAACTCAGTGTCCAGCAGGAAAATATTCGACTGGAAGTGCAACAGCATGCAAACCGTGTGATCGAGGCTATCAATGCCTTGCAGGCTCTAAAGAAGCTGCTCCGCCAAGCCAGGCTTGTCCTAAAGGTGGTTGGTGTGATGGAAAGATCTTCATACCTTGTGTAGCTGGCAGATACAATCCATTCAATGCTTCGACAAGTTCGGAAGCATGCGTTACTTGTCCACCAGGTATGGTTTAATGCACTCATTATTTATAATGCATATCGGTACTGTAACTCTGTTTACCTAAATATTAATACAAATAAATTGTAAGAACTATATTATCTTTCCAACAGGTATGTCGAGTTGATAAATCCATTGTAAGAGGGGCATGTGTTGGAGGCATATAACTATAATACATAGAAACATAATTCGATTTGAATTTTTCAGGTTATCATTGTAAAGGACCGGGAGTGATCGACTATTTGCCTAATCTTTGTCCTACTGGTCATTATTGTTTAGAGGGAACAACCAGTAGCACCCAATATCCATGTCCAAGTAAGATCTTTTTGGAAGCATCTTTGTATCATTTATGTTGAACAGTGTAGACACTTTATCCCACTGGGTGCATAATCTAATATCACGACTGCAAAGTCATATGTTAAGAGGTCGAAGTTTTTAGCCATCAGTTTCTATGACGTCTTTCGATATTTTCCTTTTATTTCACTTTCATTTTGCTTCAGGTGGGACATACAATGAAGAGAAGAATGCAACCAGTGATACAGCTTGTATACCTTGTCCATCAAGAAAATATTGTCCGGAAGGATCATCGGTGAATGGTGTAGATTGTCCGGCAGGGTTTTACTGTACTGGTGGTCAAGGTTCGGGATTCCAGAATGCTTGTCCAATCGGGACATACAGCAGTCAACTGAATCTACACAGTATGCATGCTTGTGTTATTTCAAACTTGTGGTTAAATTTTCGCGAATACTGGTTTGCCATTGTTAATCATACAATCTATCCATATTGAAAACAGTGGCGTCCTTATAATAATGTATACAAAAGTCCTTTGTTCACAAAGTATATATTATAAATTAAGGCCCCGTTTTTTAAATGGTGTGCGCGTTAAAGATCTCTCGAAAATCGAAAAAGAAATGACAATCTTTCGCTAAATGCTCACTGTACTGCCTAATAGCCGGTTTAATGAAGGGCAGAAAAGTTAAACGTTAATTTCCACTGAAATGCATAAAAATGATTATCTTAATACTATTTTTCCAGATGCAAGTGAATGTACAGAATGTCCAGCAGGAGCATACTGTCCAGAAGGATCTCAAACTGAACCAACTGTGGCCCCTATACCATGTGATCCTGGTAGCTATAATCCCGATCCTGGAACTGGTCACCCTATAAATTGCAGACGATGTGAGCCAGGTTTTGCGTGCCCCTTGATAAATCAAGTTAATTCTACATTGGCTTGTAAAGAAGGTATGACCTAATTATTTTTATACGTCTTGTTTTGTCATTTATAATACAAAATAAGACAATCCGTGAATGGTGGGTGAGCAGCGATATTGATAGATCGCTTTGACTTGTCTTTAAATATACCTTTGGAAATAATGCCTACTAACAAAAATTGATGTATATATTTATCGTAAGACTGTATGGTAATATATTTTTCTAGGTCATTACTGCCCCCCTGGAACTATAACCGATGATCAGTTCCCGTGTTTACCGGGTACTTACACTGGAAAAACAGATCTACAGCGAGCAGATGAATGTGATGCATGTCCCCTTAGCTTTTATTGTGATTGGGGAACCGGTATGTATATAGGAGAAATAGAACAGTGTATATGAAGTCAACAGGAAAAAAATCCAAAGACAGACAAATTGACTGTATGCGTCTCAATAAAATGGCAATATGAGGAAACAACATGGTTTTTTATACTCTCTGAAGTAATGTTGACTGAGTTGATAAACCCAGTTGCAGATTGGAAAGTCTCCTTGAAATATTTCTATGATTTTTGACAAAGCTTTCATTGATTAGAATTAACATAATGTTCCTTAACTAAAACTGGATTTTTACTTCTTACAAAGGAACATTTTTATATCAGCATTTGTACTTTTCAGGAGAAACAATAAATCCACCACAGCCGTGTAAACCTGGTCATTATTGTCCTCTTCAAACACCAGCTCCAGATCGGTATCCATGTCCTGCTGGATCGTTTTCTAACAGATCAGACCTATACATGTCTTCTCAATGTGACGAATGTCCAGAACAATATTATTGTAACGGTATGTATCATCCAATACTACATGCTCCCATAACGATTAAGTAAACTTATCCGCGACAACCACGGATCTGTGTAATCACTGACATTCTACCTTTTGGGCTTTCATTTGTTTACTTGTTTACAGAGACATTTTCGACATTTATAAATTCATAATTTACTTCTTTCAATATGGGTTCTTCTACATTTCAAATTTTAGGTGGAGAACCCACGCCTACGGATCTATGTCCTCCTGGCTACTACTGTCCAGCCGGTACAAAATTTGCTTCACAATATGGTTGTCCTAATGGTACATACAATGAATTTTATGGTAAACCAGCCCTATCGGATTGCGTTCCATGTACACAAGGTAAGCACTTTTATTGACTCATAATCTAAATCTTTGGGCAACTTGGTATTTTGGTTAACAGGGTATTATCAGAAGATCTATAACTAGCATTGTTTAAATTTTTACGTTTACTTTTGACATGTTTCTCCATTTGCTTCTTTTAGCACACTACTGTGAGTTTGCTGTTGGACAGACTGAAGCTTGTCCTGCCGGGACTTACATGCCATGGGGTATTATACCAAGCACAGTTGGAGCAGCAAATACTTTAGTTGGGCCAGGTAATTTATTCATCTTATTACAAAATGCACGGTTCCACATTCATGCAGATTATTTTTTAAAGAGTATGCGACTTGTAGATTTTAAAAAAATGATTAATAGCCTTATCCCATATGTGATTCGGGTCGGAAAGGTGGACAAAATACATCAATGTTTCATGTGATACAGATTTATGAAGTCGTGAAAGCCCATTTAGTTTCAAGAAGAGTCATTTAAATGGATGGGCATGTTGTTTTACAATTTTCAGGAGATCCAGCTAAGAGTGAATCGGATTGTTTGGACTGTCCTGGAGGATCGTTTTGTATAAGAGAATCCATCAACCCTTCCGATTGTGGCACAGGAAAATACACCAAAGTAGGACAGTCAGTCTGTCAAACCTGTGAACCTGGATACTATTGTGATAATGTAACTACATCCGAGGACGCTATGAAGACCATCAAACGTTGTCCCGGTGGAAAGTTTTGTGTTGGTGGTCTGAATGCAGTGAGCGAAGCAACTGATTGCACGGTTGGAAAATATTGCCCCGAAGGTTAGAACATATACTTGTTTTGATTATTTACCGGCAATGTTGTGTGTCATCGAATATCTCGTAAATTCTGAAGCAATAGTCTTTTACATACATTATTCGCTTTTTTGCCTTTTTTGATGCAACGTCTTACATAGCTTAAATAATCCCCTTTTGTCATTCCAGCTACCCCAGAAGAAATCAATTGTCCTGTTGGAACCATAAGAAAAACTGTTGGAGCAGCGTTGGTTACTGATTGTGCTCCTTGTACTGCTGGATTTTACTGTATCGAGGGAAGTTCTGTTGAAACTGGACCTTGCAGAAAAGGATACTATTGTCCTAGTCCAGTTACTAATCCTTATGGACTCAGTCCACCACAGATTGGTGCTTATGGTGATGACCAGGTAAAAACATATGACTATACAATATGATGACAAATGAGCCTTCAATGGTTATGATGGAAGACATGATTTTGACCTATTTTATTATTCATGAGCTCCTTCTTTGAAACAATTGGTGAATCTTTTCTCGATGATGATATTATCCAATTAGATTTATAGAAATGATAAACGAATCCCAAGATGCAAATCTGTTTCAGGAACCATGTCCAGAAGGAACTTATACTGATATATTGGGAACACCAGATTTAGCCAGCTGTAAATCATGTCCACCAACCAAATATTGTCCTCAAGCTACAGATATTCCAATTGATTGTCCCCGTGGATTCTACTGTGGTGCCAACTCTTCTAAACCAGAACCTTGTCCCATGGGTAGATATGGAAACGCAACCAGTAAGTTAACTAAATATAATTTTTTTTTAAAGAAAAGTCTACTATCTAGCTAGTTACTATCTATCAAATACCGTCATTGTATAGTAGGTCTATTGTTAATACTATTAAGCATGTGATGACCACCTATTATCCTACTTAACTAATCTCTTAATTGATTAATCCAATCTTCTGCATTAATGCTAAAATTCCCAAGATTTAATAAAAGGATTATTGTTGAGTGTTGTCGACTGACCGTGGAGTAAAGGATATGTGATTGAGGTTGTCGTTATATAGAAGTGAAAAACAATTGAAGGACCACGCCTGACCTGGTGACCTTTGATACTTTATAACCCATTAATCTGTTGCACTTTCCTGATTATGATTTCAGATCTAGAAAAGTTCGATGATTGTACTCTTTGTGATCCTGGTTGGTACTGTGATGCTCCAGGTTTACTGCAGCCCAGAGCTCCCTGTGATCCAGGCTACCTTTGTTACTCGGGAGCCCAGACATCAGCTCCAACTGATGGTACAACTGGTGCTATTTGTCCAGCTGGAGGTTACTGTGTGTTGGGTAAGTAACTGAATCTTTTGTGTTGTTCTTTGCCAGAGGTTCCAGACGTTGACGGTTTTATACCCGGGACGCATATTAACAGCATTGTTATAATTCTTATAAGGAAAGTGGTCATATTATAAACTTTCCATTCTTAACATGCGTGAATTACTTTCACAGTTATGTACAATTATTGAAGCATTATTGAATAAATTTGAAATATATTTTGTAGTTATGAATCTGCCATTGTTCGATATTAGATAATTTGTCAAATGAAAGTGTCAAGCCACCTAGCATCATTTAAATTAATTTTTCAGGATCATTTGAAGCGAAACCGTGTCCAGCAGGAACTTATAGCAATGTATCAGGAGCTGTGAACCATTATGATTGTTATGAATGTGATGCTGGGTATTACTGTTCATCAATAGCAGGAGGAGAACCAACTGGTCCATGCTGGGGAGGTTATTTCTGTACTGGCGGGGCTAAAACTCCGCGTCAACACATCACCGAGCCAGGTATGCATTGTTACATATCTAGTTCATCATAAACCTTATTCGTAAATTCCTCGTAAAAATATCGCCACCTTTTGCTTAAATTGTTGAGTGCTCTTTTTCTTCCAATTTTTTTTAGCACATGGAATGATACGTGAATAACATGGCTGTGGTTGTTAGCAATACTTTTACACAGACCATATTTTCGTTGAATAAACCAATTGGGTTCTAAAATTTTTATTTTTCATCTTAGGTTATTACTCAGCTAATGGATCAGTAGCTCAACTGGAATGTCCTATTAGTACTTACATGCCTTATTACGGATATCCCGAATGTTTCGAATGTAATGCGGGATTTTATTGCCCGAATAAGACATTGACAGACCAGGCAGCTTGTCCTGCCGGATATTATTGTGGTAATGGTAGTTATGTGCCCACTGATTGTCCACCAGGAACATTCTCTAACAGGTAAATATCAGATGTTATCATCTATTTCTTTTCTATATCATATCTCATCCTAAATCAGATTTTGATACGAAAAGTATTCGTAAATTCGAGAAAAGTTTTACGTTTGGTATCGACCACAGTTAATTTATAGGTTTGTGCTTAAAAAGCCTTACAATTATGTAGTAAACCAACAAATAGAAGTTTTTGCAAATTGCACACCGAGTATTCTTATAAAAATTCTTATTTCAGAACACATCGTGCCAGCATAGATGATTGTGAGATCTGTCCAGCAGGGTATTTTTGTCAGGATCGTGGAGCTATAGAACCAGCTGGTATGTGCAAAGCTGGGCATATTTGTTTCGGAGGAGCTTTAGATGACGACCCAGTTTACAACAATGACACCACTGGTAACAAAACAGCTATCCTCTTCGGCGATACATGTCACCCTGGATACTATTGTCCTGAGGGTACGGCGTTGATGATACCCTGTCCAAGAGGTACCTACAATCCTGATAGAAGTGGACGAGCTGAAGCTTCGGCATGCAGATCGTGTGACCCTGGAAAATATTGTAATGGTACAGCTTTAACTCAACCCACAGGTAGTTTTAATATCGAATTATTATTATTATTATCCTGTTACTTATTATTTGTCATGAAATAATATAACAAAAGAGCACCAACTTAGAAGCGTTTCTATGGCCCCATTCCAGATTTTTTACCATTTCCATAGTAAAAAAAAGGTCCTGTGCACCCTCTAGAAAATTTTGTGGCCCCGACCCGGCCCCTCACCTGACATTTCCTAGAAACGCTGCTACACCAACACTCTTCACATCAAACAAGCACAATTTAGGGTTGAATAGTCATGATCCGGCCAGAATTTCTAAAATAGCAGATTCCACAGAGGTCGGGCATGAAATATGAATCTTTAAAATATCAACTATAAAATGTCACCATAAGTATTTTCACAATCTTTCAGGTTTGTGTGACCCAGGCTACTACTGTTTAGGAGGAGCTTGGATACCTGATCCCATAGACAATGTTACTGGTAATATTTGTCCAAAACATCACATCTGTACATCAGGAACTGATCAACCGAGCTTATGTAGTGTTGGGTACTATGCTAACGATACTGGATTGTCTGAGTGTACCCTGTGTCTATCTGGATATCTCTGCTTTCCTGGAGTAGCACCTGCACTCTGCCCCCAAGGTAAGACTTATTTATACTCGTTTTTATTGTCGTTTCAGAAGTAAAGACCTTTGAAATAACACAATATTATACCAAAATCTCTATTGCATAACATCCATTGTTCCATATACCTTTTCAGGGTCGTATTGTGTAGCCAGTACAGTATTAATACCTGTATCTCAAGGTACGCCATGTCCAGCAGGAATGTTTGGTTCGAGAGAAGGACTGACGGCTGAATCCGAATGTACACCATGTATTGCTGGTCATTATTGTGAAACGCCAGGTAATAACAATTTGATAAAAGATTATTTGCAGACATTTAAATTAATTCTATCTATAACGTTATAGGATGAACAATTTGAGTAGATATGCCAAAAATCCATAAGCTTAGATGTACAAATTATCCATTTTGATGTTTTCTTACATAATTTAAGGTTTACTGAATGCGACGGATAAATTACGACCAGGATATTGGTCTCAGTCAGGCAGTAGTAGTCCTACACCAGAAGATACTGACAATCCTGATCGAGGTGTTTGTCCTAAAGGCTTCTATTGCCCTGAAGGATCTTCAGCACCTTTGCCATGTCCTGTTGGAACATATGGGTAAGTAGAAGAAATTGATAAAACTAAACAAAAGCCACGATACGTTTAAATGGGGCCTGGTGTTAAATGAACCAAAAGGTAGAAAGTCCACCTATATCAATTTTACTTTATAGATTTACTGTTCGATATGGCGACGTTAACGACTGTTTGAAATGTCCTGGTGGTAACTACTGTCCTAATATAAATATGACTCAAACTGGTCCTCAATGTGATGCTGGTTATTACTGTAGCAGTGGGTCTCCTGTAGCTGATCCAGTAGCCCAAGTTTATGGTGATGAATGTCCAACGGGTTTGTACTTTTTTTGACTCTTCAACTTTCATGACCCTTTTGCCAAGGATTGTTGTGAAATTTTCAGAAATTTCAATGTAAATTTAATAACAATTAACTATTCATTTAAAATGATGATGGACGAGTAAAGTATTGTTATTTATTATGGTATATTGAGATGTATAATTTGAATCAATTTGGATACAAAAGAATATCATGGGTACTCTTTGACTGACTAGTTATATCCTTATTTTGTTTATGAAGGTTACTATTGCCCAGTCGGTACCAATGCACCAGTACCTTGTGATCCTGGAACTTTTACCAATCATACTAGAAGTACAAGTTGTATTGATTGCCCAGCTGGCCATTACTGCCTAGTTAATACCAGTGAACCAATACCGTGTCCACAGGGTCATTGGTGTCCAAGTCAATCAAGACTACCATATCAGAATCCTTGTCCAGTTGGAACGTATAATAATGAGACTGGAAGGAGTGTCGAAACTGAATGTCTACCATGTCCACCAGGGTAAGTTTATTGCATACTTCTTCTAGTGTTATTTCCACTTCATTTGTAAATTTTATTTAAATTAAAGACACGTCTTCCCAATAAAATCAAAACCACCAATTACCTCTCTTATCGTGTCATCCTCGAATAGGATTCAAGTATATAGAGCTGTACGTCCACATTAACTATTTAGAAGGACCTACCACTAAAGTACAAAGGATACTATTGTATATATCGCAATACATACTGTTGAAACACTGATCTTCCGTTGTAACAATGTGAAATACATCAATTACTGGCAGTACCTGGGTTTCAAGAGTATATTTCACAACTTTACGACTTAGAAATTGAATATTTCGTGAGACTCTTGTTAAAAGAATGCCGAATTGTATATTTCAGCAAATATTGTGGAAGTACTGGTCTGTCTAGCGATACAGGAGACTGCGATCCTGGATGGTATTGTCTTCAGGGTGCCACATCACCTCGACCATTGGTAGCTTTACAAGGTGGTCAGTGTGAAGCTGGTAATTTCTGTCCAGCAGGATCAGCCAATCAGATACCTTGTTCTCCTGGTACATATTGTCAAGACCCCGGTAAGTTTCGTTTCCTAAATCCACGATATTTCTATTATTGCTTTATTAACGAGAATTCCCGAGAACTGTGTAAAGTAAATTGAAAAAGAAATGACGTTTTTTTGCAAACATGATGTACTGAATAGCTTACATTACTTCTGGTGTAGATGCTACTTCATTCCCAAGAAATTAAATAAGTCATAAGCTGAAACAATGTATGTTTTAATCCGTTGGTTTGTCATCTAAATCTTTCAGAGTTGTCAGCTCCTAGTGGTAATTGTAGTGAAGGATACTACTGTACATCTGGTTCCCCTACCCAAACACCAGTTGGTCAATCATATGGTAAATATATACATTTTAATCAGAACCTAAAAAAAAACATCATGCGATCTTCTCAGTTGGCTAAAAATTTTGTGAAACAACATGTTTAGGTTCTGTTTTAATATTTCTATATCGCCCTACAATTGATGTATTGAGCACACATTGAAAATTTTTCATTATTGTACATTTTAATTATTGAAAATCAGAATAATGCTTCTTATAAGCACACAGTGGTGTTGTTTTAGCCATTTAAAATTTTGTTATTGGTAACCAACAATCATTTGGGCATAGCTCAAAAAGCATAACTATACCCTTTAGATCTTATATGTACTTGCAGTACAAAAACCTGGTTACAACAGACTCTATTCAGTAACTGCCTGAGACAAAATCCGCAGATATTGTACTTATCTTAGTTACGTTCATACCTTTATTAGCTTACGCATTCGTTTTAGGTGATGTATGTAATATGGGCCAGTACTGTCCCGCTGGCAGTTCTAATGGTACTTACTGTCCACCTGGAACATATCTGAATGTCACTGGAAGTAGAACTGAAGCAGACTGTCAAGCGTGTATACCAGGATCTTTTTGTGCTGGATATGGAAACATCCTTCCCACTGGACCATGTGATGCTGGATATTATTGCCCAGTTGGAATGAACATCTCCAACCCTGCCGAGTATACATGCCCACAAGGTTAGTACTAACCTAATTCAATCCATTTTATAGCTTGGGAGAATAATATATCAAACATAACCATGTGGCCCCGTCTAATGCTATTGGCTTCTGCTGGAGCAAGTGTCAACCGGAACAGTAATCATTCTCGAGGAAATTGTTATTATATTCTGTGAAATATTGTTGACCAAATCTTCTATTCTACAGGCCACTACTGTTCATCATCCGGAAGCCATGAACCAATACGATGTGAGAGTGGTACATATCAAGATGAGACTGGACAAGGATCGTGTAAAATATGTCCAGCAGGCTACTTCTGCGATAATGTCAAGAACCCGGTTGTTCTTTACAATGATAGTCTATGTCCTCCAGGTATATATTAGATATTTTTATAATTGATTTTCTTGATTGGATGGTGTTTATCGATATAGTTTCATACAAGCATTTTAGGCTCAGTATAACAATTTGTGCCAGCTAACTTTAAAAATTGGGATTCAAGTCCTCGTGATTGCTTTGATTGATCGATCATGGTTAGTATGATGTACCTGTAAGAAGTAAGTCAGCCTTTATTCGCCATTTCGTTGTAGGTCATTACTGTCCAGCTGGTACCAAATTTGATGTGGAATATCGATGTCCTAAAGGTACATTCAGCAATGCGACTGGTGTACAGAGTCTATCAGGTTGTCAAGATTGTGCAGGGGGCTATTACTGTGACCAGGAGGCCCAAACAGAATACACAAAAATTTGCGAAGCAGGGTATGTATTTTTTAGTTGATAGCCGTATTGATCGAAATAGACCTGTAGCTACAGGGTCTACTGAAAAAATGTATCGCCACCCCTCCCCCCTCTCCTGAAAAATTCTGGCAACCGACCTACTAACTACACATTATATCCCACTTCCCCTCTGAAAGTATTACTCCCCTTCTCCCCGCCACCATTGAACACACAAGTCTGGTCACGGACCTGGATCATAGAATATTTAAGTCCGAACAACACCACATCGAAATTGATCCTTTTGAAGTTGTATTGTTCCACGCACGTGCATTGATCTTGTGAAAACAACTAATAGTCTGAAATACCAAGAGAACATAAAATAACTACAATTTTGTATATTCTTAGCTATTACTGTAGACGTAAGGCAATATCAGGTACACCAGGACAAGGAGATGATGCTGATATTTGTCCTGAAGGTCATTTCTGTCCTCAACAGACATCAGAACCAGAGAACTGTCCACCTGGAACCTTCAATAATATGACAGGATTAACAGCCCTCAGTCAATGCTTAAACTGCACACCAGGTATGTTTGAAGGAAATTCTGAATTTAATATTATAATCACTTCTTCGACTAAGCACATTTGTTTTATTCTAACAAAGGCCCTATATTCTGTTGTATTTTCTTCTGAATTTGGAGTACAAGTTCCAATCGGCTGGGTACATTGTACATTGATATCGTACATTCCAACCAACACCCGTTCTTCTAAGCTGATTATTGTACACTGTTTCGATATTATATTGTAGGATACTATTGTAGCGGTACTAATCTGTCAGAACCAACCGGGCCATGTTGGACAGGCTATTATTGTCCCAGTACAGCATCGAGTCCTACAGATGTTGTATGTCCTGAAGGTTATTTCTGCCCTAGTGCCAGTTTTACACCTACTCCCTGTAACAAAGGTTCGTAAATTTTCACCAACTTACTGCTGACATGTGATTGATGTCCGCTCCAATCAACATTTAAGGTGGAAAACAATTTATATAACTTAGGGTTTCTGTGGTATTTATGAAATGTATGATAAGAATTTGAATCAAAATGAATTTTAAATGACCTTATAGTGATTTAATTCAAACCTTCCTAAATTGAATACATTTAATTTTACAGGAAGTTATTCAAACCAAACAGCTTTAGCTTCTCAGTCAGACTGCAGCTCTTGTCCAAGTGGGTTCTACTGTGAAACTGATGGATTAACTCAACCAACAGGATTGTGTGGAGAGGGTATGTCAAAATAATTATGTTCGTCCAGCTTTGTCCTGATGTATACGATCTTTAAATAATACAAAAACCTTAATCACTGCATGAGTTGATGGTTTGAACTGTTCCCTAGAAACAGCAAACCTTATTTTGCCAATTCTTTCCTTCCAATATGAAAAAGAGGAATCGGTGATCTATCCCTACTTACATAAATCTTTTAAAACGCTTTTTATTTTGTAGGTTACTATTGTCCAGTTGGAAGTGTTTATAAAGAACCAGTTTCAACATTCTGTCCAATTGGTCATTACTGTCCTGAAGGTTCATCCCAGGCACTGCCATGTAGAAATAACAGTTATGTAAGTATTAATTGACTGTACATCAACTAGTATTTAAAAGCAGGAATATTCTGTAGGACCTTTCAATAATGAGAGACCAAGAGATCGCATACCAATAATATTTATGTGTTTTACACCATTACATTTTTGATTGATTTGAATTGTACCATCATGTATCTCATGCTCATCGTCATATTATGCCTACATCTCAAATTAAATTGTTTTGTCCTTCAGGTGAACCATACCCATGCTGTTTTATGTTACCCATGCCCGGCAGGATATTACTGTGAGCAGCAAGGACAAAGTGAGATATGTCCCCGTGGCTATTATTGTCCAGCTGGTACAGGATTAGATTGGATACCATGCCCAAGAGGAACATATAGTGATATTGAAGGCATTTCTGAACTGACTCATTGTAAACCATGTACTCCTGGAAAATATTGCGACGGTGTTCACTTGACTTCACCTACAGGTACGTTATTGATTCCCAAAGTATATCATCAAAATGTTTGTAAAATTGAGCAGTTCATATTGCACTTTGCTACTTTGTTTTTCCCTGTCTTTGTCACACAGAAAAGACTTCAGAACATCAATAGTGATCAAATTTGGTTCGTTTTGCAGGGCAATGTGCAGCTGGACACTGGTGTGTATCAGCAAATGATAGAGAATACCCCCATGGGGTAAATCAGTCACAACCAATGAATGATACTTGTTACGATGATAGGATAGTAGGTTTTGGTGGTATCTGTCCAGTAGGACATTACTGTCCTGGTGGAATCTTTAGTATTTACCCTATACCATGTTCGAACGGTACCTATGCTCTTCTCGAAGGACTAGACTCTTGCTCGACTTGTCCCCAAGGTAGGTGCAACTAGAAATAATAACTTTCCATCTTTCCATTCTTGCTGATCAATATTCAGATACAATTTCAAAAAGGTAATCATTTTCAATTTCATCTAAAAACGATTTCGATAAGCCCTTCTTTCTAGAATTTTAGAATTCGTATGCTGATAAGAATTGCCCTTTACCACGAATTTCATCTTTCACTTTAGGTTATTTTTGTGAAGAAGCAACATCAGATTATACCAATAATCCATGTCCAGTCGGATACTACTGTCCACCCGGAACAGCCGCTTTGAATCAATATCCATGTCCAGCTGGAACCTACTCCAACCAAACTACCAGGACAAACATTAACGACTGTCTATCATGTCCAGGTAGGTTCATAACATGTGCTCTATCACAGAATGAACGTAATCCTAAGTTCATCTGCACTGATATTTTGATATTGATCATTGATATTGATTCCACGTGGGAGACCTTTCCGTGTTTCACAGCCCCGACTCGCCATGCATTTCGGGCATTCTATTGTTTCATGAAGACACTTCACTGTCAAAATTGGCTTTTTGTTTCAGATGGCTCATATTGCGAGCAAGAGGGCATGTCCCAACCATCAGGTCCCTGTAACGCTGGATACTACTGTAGTGGAGGGTCATCAACAGCAACTCCATCAGGCACAGGAGGAGACAAATGCGTGCCTGGGTATTACTGTCCGGAAGGCTCTGGTCATCAAATACCTTGTACACCGGGTCATTATTGTTCTTCTGAACGACTAAACGATACTACTGGTCTCTGTTCGCCTGGTTACTATTGTTCTATAATGGCAACTGTACCAAATCCAACAGATGGTAACGTTACAGGTATTCATCTTTCTTTATACTTTGGAATATTTAAGAGAGGTTGATCTGTACCATAAAGTGATGAATCGACAAGCGTAATCTTATCTGGACGTTATTGAAAATACGAAATAAATACATTGTTAGCAATATGCACTATTTGGATAGTAGTAACAAGATGACTAACCGAGATTGGAGAATAATACATATAGGCCTTTAATAAACTTTCTTCTGACAATAATTTGCAGAAAATGGATATGGCTAAATCAATCGATGGGGAGCACAGCTTGCTCCAGATGATTATTGAATTATTGAATATATTTTGTTTTTCAGGTGATATTTGTCCTGAAGGTGGTTACTGTCCTGAAGGAAGCTCGGTACCCTTATTATGTCAAGCTGGATACTATTTAAACAGTACTGGAAATAGTGATGTTTCTCACTGTATTACATGTACATCTGGAATGTATTGTGCTGGTAGTGGAAACACTATACCGGATGGACCCTGTGATCAAGGTATGGGGATATAAGACAATGTATTATGTAGGCAATAATAGATATTGGGACTCTCCAAAGGAATGCTGAGTTGACAAACCCAATCACAGAGTAGCATAAGGTGTCGGTAAATACCTGTGCGAATTACACATAAAAGAAAATGAAATGAAACCGGTCTTATGAGGGAAAATTGTGCAGCTTTACACAATATTGGTACTTTCCAATTTCTAGAATTTATAACACGTTTATTTATTATTTTCAAGGATATTATTGCCCTGGTGGACAAGATACACCACAGCCAGTAGAATACAACTGTACATTAGGACATTATTGTCCTTCTGGAAGTACTTCACCAATACGATGTAATAGCGGAAGCTACCAAGATGAAATAGGACAGTGGACTTGTAAAGCCTGTCCAGCTGGTTACTATTGTGACAACACGATGAGTCCTGTTGTGTTGTACAATGACTCTTCTTGTCCAACTGGATTCTACTGCCCAGAGAATACCACAAGAAGTAACCAATACCCATGTCTCATTGGTACTTTTGTCAACATAACTAACCGCGTTGATATCATAGATTGTATTGCATGTCGTGGAGGGGAATATTGTGATCAACAAGGTCTGGCAGAACCAACTGGAAAATGTTCTGCAGGTTATTTCTGTACATCTGGTGCTACAAGTGCAACACCTTCACAGGGTAAGTTATGGGGTATTAAAGTAGTTTAGAACAAGCAAAGAGTACATTTCCTGTAGAATTTCTATTGTTCTCATAATCTAAGTCAACACAGTTACAACGAGATGTAAAATAACATTATTTGTGTTTGGTCAAATGCTAGCCGGACGAAACTAAATTTTCATCTTATGTGTTATCTTCCGTTTTCTTTAGCACTATTGCGTTTTTCGGATTCACGGCGTATTGTGTTTGGTCTTGATTTATTATTTGATATATTAGGTGTGGATGGTGATATCTGCCCCGAAGGATTTTACTGTACAGAGGGTAGTATAGTACCCACTTCCTGTCCGCCTGGTACCTACAATCCAACCACTGGACGTCAAAGTCAACAAGAATGTTTGAATTGTACTGCCGGTTTCTATTGTCCTCATTACAACATGACTGCTGCTGGCCCTGCGTGTTTACCGGGTACGTATTCAAATTAATATGTTCAAAATGTGATGTTTGAATGCCAGTTTGTTTTGTAGATTTTACAGAAAGTGAATTAACTGTAAGAAATGATATGGTTTAATGACCTGCATTAGCCTGAAACATATTATGTATTTGTACAAATTCTTGTGTAATTCAATAGCTAATATTTGTAGGTTACTACTGTCCAAGTGGTGCAGACGTAGGTGGTTATATAGCATGTCCAGAAGGTTCTTATTGTCCGACAGGATCAGAAAATCCAGTAGCCTGTCCACCAGGCACCTTCTCAAATACAACAGAATTATCCAATTTTAATCAATGTACGAACTGTAGTGGAGGATATTACTGTCCAAATCCAGGTAAATCTTTACCTTATTATTCTTAAGCGTTGAATCTTGATGCCGAATGATGTAATGATACACTAAATGTGCAATGTCGGTGTTTGCCTTTGACTTCACCTTTGGAAAATCTTCTAATGATAATATTAATCTTAGAATAAATCCATCATCAGGTGTACTTCAATTGTTCAAATTCAGACATCGTTTATCATATTTTTGTAGGAATGACAGCTGCCGTAGATCAATGTTGGGGTGGTTACTATTGTCCTGGTGGTCAATCTGTACCTAATCCTGTAGAATTCATTTGTCCTACGGGTTTACATTGTCCAAATGGTAGTGAGATATACAAGGTAAGATTCTTTATATTACATCGTTTATTAGAATCTTAGAGGTTCCAGAAATCATGTACCATTAGATATACACAGACGTATACTTCAACAGTACCGTGCGTTAAAATTTTCCCCAAACAAAATTGTAGGACTGCTTTTCAACACATAGCTTTTTAGTGACTTTTACCATTGATTTTATCATTGTGTCAAGTATATAGCAATTGCCTATTTTACGTATTCTAATACTGATTATACAACGAATTGTATTTTGTTTTTAGCAATGTTCTGATGGATCATATACTAATTATACCGGTGCCGTACAATGTGAAATTTGTCCCTCTGGATATTACTGTCTTCCTGTACACCCAGAAAACTCTACTCTGAATGCACAACCGTGTCCTGCTGGGTACTACTGTCCACAAGGTAAATAATCAGTGGTTTTCTATAATAGAGGCACGCTTGTTGGGAAGAGGTCTCAAACTCCACCTTTTACAACTCGAAGAAATATATGACTTCATTAATTACACATATTTGCTTATGATTCTTTTTAGAATGTGTTTGTTTATTAATTTTTCAGGAACCGGAATTGATTGGAAGTCTTGCCCAGCTGGTACATACAATGATATTGAGAAATTATCCAGTGGGGTGAATTGCAAACCATGTCTTGGTGGGCAATACTGTTCTGGGGTACATCTCACAGCACCAACTGGAAACTGTACTGAAGGTAAAATATATTTGATTAATGATCACTAATCACAACTCTATCAAATGGATGGATTGCTACTTATAACGGATTGAGTTCCATCTTTCATGGTAAAGGATTTGAGGGCTACCTTGATTACAATTTAGATTGAGCCTACATCCTTGTGATTTCCTCAAGATTCAAAAATTTTAACTAATATTTATTAGGGTGGACTGTATAAGCAATTGTAGGATAGTCAAATCATCAATTTCACTATATAGAACGCCTGTATTGTGTATTTCAGGATTTTACTGTACATCAGGTCTAGACAGATCAGCTCCAGGATTAGCTAATGATACAACTCCTGCTAATTGTTCGTGTCCGGAACAAGCTATGTTCACTGGAATTGGTGGCATCTGTCCATTAGGACATTATTGTCCGGAAGGAAGTATATTTGCGCTGCCCTGTGATCCTGGTACTTATACAGATCAGATTGCCCAATCACAGTGCAAGAATTGTACAGAGGGATTTTACTGCCTTGCTAATTCAACCGAGTTCATATCTTCGCCATGTCCAACAGGTATTACGTTTTTTGTTACAAATATAAGAGTCAGAATTAAATCGTGTTAAGGGTGATTAAGCAGTCTGATGGTGTACCCAATTATTGAAATATCTTCCCAAAACAACTGTGTTTCTGTTTATTTCTAGGTCATTACTGTCCAAAAGGAACACAGTATTCTACACAATATAAATGTCCTCCTGGAACATACAATCCTACAGAAAGAGGAACAGCGGAGACAAATTGTCTCGACTGTCCAGGTGGGCAATATTGTGAAGGAGAAGGCAACTCTCAACCTACTGGCAACTGTACTAAAGGATGGTATTGTTCTGGTGGTGCTTCCCAACCAAACTCAACTACCCATGGTGGACAATGTCAACCAGGATATTACTGTCCTGAAGGTTTGTTTATTCAGATCCTATGAAAACGTTAATCATTCATCTGCGTGTTCTTGTTGTTAAAAAAAATCGTCGCTTCTTTGTTTATCCAGTATGAAACCGAATGAGGTGAATCATAAAATGTCAATTTTTTTTAGGTTCTTCAGACCCATCGCCATGTCCAGCTGGCGAATTCTGCCAAACAGAAGGATTGGACCTTCCCACTGGCAATTGTTCTGCAGGGTATTACTGTACGTTAAGATCTTCGTCTCCAATACCATCAGATGGTGTGACCGGGAATATTTGTCCCCCGGGTTATTACTGTGAAAGTGGATCGCCTTATCCAACTCCATGTCAACCAGGAACATACAGTCCAAGTGAAGGAAATACAGCTGTGTCTGACTGCTTGCCATGTTCATTCGGTGAATATTGTGGAAGCTATAATCTCACACAGTCCACAGGTAAGTTGAACTCAAATGTCAAATCATATCAACATATCTATAGCTGCAACTTTTTGTCATGTCACCATGCTGAATGACGGGCTTCATCAAACGGAATAGGGCAACTTAAATGAACAGGACCTAATGAACACGTGAAAAATACTTAATATAAAGCTCAATGTCTTCAGTTTGGGGTTTTCTTTTGCTTATTTCATTACTGAAATATTATGTTTTAGGGAACTGTTCTGCTGGGTATTACTGTCCGCAAGGAGAATCAACACCAAACCAAAATCTGTGTACAGTTGGACATTACTGTCCAGAGCACACAAATTCACCTATACTATGTCCAAGCGGTTGGTACCAAGATGAAACTGGACAATCAGATTGTAAGATATGTCCTGGTGGATACTATTGTGATAATAGTAATGGTGTAGTTGTTATTAATGAAACAATTACATGTCCATCTGGCTACTACTGTCCGCCAGGTATGTTTTTTTCTAGACACTTTACCAGAAGCAATATTGTTGCTTAAAAACTAGATGAGAAAGAAACTGATATTTTATCCAAATTCTTTCAAGAGATGGTTCTTCCAGCTCACTGAACCTTTTGGTATTGAGGAATGTCCGTTCCGATTACAGATTCACCTTCATTGCAAATAGTTGGTTCTAAATAAATGGAAATTATTTTTTTCTTGTTTCAGGTACCACTCGAAGTGATCAATACCCATGTCCTCTTGGTACATTCAATAACAATACTGGTTTGAACACCAGTCAGGATTGTAGTCCTTGTCTTGGTGGTTTTTACTGTGGAGAAGTCGGAAAAGATTCACCAACTGGACCATGCGATGCAGGTTACTTCTGTAAACGATTTGCTATGATGCCAACTCCTAATCAAACTGTCGATGCTGATATCTGTCCACAAGGTAGCTACTGTCCACAACAAACAGCTTCACCAGTACCATGTCCTCCAGGCACATATGGTAGTTCTTCGAGACTCACTGCTGAAAATGAATGTACCGTTTGTCTGGGAGGCTGGTATTGTCAAACTCATGGTTTAACAGACAATGAAGGTGAGTTACACGAGAGTTTTCGGGCATAAATTGAACTTTTGTAATGTTTATGGCAGGTGACTTATGCATTCATTCACTATGATATTATGTAGTTGTCGTTTCAGTGCCTATTAGAATACCTGGTATGTGGTATGCTAAATTGTATAAAATCTAATGTTCCTTGATTCTGTTGCCTTGTTTAAGGTAGAGATGTACTCGTTCACTTTTCATTCATTTTGAACTCCTTAGGTCCCTGTTCCGAGGGTTATTTCTGTGTAAATGGTTCTACGACACCACAGAGTGAATTGTGTACAATTGGTAACTACTGTCCTATTGGAACTGCTGTCCCAGAAAGATGCCCCGTGGTAAGTAATAAGATTTCCAATTCCATGAAGGGAGCCGCGGTGTCTCAGTGAGTTAGACGCATGCTCACTAACTATAGGTCGAGATAATACCTTCTGATTTTTCAAACCGGTTTCCCCCTGTCAGTAGGTGAGAGGGGATGACATGAAAAAAGCGTCTAGTCGTTCGGATGGGACAATAAACCGAGGTCTCGTGTGCTACAGGCTGTGCACGTTAAAGATCCCTCAACATTTGGAAATCGAAAAAGAGCAGGCTAATGCCGCTATACTGGCAAAATTTCCCTCATTTTGCACCCTGTATGGGATTGCCCGTCTTCATTAGCCCACATGGTGCAGAGAAGTAGGACGTAAAACTTTCATTTCATTTTATTTAGAATAATTGATATACTTCTATTCGATAATCACACAAATTATACTATAAATAAAATATCCTAATTTTTCACAGTTGAATAGTAGCCTACTCAATAATACATTAATAGATAATATATTATATAAGTCAATGTCGATTTACAGAATCAAATATCTTCCACTCTTTATTTTAGGGCACATTTAACCCATATGTGGGTTTGAACTCGTCCAGTCAGTGTACATCCTGTACTGAAGGAGAATTTTGTGAAACTGAGGGGTTGTCGTCACCAACTGGACCATGTGAAGCTGGATTCTATTGTCCTGGTGGACAGAATTCATCTAGACCAGCAGAATACCCGTGTCTTGTAGCCCACTACTGTCCTCTAAACTCATCTCAACCTATTCCTTGTCAGAATGGAACCTATATGAATCACACAATGGCTGAACAGTGCTATATCTGCCCAGCAGGATGGTAAGGACACCTCAATCATGTTTTGTTTTAAAATTAAGTAATTATTTCTCACAAGTAAAATTAGTATGACCATTATTGAATACCTACACAATTTGATTAAACAAATTCAAACCGGATTCAAAATTCTTTAAGAAACTATAACAGATTTACATTTGTATTTAGGTATTGTACCAATGGAAATTTGGTTGAGTCATGTGCACCAGGTCACTACTGTCCAGAAGGAACTGGCTTCAACTGGCAGCAATGTCCAAGAGGTACATTTAACAATCAGACTGGGTTATCTAGTACAAGTCATTGTACTCCATGTATTGGTGGTAGATATTGTGAAGTAGAAGGATTGGTAGAACCATCTGGTATGTGTGATCAAGGCTACTATTGCAAATATGGAGTTGATAGAAGTAAACCAAGTGGTGGAATAGCAACTTCGGTGAATGGATCTTGTTTACTTGACGGTAATAAGATTAGTTTTATAAATTTATCCAAGTTATAAAGTTCTCCAAGTTTTCAGGAAACGTGCATCTAAGTCCGTTGTAGTATTTTAAATCTGCATTTACCTGAAAAGGTGTATGCTTGGACATTTTTTTTTATAGATTTCAGCTTCCAGTCTATGGTGTTGTAAATACATTATTATAAAAAATAGTTTTTCTTCATAAGATAAAATCTTCCATTATAGGCATAGAAACTGGCGATGGAGGTTTATGTCCAATGGGTTATTACTGCCCTATTGGTACAACAGAACCAATACCATGTGGAGCTGGTACTTACAGTAATGAAACTGGGATGTCATCCTGTTTAGTCTGTCCATCTGGATTCTACTGCTTACAAGGTAATCCATCATTTTTGAATTTCAAAGCATAATTGATATCTTTCCGGCAGTTACAGCCGTTACACAAAAAGTATTGAGATGGAAATTAAGTGAAAATCTGCTAATTAGAAATTACACTCGCATTTTCAGTAGAAGGAGACTTAACACTTTATCCTAATTAACTTACGTCTTAATTGATTTTTTTAATCCAGTCTATTACTCCTATAATTCCTAAAGAAATAACAGGATTGATAATTGAAAGTAATCGACTGAGTAATAGTACATGTGTAAAATCAATCATTTGACAAAAAAAAAACAAAAAACAATTACCATTATACAGAGCTGATATTTATTTATTAAATATTGATAAGGAGGGGTTCTCTTTTTCCTGTAAATTGGGGGATCGAACAGAACACGGATAATCAATGATACACTCTTAACATTACGTTTGAAATGAGATTCGAATAATTATTTAGTTATTCATTTAGAATATTAGTAAGTTTTAGTCTTCTCAATAATTCTATACTTGCAGGAGCTCAAACGTACCTGGATTCACCATGTCCATCAGGTCACTATTGTCCATCTGGTACACAAGCAGCTACGCAGTTCCCTTGTCAAGCTGGTACTTATTATAACCTAACCATGGCACGCGATATCAGTGACTGTTTACCTTGTCCTGGAGGAGAATACTGTGCCACAGATGGACTGTCTACACCAACCGGATATTGTCAAGAGGGTATGTTGAAATTAATTATTTTCATCTTGGAGTAACTGGATGTCATTGGCAATATTGCTTATTTATCAAAAAGCTCTCTATTCCCTTGCACAACACAGGCAAAATCAAGCTTTGATCACTTTATAACAGCTTGCTGTCTAATTTTTCCATGATCACGTCTTTTGTACTTTCATCTTTGCACAAAAAAATGCTGATTATACCACAAACAAGATCTAAAATTCTTTGTCATGTTCGGAATAATATTCTATTTTTAGGTTGGTATTGCACTTCAAACTCTACATCACCAACACCAACACTACCAGAAGGTAATCAGTGTCAAACTGGATTTTATTGTCCCATCAGATCACCGTATCCCAAATCATGTGATCCCGGACAGTACTGTCAGACTGTTGGATTATCAGAGCCAACTGGAAATTGCTCTGGAGGTAAATTTTCCATTTTATAGCTGATGTAAATGTGAATATTTCACAATTTGACACTGAAAGTACTAAGGTCAATATGAAACGTTTTTATATGGCAGTATGTACCAATTTATAATATATATTGTAATATATTATTGACCACAGCAGCAGTTCGTCCCAATGTCTGTTTTCATGAAGCTTGAACACCTAATTGAATGATCGGATGTGCAATCAATTAATCTTTATCTAAAAATTTCAGGATATTACTGCACATTGGAGTCCACTACACCAACCCCAACAGATAATATTACAGGAAATGTCTGTCCAGTAGGACACTATTGTCCCACGTCATCTAGTACACCTACACCATGTGACCAGGGATATTATCTTGATGTCACCCTACAAGATAATGAAGCAGACTGTAAAATATGTACTCCGGGAATGTACTGTCCTGGTGTTGGTCTTGAACTACCAACTGGTAACTGCAGTGCTGGTTATTACTGCCCTGGTGGTCAAAACACATCTACACCTTCCGAATACAAGTATGTATATTTCTTGCTTAAGCGTCACTCATTAAACCACCAACTTTGGTTATTTAATGTATTGCCAAGCGTGTACTCCATTTTAGCATTACTTCTATCCAAAAGTTACATTCATAACTACACTGAGCAAGTCAAGCCTTTTTTTCATATGACTAAATCAAGAACAATTTCAATCCAAAGATTTCCATGTTGCCCAATTGGTCACTATTGTCCAATTGGTATAGATGCACCACTCAGATGCCGCAATGGAACTTATCAGGATTCAGTTACCCAATCAGAATGTAGAGATTGTCCACCAGGTTATTTCTGTGATAACACTTTATCAATCGTCATACTTGACAACTCAACAACCCTATGTCCAATGGGATATTACTGTCCAGAGGGAACAAGATTCAGCATAGAATTCCCATGTCCAATAGGAACTTTCAATAACCTTACTGGTAAGTAATATATTCCTCATTTCCTAGTCGAACCATCATTCTTGCTAAATAAAGATTTCAACTGCTTTAATTTTTCAAATATTTCAATGTCATACGTATGTTTTTATTTAATATTTTCTCAATTCTAAAACAGGTTTACAATCGTCAAATGAGTGCAGTCCGTGTTCAGGAGGATATTACTGCCCTATACCTGGTATGGTAACTCCAGTGGATCTCTGTGATGCTGGGTATTTTTGTCAACAATCAGCCAAAACGTCTACTCCAAATCAAGGTAAAAGTAACACCTATTTCATACAATTGTATTTCACTTTCTCTTCTCCGTAAATTGTTATTAGTTCCTTTGTTTGATATAAAATAGTTGAACTAATACAATATTGTCTAACAAAGTAGTTTGCATTGCTTTTATAATTCATTTATGTGTTTCAGGACTGGATGCTAATATTTGTCCGGAGGGACATTTCTGTCCTACTGGAACATCCAATCCTGTTCCATGTCCCAAGGGTACATACAGTAACCAGACAGGACTGATTCAAGAAGATGATTGCACATTTTGTCCTGCAGGATCTTACTGTCAGCAAACTGCTATGACTGAAGTCTCTGGCCTTTGTGATCCAGGGTAAGATCTCGATGTTAATTTTGTGAAAGGATACTTAACGACTGAGCAATGTCAAGGAAGATGCAAAAAATGGTGGAGAGCGAAGCACTAGAGCCTTACATAAATAGTTTGATATCGACTTAAATTATGGAAGCTTATCAATCTGTGCTCATCAGTTGGAAACCGAGTCTTGGGTTGTCACATGAAACTTTTGGAACACATTTTGACAAATGAATAAGGATTATCTTTTTCTTAAACACTATGCTTTCAGATTCTACTGTGAAACTGGATCCAATCGATCTGATCATTTGATCTGCCCGGCTGGATCTTATTGTCCAGAAGGTTCTGGACTTCCTACACCATGTCCACACGGAACGTACAGTAATACTCGTAGTCTTGCTAATGTGTCGCAATGTACAGATTGTGATCCTGGGAAATTCTGCAATGATTCAGGTATGCTATATTTAATAGAATCGACTACTTTACTAGGATAACCTGCCATACACCCACTTATGTAACAAAGTAAAGAGTGGAAAGCCGACAAAATTGGCAAGTCGAAAAAGGGCGAGTCTTATAACTATCTGAAATCATTCTGGATTATCAATTAGTCAGACATAAGAACATTTTCTTACCTCATATTATTTTAACATTTGTACAGGTCTCACCACACCAACTGCAGAATGTGATGCTGGATTCTACTGTCCTGGTGGAAACAGTGTTCCAAATCCAACAGATTCTCCTTGTGTGATTGGTCTTCATTGCCCCATTGGAAGTTCTGTTCCACAACCATGTTCTGCAGGAAGTTTTACCAACTACAGCCAGGCTGACTCTTGTGACATCTGCCCCGCTGGTTTTTACTGTGTTCCCGAGGAAGTCATTGCCGGTAACGTATTTTTTCTTCCTGTATTTCTACTATTCCTATAAAGAAATCCTGTCATATTGGATGACCTACACACAGGACAGAAGTTCAGAAACTAGATTTAGTTTCACAAATGTTAGATGGAAAGCGTGCCCACCATCGCACATCAGAAATTTTTACCAATGCATAAGAGAAGTCCATATATGTATCTCCGACATACTATGAAGATGTACTGAATGGCATGAATACATAATTTGTTATAACCATATGAACCGTTTTCTTACAGGTAACTCTTCTTCAGGACATCGTCTGTGTCCAGAAGGCTATTTCTGTTTGACTGGAACTGGTAGAAATTGGTCTCCATGTCCTCGTGGTACATTTAGTAATGTTAAGGGTTTAACTGCTTCATCAGAGTGTCAACAATGTACTGGTGGTTATTACTGTGACGGCACCAATCTGACAGAACCAACAGGTCCTTGTGATAATGGATTTTACTGTACTCTTGGAGTTGATATATCAGCACCAGGTGGTAATCATACAGGTGAAGGTGGTATATGTCCACCAGGCTATTACTGTACTCAAGGTTCCGTAATTCCAAATGGTTGTCCTGCTGGAACATACCAAGTAAGTTTAATTCAAATCATTTTTAATCCCAAATATTTTTTAAAAAATAAGATGGCTTTAAGAAGCTTAAATTTAAGAATAAATTTACATTGTCTTTGTAAAGCAATAGATAGATTTTAATAAACATCTAAATGTGATAATCATTTGTGTCTGGGTTTTAAGTTATTTTATATCATTTAATTGTTAATCTAATTTCAGGATAAAGCTAATCGTTGGAATTGCGATACTTGTCCTGGAGGTTATTACTGCAACTCAAACAGCTCATCGTATCTTGACAAACCATGTCCAGTAGGTCATATATGCCCTGAAGGTACCGCCTCAGATACGCAGTTCCCCTGTCAACTTGGAACCTTTAATAACAGAACAGGTAAATAAACTTTGATTGAAATATTGCCTGTACAGAAAGTTGTTTGAAGTGAGTGCATAACCGTATAACCAATGTTATTTTCTTAGTTAAAGTAAATGAATTCATGATTTTCTTTTAGGTCAGAATAACGAAAGTGCATGTTCACCATGTACTCCTGGATATTACTGTGAATCATTGGGATTAGAAATACCAACAGGACAATGTTTAGCAGGATGGTATTGTACATTGGGCTCATCTTCATCAACACCATCTGATCCAGAACAAGGTGGATTTTGTACTTCAGGTAAAATGAAGCTCTGGTCATTACATTTATATTTTTATGGTATAAAGTTCCTACCTATTTTATCCTTAATATGCACCCGCAATAGTTTTGATCAGTTACGCACTTTATAACGGCTATATCTTCCATGATAATGAGATCCATGATAATTTTATCACCGAATCGTTTTCAGGAACATACTGTCCAACAGGAAGTGCCTATCCCATTGGCTGTGATGATGGTCAGTATTGTGATGTCAACATGATGGCATCACCTCGTGGTGATTGTATGGCAGGTTATTTCTGTGACTCCAACTCGACAACTGATAGACCAAGTGGAATTGGAGGTGAGTAACTTGATTATATTTAAACAAAACTAGATGAAATGTAGAGGTATTGTAAACGTATTTTTCCGAAGCCTTACAACTTTGAAGATAACTTGACGCACTTTATATTTTTAAATTCCAACATATTTTATCGTGATCAGATCTCTGATCCGAAAAACACAGAATAATCTAATTCAACTGTCCTTTGGTATCAATATCAAATAATAGATTTTATAATGTACATATATAACGAATGAGTACACAGATAACCATCAATTTTCAAGGTGATAGATGTCCCAGTGGTCATTACTGTCCAGCAGGAACCTTCTCTCCACAACCTTGCTCTCCTGGTTTTTATCAACCCAGTATTGGTGCTGAGAATGTGACATGGTGTGTCATTTGTACTGCCGGAAAATATTGTAACTCAAGCGGTTTAACAACACCAGATGGAGATTGCAGTCCAGGTTGGTTAAATTGTCTTCTACCTTGTTTCGATATCCGAAATCAATCTGTGTTACGATCGGTTGAGCCTTGAAAATTGTTGAATTCTTTTTGAGGAGTTGCGTTAATAATTTTCATCTAAGACCATGTATATTATGGACATTTCTCATAACACATTTTAAGATGATGTTTGGTATGAATATACCTGTATATTCTATTTCAACACACCAATTTTGTTCAAAACAATTGCTGAAGGTATTGCATTCTCTTTTTAAAGGTTACTTCTGTCCAGAGGGTCAGGTAACAAGTGATCCAAGTCAATTTGAGTGTCCAGGAGGATATTATTGTCCAGGTGGTACAAGTTCCAGCATCCAATGTTCTTCTGGATATTACCAAGATAAACCCACTCAACCTAGTTGTATAAAGTGTCCAGCTGGTTTTTACTGTGATTCTTCTATAGGTCCAATAACAAATTATACTCTTTACACATGTCCTTCAGGTAACTACTTCATTTTCAAACTCTATTTTTATATTCTTGTGGTATGGTTCAAAACATTACAAATGGATACTACAGCAGCTTCTCAGATAGTGTTAAGATATGAGATACCGCTGTAGATTTTAGACAAAGACTTACAATATCCTCAACAGTATTGGTATCATTTTTCTTATAGTAGGCAAATGTCACAGGAAATAGTTAAGAGTAACCGATTAAAGGATCCTAGAACATAGAACTTGTGAAGAAGTCATCCATTGTGGTATAGGAAACCTATTTATTGCAAGCTTTTCTTTATTGGATACACTAATAAGGGAAGCAATTAATATAGAAAAACAGTATGAGCAAATTTTACCAATAAGATCTCCTTTTCTGGAAAACTTAATGAATTCATTTTTCAGGACACTACTGTTTGGCTGGTACAAGAGTTGCAGGAGAATACCCATGTCGAGCTGGTACCTTCAATAATATTACTGGTCTCCAAGCTGACACTGATTGTTTCCCGTGCTTAGGTAAGCAATCCTGTTCAAATCTTAAGCTTTCTAGTTCTTTCATCTGAATTCTAAATTAGTCAGCATTAGAAAAAAATCCCATTGATACACTCCTTGAAAGACTGAGTGCCTTGTTGTGTTTCTCTGCGGTATTGTATATTATTTCTTGTAATAATAAAATATTTACGTTTGATTCATTTAGGTGGTTACTATTGTTCAGCTGGTACGGTCTATCCCAGTACATCTTGTGCAGCTGGTTATTATTGTCGATCTGGATCAAGAACAGCTGCCCCACAACAAGGGTTTAACGCTGACCCCTGTCCAGTTGGTCACTACTGTCCGGAACAAACAGCAGAGCCAATAAAATGTCCAATAGGTACATTTAGTAATAAGACGAAATTGATGAATGAAACAGACTGCACTCCATGCACTAAAGGTTAGCTTTTGTTATCATATAGAGGTAGATAAATACTGATAAGATAATAGTAACTTTGGAACGGTACCCCCGTCCATTATCCTGACATTGCTACTTGTCGCTGCTGTCAAGTTAGAGGATGATCACATGGAAATAAGGATACACATGAATGTTACGTGCCTAATGTGTAGTTTTTTCCCTTAATCAGGGCTTATCACACCGGGATGCGGTTAATAAAAAAACATTTGTTTTTCTGTTGTGTTCTTTTAAACTGAGGCGAAATAATCATCTTACATATTTTTCCTTTTTTCCAGGAATGTATTGTGATAGTCAGGCATTATTAGAGCCACAAGGTCCATGCACTCCTGGATTCTATTGCCTGGAAGGATCAAGCAGTTCTACGTCAATTGTATGTCCTCCTGGAAAATATTGTCCTGAAGGTATGTTACTAAAAGTTACTCATAAATGTTTGGAAACCACTTCAAACAAAGTCTGTTTATGTAAGTAACAATCTCAGGAGTGACACTTGCAAATATTAAGAGTTATGCCTGACATGACTGTAAATCTTATTTCAATTAAAGATATATTCACCAAATATTTCTTTCTTTCATTTTGTTGAAAATGTAATATTCAATCCTTATGTTTAATTCCAGGAACACATACACCAGTCCGCTGTCCACCAGGCACATTTTCTAACCTAACCAGACTTACTACAGAATCAGAATGTACAAACTGCACAGCTGGATTTTACTGCCAGAATAATGGTTTAACCACCGAGGAAGGACCCTGTCAACAGGGATATTATTGTCCAGAAGGTAGTCAATATATATTTTTTGAAAATGTTAATGAACATTAATGGTGATTCATTTCAAATTAGAACGCAAAAAGGAACCATTAAGTGAATGTTATTATTATAGAACAGGTTGTTCGATTTCATTTCTGAATGATGTTTTGGAAAGCTGAGCAATTATTTTAATGACTGTATCTGTCTAGATTAAAGGGATATATAATTCAGAAGATAATAAAGGGTATTAATTTGGTTGGTGATCAAAGTCTTCCATTTTTTTTCTTTAAAGGCTCAACAGTTGCAAACAGTGTTATCTGTCCAATTGGATTATACTGTCCAACAGGATCAGATGTACCACAGTCCTGTCCTCCTGGTTATTTTACAAATAGAACGGGTTTATGGAATTGCGATATCTGTCCGGATGGGTAAGTACATTCTGTAGCAAGCTAGACTTTATAAAGCTGAAATTAATCACATGAAAGCTATTTAAGATTGGAGATGGTATATCGAATAAGTGGAAAATTATTAAGATAAATACAATTAGCTAGCTTACTCGCTTTAACTTATCTGATTTCATTTCAATAGTCAGCTTTCTAATATAAAGTACGTCTGCCAACTTGTGATCGTCAAAACCTCGAGAGCATAAAAAAATATCCGTTCAACAGATAAAACACATCTCTGAATATACCATCCAAGAATTATTTTGAGTCATAAGTTGGAATTGTATTTCAGGTTTTACTGTGTGCCAGATAATGTAACGGCAGGTGATCCTGCATCAGGGTATTTTAACTGTCCTGCTGGCTATTTCTGTCCTAGTGGTACTGGATTAGACTGGCAAGCCTGTCCTAAAGGAACATACAGTCAACAGACCAATTTGTATAAAGTAAGCATTTTTTTACTGAAGATCTGACTATTGGAATTTTGGTTTTGATACAATCTTTCGGTGAACTGTTCATAAAAAGTAAAATTTTACCCTATATGAAGTGTTTCATTTTTGGTCTATTCAAATATTTTGTAAATAATGCAGTTGCATGAAGTCTACATTATTGTTTTCACTGATTCAGTACTGCATATAAATATGGATCAAACCTGCTAAGTGAAGATCACATTTTTCCATTTTGCAAACTCACACTTTAAGTAAATCACCATATATCTTGATTCTACCAGGCATATATTCTTCCTTCCAGCTATCCCAATGTAAAGACTGTGATGGAGGTAATTATTGTTCAGTGGAAGGTGCTACATCTGTCACTGGACAGTGTGACGTAGGTTATTATTGTCAGTCTGGAGTCGACAGATCAAATCCTGATAATTCAGCTACCAACAGTACTTATCCACCAACATGTCCTCTACTGGGTGGTCACACAGGTAATTTACCATAAGTAACTTTGGGATTTAACTGCGATAGCAGTCCATATGCCTTATAAATTGACAGAGATAAACACTTAGTCAGTTGATCATATGGTATAAGTCATACAGTTATTTGGCGTTATGAGCCCCATCCTATCACGAGTATGGGTTTTGGCATTGTGCTATTGATAAATGGAGGTGTGGTTTGGACACGATGTCTCAACTCTCTCGTTCAGATCGATGCAAGGAAACCAAAATCTGAATATTTCTTTTTTCATTTAATATCTATTTATCTACAGGTTATGGCGATATCTGCCCACCAGGATCAATGTGTCCCCTAGGAAGTGAACAAGCCATTAATTGTATAGCTGGTACCTATCAAGATGAGTTTGGTCAAGGAACTTGTAAACCATGTCCAGAGGGGTACTACTGCTTCCTGAACTCAACGGATTATCTCGATAAGCCATGTCCAGTTGGTCATTATTGTCCTGCTAATACAGAAAGACCTGATCAGTTTCCATGCTCACCTGGAACTTTCAATCCAGCAGAGAAGCAAACAAATAAAACTGCTTGTCTATCTTGTACTCCTGGAACCTACTGCCAGATCAGTGGTTTGGCAAGTCCAACCGCAAACTGCAGGTGAGTTTTCAGATTCAACTTGGTATCAGTAATAGATATGAAATGAGTGTGGGAGCAGGCACATCAATTTCTTTTTCAATCTTACAATATTATATCATAAAGTAAAATTCCGCAATTAAAAAAGTAAGCTGATGCTTGGTTTGGAAGTAATAAGAATATCAATTTTTCGCATTTTATCTTTCTAAGACTTATTCAGAACATCTTGATTCATTTTTCTAGTGCTGGGTGGTACTGTCTTGGTGGTGCCACACAAGCAATGCCAACAGATCCTGCTAAAGGAGGTAAATGCAAGAAAGGAGAATATTGTCCTGTTGGCAGTGAAGATGTGACTCTTTGTGATGGGGGAATGTATTGTGCTTCTGAGAGATTAGAATCACCATCAGGAAACTGTTCCCAAGGTAAGCAATATTGACAGGAATTGTCCTTTAGGATTTTCTGCTAAAGTAACTACACCCTATTGGAATGTACAAGATGATGAAGTCTTAGTAATGTATTCAAAACACAAACAAATTCCCCGAAAACCAATCTGAGGTTAATTAAACACATGATAATTCGTGTTTTGAATATACTTTGTGTAATTTTTTGTATCTATATTTTATTCCAGGATACTATTGTACATTGGGAGCTAAATTCCATAGTCCCATTGATGGTGTAACTGGTAATAGATGTCCAGTAGGCCACTATTGTCCAAGTGGTTCAGTAGCTCCAACACCATGTCCAATAGGATATTACCTGAATATTCAAGGACAAAGCGCTTTATCGTCATGTAAAATATGTACACCTGGTAAGTAATCATAACATATATAGAAAATTGTGCCTTAGAGAATACATTGTATATATAATTTACACAAGAATCGCACTCATAACAATACTTAATGTTCAAATATTATTTGATTCCTAAACACAGTACAGTGGTTCTCACATGACTCATGCATGGCTATCTCCTTCTTCTAGGTAAATATTGTGGTACCGATGGTCTTAATTTACCACAAGGAGACTGCAATGCTGGTTTCTACTGTCCACCAGGTCAGATAACCAACCAACCTGCCAATCATACTTGTCCTGAAGGTCATTTCTGTGTTGGTGGCAAAGAAGCTCCAGAACCCTGTCCATCAGGAACCTATCAGGTATATGCGAAACTAGTGTTAGAATAAAAAAAATGAAGTAACATTCTGTGGTTTAATGCCTCGTAAGGACAGGCAAATGCAGACAAATGCAGTTGTTGAATAACATGAGGGTTATATGGATGAGTAAGATTCTGTGTGATGTCGGCTATAAAAACCTTTTAACAGATTCTACTCCATTGCTCACCCTCAGAGTTTAATGTATGTTGCCAGTAACTATTATGTATTTTGTGAATTACATAAAGATTTAAAAATATCCAAATCAACACTTAGAATTAAATATCGAAACTACAATGTATGTACTTGCCAGACATTAAGAATCTAATGACACATCACTAATATTTTTAGAACAGTGTTGGAGAGAGCAGCTGTAAGACCTGTCCAGCAGGATTTTACTGTAATGCTACATATTCACCAGTCGTCAATTATAATCTATATGTATGTCAAGAAGGCTATTATTGTCCTACTGGTACCCAATATCCTGATCAGTATCCTTGTCCAACTGGAACATTTAATAACAGAACTGGTAAGACTGATATTTAAAAAGCTTTATAATTATCCGCTTGTCAGATAATTGGTATTATCATCAACAAGCAAAATCACGAAGTCCAACTTAAAATTTTAACCATCATTATTTCTTCAAACCATAAAAGAATTATGAATTTCTTATATAATAAGATTCCATAAGAGGAAGAACTACATAACCTACTGTGAGAGCTATAAAAAAGATTCTCAATGCCCAATAACTATATTTTTAATATTGATAAGACTTGATTTGACGGGATTCTTGTCTCAGTACTAAATTCTACATTTGAAGTGAGCTTAAACCAATACACTTTTCATTAAAGGGTTAACAAACTCAAGTGATTGTTCATCATGTATTGGCGGAATGGCTTGTGATGTTGAAGGATTATCCACCCCAATCAGACCATGTGAAGCTGGGTACTATTGCCGTTCTGGTGCTAAGACCACAACACCCTTACAAGGTAATGATAACTTTTCTGAATTAGTTGTTTCATATCTGATGGTGTCACAGGTACACTAAACAACTCTCTAAGAAAGGAATCACATAACCAGTTTCAGGCGCAGAAGAGTAAGAGGTAAATCTCAATTTCATTTCAACCTCCACAGCTCACTGATATATTTTGGTCGTATTTGTTTGTATGTAATACATACCAATCTGTACCATGTTCCAGGTCTTGAAGCAAATGCTTGTCCAGCTGGTCACTATTGCCCTGAACAAACAACTGAACCTCAAGCATGTCCACATGGTACATACAGTCCATCTTCTGGATTACTATCAGAAGACATGTGTACTAACTGTACTGGTGGTTACTACTGCAACCAAACAGGTAAATGGAATTTTTGAACTTTAAATAAACAATTCCAGACACATTATAATTTACATAATATCTTGTATATCTTTTTCTTTAAAATACTTAATAAAACACAATCAACCGCAATTTTTCGTCTACATAGATTTTGATGAATGTCAAAGTGACGAAACATACCTTTTGTATATAAAGTGGAAAAGATACCTTGACTTTTTATATTCCCAGGTCTTACAGCAGTGACGGGACCCTGTGATGAAGGTTACTACTGTCCAGAAAGATCCAGTCAATCAACAGAATTAGTATGTCCCATGGGATTCTTTTGTGGACTAGCAACATTTACTCCAGCTTTCTGCCCAAATGGAACCTATTCAAACCAAACTGGTCTGGTCAAGTCTTCAGATTGTAGTCAATGTTTACCGGGCTATTACTGTAATGGATTTGGTTCAACAGATGTTTCAGGACCATGCAAAGCAGGTAAACAAAATTAAAATTGCATTTACCTGAGCATAAATAGTGTTCTCTTTAAAATGTTTATTTGTTACTTGGTACTACACATCGTTAGACAATTGATTCTCCCGGTGGGTAGCTCAGTTGTCCTAAGAGTCATTTTGAACTTTTTAGCTTTATTTCATATAAGTTCCTTAATAACGTAAGATACACTGTGTATGCCATCCTTGAGAATCATTAAAACCTATTCTTGGTTTGATGTAAGCAACACCATAGTGGTTTATGTCATCTCCTGTCAGTTCAGATTATGGTTTACTCTTTACATGACATTTTAAAATTATTAGGTTATTATTGTCCAATTGGATCCAGTGTTGAAACACAGGTGATTTGTCCATCAGCAAAATATTGTCCAGAAGGAGCAGCTGCACCAGCTAATTGCCCAGCAGGATTTTATGTAGACTATGATGGAGCTGACCAATGCTCACCCTGTCCTGAAGGTGGGTAAAGTCAATGCAGATTATGAATTGGTTTAGTATAGTAGTTACGGTTTATTATAAACTTATTGATAACCGTTTTCTTCTTGACTTTGCGAGAAGGGTCTGTGCTATTTATTAACTTTAAACTTATTTTTGGGTGGTTTAATTATTTAATCCTGTAGGTTCATTTGTAACCATGATGCTTTCAATGTTCTGAATCTTAGGTTACTACTGTGTACCTGAACTAACAGTGCCTGGAAATGCAGCTTCCGCCAAGACTCTTTGTCCAGAAGGTTTTTACTGTCCAAATGGTACAGGACACGACTGGCAGGCATGTCCATCTGGCAGTTACAGTAATATTAAGGGATTAAGAACTTCTCTAGAGTGTAATTCCTGTAGTCCTGGTCAATTCTGTCAAGGTAATGTAACCTAATTTATTTATTTGCATGCGAACCAACTCAAAAGAGGATTTACATTACGAGATAAACGTTCTATAATTTGTCTTTCAATGCTCAAACGTTACTGGTAAGTTGATATTGAAATAGAATTTAATCTAAAGCATTCTCGTGCATTTTTTTTCAGGCGTCAACCTAACATCGCCCACTGGACTCTGTCAAGAAGGATATTATTGCAGTTCTGGAGTCTCTACTCCAAATCCACTGATGATCAATGAATATCAATGTCCAATTGATACAGTTCATCCAGTTATTGGAAGTATATGTCCTGCTGGTCATTATTGCCCAGAAGGTACAGACTATCCTATCGGATGCCCAGCTGGGTCGTATCAAGATCTTACGAATATGAAAGACTGTAAGGACTGTCCTGCAGGATATTACTGTTATGGAAATACAACGTACTATACCCCAAACAGCTGTCCTGAAGGATTTTACTGCCCTGAAAATACAACTGACCCTAACCAATATCCATGCCCTCCTGGCACATTTAACAATAAGACAGAGCAGACTGTATTGGGTAGCTGTTTACCCTGTATACCAGGAAAATATTGCCAAGGGACTGGTAACATCAACCCCACTAGTTATTGTAGTGCTGGGTGGTATTGTACAGGCGGCGCCCTAGAATCACAGGTAAGCACTAAAGATACCTTCTGTCAGAAATAAAAAAAAAACATGATCTTGGAAGCCTTTCTGACATCTAGTCCTTACAGAAGCGTTGTGGCATTGACCTCTACGATATTATTATATAATATAATCCACGAGCTCAATGAATACATATTTCTTTCAGCCATCAACAAATGGAGGAAAATGCCTGCCAGGAAACTTCTGTCCAGAAGGTAGTGTTGTCATGGAGAAATGTACACCAGGAAAATACTGTGAAACATCCGGACTCGTATCACCAACTGGTGACTGTTCTGAAAGATATTATTGTCCACTTGGATCCAGTTCATCCAATCAGAATGATTGCACCGTAGGCCATTATTGTCCTGTTGGAACATCTGAACCATTGCCTTGCTCCAACGGAACCTTCAGTCCAAATACAAATCTTGCATCAGAGTCAGAGTGTTCAGCATGTACAGGAGGATTTTATTGTAATGGTACTGGTCTGATTGCGGTCTCTGGTCCATGTGATGAAGGTAAGTCACTTATCATCTATTTTGCTATTTTTTTAATTGTTCACCAGGTTATAATATTCATAATATATAAGACGGATGATTATGGTATTTTGTTAATCCACTTTTATTGATGACTCTTTTATCTTCAGGTTTTTACTGTCCACCTGGTCAGACCACACCTACACCTTATGATTACCTCTGTACTGTGGGTCATTTCTGTCTAGCTCAGAGTGCCACACCTACTCGCTGTCAATCGGGTTATTATCAGAATGAAGTTGGACAAAACAGTTGCAAAGATTGTCCTGAAGGTAAGCTGTTCTTTTCAATTCAATAAAAAGCTGGTTTTAACCCGAGTTTCTATGGAGCAGGATATATTTGTATACAATAACATCTTGGCTTGAATTGGTGCTTTGGAAATGTAGACATTTTCAGTGGTGTTGGCTACATTTTGGTAAATATTCGTTCTTATAAATATTTGACAAAATAATCAATATTATCAAAATAAATTCCATTTATATTCCATTTTAAAGTTCATGTTTTATGAGTTGAACTCTATTTATTCTTTATATTTGCTTTATAGGCTACTATTGTGATAACACAGTAGGTCCAGTTGGGGACCTCAGCAATTACGATTGTCCAGTTGGACATTATTGTCCTCCTTTAACAGAAAGAGCTGACCAGTATCCATGTCCAAAAGGAACCTTCAATAATAAAACCAATTTGGTGAATATAGATCAATGTCAAGAATGTAGTCTTGGATATTATTGTAACGACACCGGACTTTCACAACCTGTTGGTTTCTGCTATCCAGGGTAAATACTAAATTTTACAGCTTACTTAAGATTTTAGGCATTTAAGCAAATTACTTCAAATATTAAATAAACCTAAATATTCAATAGCATAAGAAATAAAACAAAATTTATCTTATTATATTAAAGAATTTTGTAATAGCATTGAAATTGAATTCTTGTGTATTTTCAATAATTATTTGAAAATAACAACTAAATTTATCCAGCAAAAATGTTGCTCTAATGCTGATCTGGTATTTGTTTTGCGACAGAATGGAAAGTGTCTTCTCTCTTTCGATCTCTTTGTCTATAATATGTCCATGCATAAGTTCCCAAAGTGTTCAAATCCCATACAATACCCAATATCTAACTATTTTAGATATTACTGCAATGGAAGTACAATTGAACCAAATCCTAGTGATGGTGTTTGTCCCATTGGTAACTACTGTCCTGAAGGAAGTTATAAACCAACACCATGCCCAGAAGGAACTATATCTACAAGTATTGGTAACCAGAATATTACTGACTGTAAACCATGTAAACCGGGTAGTTACTGTACCCCTGAAAGTTCCAAAAATGGTACTTATATTTCTGATTTATCAACCATCGGCTATAACGATACTGTATTTTATATAATAATCGATCTTGGATGTTTTCTACATCTTAAATTAAAATCATTTATGTGAATTTTACGTAAGAGGTCAAAAGAAATCCAGTCATATTGGAATGTAGTGTTTTATGAGAGTGGGAATACCATTCCAAGTTATTGTAGTGTAACAAATGATTGCCAAAGACAAATTAAGGAGTCTGTGTAATAAATTTGATTAATTGCAGGTTTTAGCATACCATGTGATGCTGGTTACATATGTTTAAGTGGCTCAAATGTCCCAAATCCTACCGGAGGTATTAAAGGTTACATATGTCCAACCGGTCACTACTGTCCACAGGGTGCTGTGAAAGAGAGTCCATGTAACAAAGGAACATATTCACCAAGAGAAGGCTTGGGTAAGTTAGGCAGCATTTATTAACATTTAAAAAATATTGATATGTTATCTTAGCCATCACTGTTCACTACAAATACTGTAGATACCTTGCTCTGCCATTCCATTTTCGTCTTTGTTCTTATAGGAGAGTGTTTAGTTTGTGCAGCAGGTCAATCTTGTCCAACTATGGGTATGAATGAAACTGTAGCATGTATACCAGGATATTACTGTTTAAATACCACTGATGATGATGGCTTACCATGTCCATTAGGTATGTTCTATAATCTTTTCTGTGAACATTCGTGAAGTGTACCGGGAAATCTTTGCACACAATTTGATAGAAAATACAGTACATGAAAATACCAATATTACTCATTACGTTTGATGTAAAGCAAGTCCAGGAACTTTCTCATATGTTTAAAGGTCCAACATCATTGATTTCAAAATTTATCTGTCCAGATGATGAATGTCCGATAAATGTCTACTATGTCATATGAAAGCTTTTCAAGATGACACATGCAAATTAGCATCATTTTCAAGATTGAAGATATTTATCCTATATGATAGAAGAATTTTGTTTCATGAAATTTCATAACTTATAGGTACATACAGTCCACATACTGGTTTGTCCCATCAATATGAATGTCTTGGTTGCCCAGCTGGTAGATTCTGTAATGTATCTGGATTGTCAAGCCCTGCTGGACTATGTGAAGCTGGTTATTTGTGCGTAGAGAATGCTACCTCTCCAGCACCAAATGATGGTTTCAACACATACTGTCCTGCTGGACATTACTGTCTTGAAGGTAAGCTAACCACATCCTCATTTGGGTTTTAATTTCATCACACTATTAGGATCAATTTTAAAACCCAAAAAGAAACCTCGAAATTTTCAAATGCCCATGTCATTTTCAGGAACAATATTACCAACAAGATGTCCAAGAGGTACCAGCAGAAACCAAACTGGTGGAGCCAGTGAGTTAGATTGTTGGCCATGCGCTGCAGGATATTATTGTGATCTTGAAGCTGGTTTAGAGCCAGCTGGAGGCTGTCAAGAAAGATATTACTGCCCAGATTTTGCTAAAGTTGAAACGTCGGCACCTTCTACTTATTTATGTCCTGCTGGTTTTTATTGCCCTCCTAATACTGGTAATCCAATCGGATGTCCACCCGGTAAGCAAATTCAATATTATAAATATTCTACTGTATATGCTAAACAAATCCAAAAAAATTGACGCCCCTTCCATCGCTTCCAAAAGATCAGCTGTATCCAACTAACCAATTGTAATTATATGTATTTTGATCATAAAATGTTCGGTGTTATCTTATTTTGGTGATCTTTTTTTTCGTTCAGGAACATATCAACCATCTGATGGTTCCATCGACTGCTTACAATGTCCAGCTGGTTTCATCTGCCTGAACAACACATCGGTTCCAGAACCATGCCCACCATATAGCTACTGTCCAAACTCCACAGTTGAACCAGTATTATGTCCTAACGGTACTTACACAGATAGTTTGACCACTGGTCTAACAAAAGAAGAAGACTGTTCTTTCTGTATCACTGGTAAGAATTTATTGAAGTAACTTGAAATAATCTTAAACCATTTTGATCAAAATGCTTCGGTCACATTTATAACATTTTGTTTTGAGTTATTACACCCTTCAGACCTTGCTCGTGGTCCTTAAGGTAACTTTGATCGCTGAAAAATTGCAGCAATGTTATAATGATTCCATGAATTCTAAAAGGTATCCTGTTAGTAGAGTTTAATACACCATCAACATAAGGTGAAAAGGAAAATATTCAGAAATTGTATTTTATCTTCTAGGTAAATACTGTGTTGGAGGTAGAATAGCAGGAGATTGTGCTGCTGGCTATTTGTGTAAAACTAGTATGAGTGTACCTAATCCTGATGTTTCTTATAGACCCAATGGTGGACCTTGTCCTTATGGTTATTACTGTGTTGCCGGTAAATTGAGCTTTTGAAAATAATTTGGTAAAAACCATTCTCAAAGACCTTGAGAGTAATAATATAAGATTATTTCTCCCTATTTTACCATCTTCTCTCTTGAATAAGAATTTGTATCTTTCTGTTAATATAACAAGAGATACATTTTGCTTTCTTCCAAAGGAGTTTATTGTTTCATCTATATTTCATTTTTATTAGGGACTTCAACTCCAGCAACTTGTCCACCTTTGAAGTTTATTGACAAGGAAGGAGCAGGCTCTGTATCAGAATGTCAACCATGCCCAGCTGGAAGAATCTGTCCAGAGAATTCTACAGTTTCACAGCCTTGCCCAGCAGGGTATTACTGTGAACAGTCCAAAGCAGTACAACCATGCCCAGTGAGGACATATAATGATTTACCAGGAGCTGAAGATGTGAGTTGGTGTAAAGCCTGCCCAGCCGGATACTGGTGTAAAGATAGCGGCACTGCAGATTATACCATTAACCCATGTCCACCTGGTTTCTACTGTATAAATGCTACATATAATCCCGAACCATGTCCATTAGGAACATACAGGTATTTGTTTTACAATCACTCATTATTGGTAACTTAATTTGATACACACACATGCTTATTACCTAGTGAAATGAATATCGTAAAAGTTATAAACCTATAAAATTCGTATACCTAAAACTAAAACACGCCACCAAATTGCAATCATCAGATGAAAAGTTACACGACATTTTGAAGGGAACCATACATGTAACAACATATCTCTTAGCTAACGGTACAAACATTAACATGACAATTCACAAAAATACTATTAATAGCAAAAAACAATAGCTAATGCTAACAGCTCTAAAAATACAGATTAAATTTGCATTTTCTTATTATGCAGAAGCATTTTACCAATTTAATTTCTTGATTAGATTTGTAAATTATCATTTCCTAAATCTCCTTCATATTTCAGAGACTCTGTGGCAGCAGGGGCAGTAGAAGATTGTGTACTGTGCCCACCAGGTTTTTACTGTCCTGAATTCAATATGACATACAGTGGTATACAATGTGATTTGGGACAACACTGTCCCGAAGGAGCACAAAACCAGACAATCTGTCATGCAGGTGAGATAAATAAGGATATCCTTTACATGAAAATGATACTGATACAATTGATTAAATGTGGATTGTTCAACTGTTCGTTATGAGGAAAAGCACCATTCCAAGCGTTAAAATCGTTTTATGATATTCATCCCCATATGTTTAGTATAAAAAAACCTCAACCCATTACTTGTTTATTTGATAGGATTGCATACAGCCAGGTCAAACTCGTTTCAAAGAAGTAATTCTTGCCTGTTAAAGAATGGGTGAAATTTCCAGACGATAAATAAAATAACACCTGCATATTCTTACTAATGGTTTATTTCAATTCCAGGGTACTACTGTAATATGTCTATGAGTCAAGTTCCATGTCCACCAGGATACTACTGTCCAGAAGCATCGGGTTTCCCGATACCTTGTCCACAGGGTTATTATTGCGGAGCTATAGATGACTGTAACATTACAAATGCTGGTAGGTAACAATTTACTTGAACTTTATTATACTTGTCTGTTTTTGATTTTGCTTGTATCCCAAGAATGGGAAATCGGCGGTATTATCATATATGGTACTTCGAAAGTTTATTTTTATTATAGGTGCTATTGAACCAAAGAAATGTCCTTTGGGTTATAAGGAATATGATGGTGCAACAAGAAAAACTTTTGATGATACTTGTGAACCATGTATGCCAGGGACTTATGGTGCTCACCCTGATAGGGCTATTTGTGAACCATGCCGAGCTGGAGTAGTGTGTAGAGCTATGGCGACTACAGACCGTCCTGTAGCTAATACAAGTTCCTTAGCTTATGTGGCTGGATATCCAGCAACAAACTCCTACATTTGTCCAGAAGGTAAGGAGTCCCGTTAATCTAAAGATTGTGTTATCCAGTGTCCAAATACTTAAACCTCTCAAAAGTGTAGTTCGCTGTTGTATTTTACCCATGGAATAAGTCAGAATAATTATATTTTTTTTATTTGCAAAAAAGCTTGACAGTAATGGGAAACGGGTTTTAGCTTATTTAACCCCTCTCTTTCGATTGATGAAAACCAGCGTCTAATTATTTTGTAGGATACTATTGTCCACAGAACAGTTCACAACCTACGCCTTGTCCAACTGGTACATTCAATCCTGACCCAGAAGCTGGTAGTCTATATGAGTGTCAGAATTGTCCTACTGACCATTTCAATAATAAAGAAGCACAACCTGGATGTTTCCATTGTGGTACAGATGCATCCCAACCATCAACTGGATCCACAACCTGTATCTGTCGTGGTGCTGGTAGAGATTTCCAGGTGAGGTCCCATCCATGTTATGGAACTATCTATTTTGTTTCAGCATAAGCCATGTCAATCTATAACCGGTCATCAGAAATAATCAAATTGTGATGATAATAATAATTTCAACACAGATGTGTTAAATTTCTTTTTCCTTTTTTGCTTAAAGATGATTTATCATTATGTACTACGAATCTAACAAATTGCAACAACTTACATCATTCATAATATCCTCCTCTCCTTCAGCCTAGTGATAGAAGATGTCCCTGTGCAGCAGGTTACATAGAAACCACAGACCAACAAGACTGTAGTAAGAAAGTATTTGACCTTTGTTTAGAAGGAACTTACCGAGCCCAGAATGGACAATGTCTGGATGAAAATGAATGGAAAATATACTGTTCACAATATGTAAGTGGAGACAATATTAATAAAGGAAATAACTTTTTGCAAGCAAGATGTCTGATTTATTCAAGTTCAAATCGAAAGTGCCATTGATCTATTTCAAGCCTGCTAACGCCTGATGACTGAGAACAAGGCCGTCTCTGGGGGGCATTCTGTGAGATTAAGTAGTAAGTTTATAACTTCTATATGATTCGCTACAGGTGGCAGGTGCCCACCCTTCTGGAACTCTACCACTCTATGGTTATTTGTTGACATTAGTTAATTGTTTACCTTAATATTTAGGTCTGTGAAGGAGAAAATAATTACAAGGGATATAATGGACCATTGGGTCTATGTCTGTGTAAAGCAGAAGACTTGGATGCCTTGTGTAACTTGGAATGTCGTAAAGCTCAGAGAAATACCATCACTTTTGTTTGTCCCGAGAAACCTCTTGCTCCATATATTGATATAAAAGATGGAGAAAGTAGTGTAAGTATGATAACATAGATTTACCAGTTTTTAAATTTTGTTTCTTAGTGAATAGCACTAGTTCACAAAACAAGATGTGATGCATTTAAAGAGGATTTCAGATAAAAAAAAAAACTTTTATCCAGACTATTAGATGGGTTTTGGCATTAAATTTCCAACATTTATTCATTTGTGGCTGAAAATTGTTCATCCCTTTATTGGTCTATTGTGAACAGCTTTTGTTGATTTTGATTTTCATTGTAGATCCAAATCCCAGCAAAGAACTTATTAACAGTGATAAACTCTCGTAATTCCATAACAGAAGATCAATGTGAAACATTTGATGGCGCCAAGTTAGCTGTTCACATAGTAGAAATGAGTAGCTCTGGGTTCCTGGGAGTGTACAATCCACAAAGTAACCAAGTACAGACTATGGTAGAGTCAAACACTAAAGGAAATTATTCTACCAATATCACTGCTGATTACACATCATATTATTCTAGACGAAGACTTTTAGCAACATCTAATTTAACCAGCTCTGTATTCTCTGGAGTATTGAATCCTACTGTTTGTTTGCTTTATGGAGATTTGATGTTCTTCAGTGTGAGCAATACACATTATCCAGTGTATGACAGGTTAGTGGAATACTTCTTTAAAATTGCGTTTCTCTTCTTTAATATTTTATAAACAAAACAACAAGTTATATCATTCAAAGTGTAATTGTTGTTGAAAAGTTGAAGGTCCTTCCACAAAATAATTCTTTGGAAATTACCTTATCAATATAACAGCTAGAACATAGATGTCTTGCATTAATCAATGATATTCTTTTCAGAAACAATCTCTTTAACACTAATGATCAGTTTGATTATGGTGGATTCAGAGCTCTGGTTGAAGCTCAGTCCCAGATAGCTACATCAACAACACTGTTTGCCTATAAATTCACTGACCCTGGAGTGTATGTCTTCTATCTTAGTACTAATTCCAATAAGAAAATGGTAAGGCTTTCTTTCTTGCAATTTCGGTTATTATTCTACGTTGAAAAACCAGACTTTCCACCGTTGATGAAATTTATTATATCCAGTTGATCAGTTGATTACGACTTTGTAATGTATATAAGTTTGTAGGTTTGTTATAGCTAATAATCTTTTTACATTGCAACTCTTATTTTCAGTATATTCGAGTCATGGACCAAGATCAGCAATGTACTGAAGATGGTCCATTCTTTCCATCAACCCCACGTTATATTATTCAAAATGGTATCGCTGTCAGTCAAGATATTTTGAAGGAACCCGATTGGTCAATAATTTTCATTTTACTAGCTGCTGGTTTCTTGGCCATGATATTTATGATCGTTTCTTTGGTAAGTAACACTTTTAGTGGCAGATTAAGAGACATGTCTGACTCAATTTGCTTTGCAGGTTTCAAGGGTATAATAATGTATATGAGTAAATACAGCAAAGAGAAAAGAAACGTTCTGGTTTTCCATTTACAGGTATTGTTCAGAAAATATGGTTGGTCCAAGAGCCTGTATCTTTACCCACTGTATCGTAAATTTGCTCAAACATTTATATTTGATGATTATGCCAGTAAAGGATCGACTGTTCACTGTGTGAAGAAATATCACCGGAATATTCAGGCCATTGCAGATGCTGGAGCAGATTCCGAGGTTGCTACTCAGGCAGCCATTTTGGATGGTAAGTTGAATGCAATAATTTATCAACATTTTAACATTTTCAACATAAAAGAACGATATCTCTACGTCAGAAAGCACCAGGTTTATAAGTTGATAAAATGTAAGATGCAAATATTTGCTTCCAATAGAGTGAAAACTACAATGTTGGCTACATGGACAATGGTAATTATAGTAACAGTATTTGTATGAATGCATTTCTAAAATCATTATAATTACAGCTGGAGCAATAGATGTGAAGAATGATGATTTCTGGGATTATGACAGACAGCTGGACTTGGAGGCATTTAATGTTAAAACTCTTTACGATACACTATCCAAACAATCACGCAGTGTCACACAAGCTATTGGCCAACACAAAGATGATGTTAAACAGATGTACCAACGAATAGCCAACCAATCGGAATCACTTAAAGGCCTCTGGGCAGCCAAGATGAATTTGAAAGGAGGAAGATCATTGGTCACAAAAGAAGATCTGGCTAATTATGAAACTAAGCTTGAAGAATTAGACATTGAACTGGAAAGACGAAAAGAAATTGGTCGACAGTTTGAAACCATTTTGAATCGTCAAGATGAATTACTAAATGATGATGAAACAGGAAGAGAGAAACATCAAGTAAGTGTGATAATATTCCAGCAATACAAGATAAAAAAACTGGTTTTGGCTATTTTGAATTACATACATATTCTCTATGCACTCATTTAAAAACATACAATCCATACTGCAATTCATTTAAATTTAACAAGGCTCATTGTAATTATTTGCAGGTTGAATACCAGACTTGTCTTCGTGAAGCTCATAGAATCCTTACTGATTTTACTAACAGTAAACAGAATGATAACGACGATGCCAGAGAACAGGATTATACCAGCCGACGAATTTCAATTCTTCTTCAAAAAATGACTGAAGCTGTTGATTCTGAATCCCGGCGAGTAGCAGCTTGGGGAATTTTGGGAGAGGGTACGGGATCCAGACTGGTGAAACCTGGTTCAAGGTCACCCTTATCTAAGGAAGAACTATTTGGTATGTGTAGTTAATGTATTTAATGTTTGCATATTTTGAATGCCGATGTTCAGAATTTATACTTTAGCAAGTGATCCGTAAAATCCATTTATCATAAAAAGTTTGAGCAAATTTCATTACAAGAAAAAGATTAAAGTCGTAGGGTGGTTCCCACATAGCTATTGGCATGCCAGTCTTATTTTACAAAAAGAGGTCTCATTTCTGAATTATCTCATTTCAGATTCGAATATGACAATCAAAGCTTCTGACATCATATCTGTAGACAAGGTCACTGGTCTGATTATTCCTAAAAACGACAGTGAAATGATCCTAAATGATGGTACAATTGTACAAGTACCAACAAATTATTTCATACATCCTGAGACGGGTCAGTTATTACCCATGAATGGAAATCTTGGTTTTGATTCCATCACATCAAAGATGGTTCCACTCGTGGATTCCTCTACAGGTAAGTTTTTACATTCATCAATAGCAGACAAAAAAAAGGTACCGTTGATTCTATAAGCAACCAATCCTTACATTCGCATTGAATTTCCAGCTGATATTACCCCCATTCCAGCCTTGTAAAGTACACTTTTTAGAACAAAAGTCGGTTGTCTCTTTAATTTGAGGTTTCAGAAAACCGTTCTAACACTAGGCACTAACAGGCATCTGTTACAGATACACATAGTTGAAATATTTGTTTAGAAACTGGGATGTGTCAAGAGTAGTTTTTAATCGTGTCACGTATATTTATTTTGCAGGAGAAGCAGCCAGGTCCACAGAATCTTTTATACCATTTGTACCTTATCCATGTTCTACTTCTGGTGAACCAATACCAACAAAACTACAACCATTGGCTAATAAAAATAGTTTAAGATATGGACAACCAATGACAGATCCTGTTACTGGAATGCATGTTCCAATAATTGCAATGACAATACATCCAAAGACTGGAAGCTTTTTACCTATTGGGGGAGTTCATATTGATCCAGTTACTGGTTTACATGTTGCTATAGAGATAGGATCTATAATGGTGGACGCTAGCAGTGGATTAACAGTACCAATTCTCTCTGTTACCTTAGATCCACAGAGTGGCGCGGTTGTTCCTGTTGGAGGAACTAAATCTGGAGGCATAGGAAATATCCCCATCATTCCATTTGATGGCTACGTAGATTCTTTGAGCAACAAATTAGTAAGAGTCCAAGGTGGATACCTTAAAGAATCAGAAGTACTGCCTTCTAGTGGCGGATACCAAACTTTACTGGATTCCAGCTTCTTGGCATCAGAGCTTCATGCTATTGCTGCAATAAAAGAATATAAAGATGCTCTACTTGCATCTGGTGAGATACCTTTTATAACATTGTTTTATCATGCACGGATCATTAATTATTGAAAAATGATTTGAAGATTAAAAGATTTTTGACAAAGTGTTAATTATGTTTAATTTGACTTGAAGTAGCTAAATGCATCAAGTTACTCTTCCTGTCCATCAAAGTTAAGCTTTAAGGTTAAAGAGTATTTAACTTGTTTCAGGTGAAGTAAATGTACGCCGTGAAGAAAATAATCTAAATGTAGCTATAAGAGATCTTGATAAAGCTCAATCTAGAATGAAAGGACATTTATTACATTATCAACAAAATGTATCACGAAGAAGACAAAAGGTAGAACTGTTGGCAGTGACTGGCGGTTCACCAGGTAGGACCACTTATACTTTTATTAGTTATATTGGTAATTTTTAACACCAGAGGCAATCCAAAGTTTTACATATACATTTAACACCTGTATATTTATGTTACCTTCCAATAGGATTGAGCCACTGGAAATCAAATTTTTTTGCAACCTATTTCTATCAGCCGTACAACAATAGAAAGTTTTTGTTTTAAAAAATGGACATTTAATGTTTACTACGTGAATATAATGAACTGAACTGCTATTTATTCTTACAAATATGGTAAATAACACCCAAAAAGGTCTTCATATTTCATCAAATTGTTTATTTGTTTAACATTGTTTACACTATATTGTTTAGGAATGTATGAAGACATCAAAACTGGTCAACTGTTACCAATACTTATTGGGACATCTATGTTGGATCCTTCTGGTTCAGGTCATTTAGTGCCAATTCTTGGAGCAGAACGGGATACCAAATCTGATAGAATTATTCCACTTGGTGGCACAATGGAAGATCCTGAAGGAAATGGTGGGTCAATTTTTTTTTTTAATTTTTATAATCTGATTTAACCTTTAATGAAAATAAGATGAAAATTAAGTTGTGATTTGTGGTTTACTGAAACCATTAACGTATTGTAATTAAGTAAATTTGAGGAGAAATAAAATCATGAAAAATTCGTATGATGTAACTGATTCCTCATGCAATAAGTCAAAATTTATTCATTTAACCATTTTCAGGCTTAGTTGCTATAACAATTGGTCGTAAAGCAGTAGACCCAGTAACAGGAGACCTTAGTCCGGTTATATCAGTGAGACGTAATCCAGAAACCAAACAAACTTTACCAGTTACTCTATCATCTGGTGGACACCGAAAGCAAAAGGCACCACCTGGAGCTGTTACAGTGTTAGAAGAAGAATGCATTGCCAGAAAGAGTTTCTGGAGGCGCCAAAGACAGAAAGAACAAGATCTGACAACCAAAGAACAGAAACTGACCCATACACTTCTCTTTAACATTGATACCATTAATACTACTGGAGTACAGAAATATCTTGAAGATATTGAAGCTATGGCCAATCAGTTGAATGATAATAATAAACACGAAGCTCAAAGACGTGGTGCTGCGAAGGAGGAACTTGTTTCTATACTGCCTCCTCCAGTCATTACAATCCTCACAACTGGTGATAAACGTGAACATGAGCAAGAAGAATCTCATGTTGTGGCACATGTAAAATTCATGGAAATTATCAAGAAGTTCTTTGCCAAGCTTCAAACAGAAGAAAAACGGTATAAGGACAGAATGGCAGAACTTGATGGAGCTATGAATCCAGAAGCAGAACACACGTCTCTCCAACGATACAAGCAAGCCAAAACACGTTTGCAAGCAGAGCTTGCAGACCAAATTAGCACTAGGATGGAAAAACTAGATCTTGAACATTCTTCTTTAGAATATGCCCGACAATTATCAGAGTTGTGTGCCATTGAAGCTAAAGCCATCTTAACCCACAGCGTGCTTCTAGCTGGTGATTTTGATTCCAATCTTTCTGGAGTTTATGGTGACTCTGATAAGTCTACTTCAACTGATCCAGAGTTAATTCCTTTACTCAGGCAGCTGATTGCCATGCTGGAATCTGGAGGACCATTTTATCTCTCACCAGAACTGCTTAATCTCATCTATACAGGACATGGCGGTTATGACCTCCATCATATGCATAAGAAAGATCAAGGTCATGATGAATCATTCATCAGTCACACTTCAAGTTCTAGTTCCAGTTCAAGCTCAAGTTCCTCATCTAGTAGTTCTAAATCTTCAGATGACAAGGACAGGAAGAAGAAGAAAGACAAAGACTCCAAAAAGGACAAGAAAATCAAAGTAAAACCACTTCAAAGTTCCAATACTGAACAAAACACTTCAACAGTTGTCATTGGTGACATGTCCAAAGTTAAAGACAATGATCATATGACAGAAAAAGAACGCCTTCAGCATGAGAAATATCTTTTCGAGAAACAGGCATATGAAGCAGCTCAACTGGAAAATAAATTGCAAACCGATGAGATCAATGATATTAACGATACAGTCAGTCAGTTTGAAGATAAGAAGAAAAAGATGGCAAGCGATGTTGCAGAAGCTTTCCGAAAGAAGATTGCTGCCTCTAAAACTGAAGCTGAAAAGGAGAAGATCATGACAGAGTATGCTAACAATCTTACTAAATTGGTAGATGGTTTAGAGAAACAGAAGCAACAGCAATTGTCAAATTTAAGACAAAGATTAGAAGAAAAACGTAGATTAGGAAAGAAAAAATTACACAATCAACATATAATGGAAGCTAAAGCTGGTGGAATTTCGGCAGACATGGTTCCTGATATAAGAGTAAGTGGCATCACCCTCCCAAAATTTTCTTATTGCATTAACAAAATTCAACATAACTGTTCTGTAGTCATGGAGCTTATGGCCTTTAATGATTGTTCTATTATTGATATCCTTCGATAGTATGCTAACTTGGTTACTGGCTAGCTTTTGAAGATAATATACAATACTTAAGAGTATGGGAAATTCAAATCCATTGCTTTCATTAATTTGCAGGTTCGAACAAATCCCTCACAAGATCAGGCATTTGGAATTTATAACAGTTTGTTACCATATGTTTGCATTCAATTCCATCCATGCAACGTTAGTTCGTGATGATTATCATTTTAACATTCAATATTTATTTAATATTCTGTTTTCAGATTAAAACTCATGATGAAATGGAACATGATTTACTCACACTTCAAAAGCAACAAGAAAACTTTATCACAGACCTTGCAAAGGGTGACAGACAAGTTGATGATGGTAAAGCTCTAAATGACGAAGATTTAGAATCCAAATTAAGACAGCTTGGATTAACACAGGACCAAATTAACCAGATTCTAAACAAAACCAAAGATAAAAACGACATTTTCCAGACAACAGCAAAGAAATTGTTAGAAAAATTGAAGCAGAAGAACTCAAATCAAGGGAGAGAACTTGGTTCAGCAGATCTTAAAGGAATGAATGAAGCTGAAGTAGAGTTTGCTAAAGCAGTGTTGGAAAAACAAAGAGATGCTGATAATTTATTGACTGATGAGGTTCTGATGAAAGAATGGAGAAAACAAGAAGAGGTATGCACTTTTATTTTTATGTGCTTTATGTAACAGAATATGTAAAATATCTCAGAACCATGTGATCAGGAAAATTATTTGAAGGTATAAACGCTTGAACAAAATCATGAGCTTCGTTTCTCAAAACGTTTTTTGTAGGTGTAATATTTTCCATATAAAATTATCCACACTGTTACTGCCCTGAAAAATTCATAATGATATTAGTGATTCTCAACATTTGAAATGATGCTTCTCCCACAATTGCTTCTTGTTAAGTATTGTCCCTTTCAAATATTACAGGTGTTGCATTAAAGGACATTTTTATTAATTTAATTTGATGGTTTTTAGGAGTCCAAAAGAAGAGCACAAGAAGAAGCAATCATGGAAATGACCATGAACTTAGCTGCAGAAGAAAGAGAGAGAATTCTGGCTCAATTTGAGAATGATCAAAGACAGGTCGCACTGAAGAGAGATTTACAACTTGACAAACAAAAGGATAAACTTTTAGCCAAACTTGCAGCTAAAAAGAGAATGAAGGAACAGTTAATTAAAGATCAAGCGGTGTCTGAAGAACTAGACCATGTTACCAAGGCACATGTAAGTAACATGATTGCATTGGTTTTAAGAAGGGATGGGTAGCATATAAACTTGATGATGAATGTCTGATTGATTGTTTGTTGTGTTTTCATGAGGTCTTTCTTTTAAATATCTGTCTGGTTCGATACGTTGTTGGAGGTGTTTAAATCTGAGCTCAATTCAGACGAGTTAAATCATAGAATGACGACATAATCCCTTTAATCTTAATAATCTTAATTTTTCTCAGATTAATATATCTGATGAAGATTCAGCAGATGTAATTGGTGAAATAAGCAACAAGCTCAACTCAGGTAAACTTAGTAAGGATCAACAGAAACTAGTTGAAGAACAAATGAAACAACAGGAAGCTCTCGAAAATCAACAACGTGAAGAAAAACGCCGATTAGCAGAAGAGTTGGAATCTGAGTTTCAAAAAGGTCTACAGAAAGTTGATGAACAAATCGATGATGAAAAGAAACTGGTAAGAAATATTATCATATTCATCTCGAATACTAGTGGGTGACAGGAGATGCCACTTTCATTCCAGAAAAGTGCCATGGTTATGTTATAATAATGTCCATGGATTATTTATTCCCAGGCACTGGATATAAATCAGATGAAGTTTGAAAGAGATATGTTGATAAAGGGAGACAAATTGTCAGAAGAAGAAATCAGACAATTGATGGCCAAACATGAAGAGGATCAGGCAGCTATTAGACATAATTTACGGAACGAAAAAGACAGACAAGCAGAGGCACTAAAACTGAAGGTGAGTATGACAACGGTCAATTTAACTCTCAGTATCTTCTAAGGAATGAAATAAAATTGCGTAGAGTTTTTAATTGGACTAATCCTAGATACAAAAAGGTAATATTGCAGGACAGTGAGATTTCAATTCTTTTTGTATATGCATTTGTCACACAATTTAAATGCAAAGCCTTTGGGTTTCCTGTTTGCACAATTACAGGTTCTGTGAATATAACTAAATCTACTCTTTCTGTCAGATTAATCTGAAAAATTGCTACAAAACATCTTTGTACATCATTGCAAAACTCCATCACCTCTGTAATCGACCATTTTTCAAAAATATTCCAGTTGGCTCAAAGACGTAGAGTGAAAGAAGCTCAACTTACTGAAGAAAATAGACTTAAAATGGTTGAAGAACTCAATAAACAACAGATTGAAAGAGACCATCTTAATGAAGAAATAGCTAAAGACTTGGAGAACAAGACATTAGCAAAGAGTATCCAGGTAATGCATCAGAATATTAACCTAATGGACAACAGCTATAGATATGAAAAACAATAGATCAGCCATTCGAGTACACACTTTTTGTAGGGGGATTGAGGCATTTTTTTCACATTTGATTCTGGACTATATTAATTCATCTTTAGAATCCTGCTCATTTTCAGGGTAAAGATGGTTCCAAGGTTGAGAATATGATATACACTGTTTTACGTCAACGTCATATGAAAGAAGCCATTCATTTAGAAGATCAATTAGCAAGAGAAAGAGAAGCTGCTCTTAAACAATCTAAAACTGAAGTAGAGAAAAATAGACAACATGAAAGAGATAAACTTGCTGAATCTTTGGAACAGGTCAGTACTCAAGCTAGAAAATAGCCAATTGCATCCATTCATGGTAGAAAATGTAGCCAATTGTATCCATTCAAGCTAGAAAATGTCGCCAATTGTATCCATTCATGCTGGAGAATGCAGCCAATTGTATCCGTTCATGGTAGAAAATGTCGCCAATTGTATCCATTCATGCTAGAAAATGTCGCCAATTGTATCCATTCATGCTAGAAAATGTCGCCAATTGTATCCATTCATGCTAGAAAATGTAGCCAATTGTATCTATACAAGCTAGAAAATGTAGCCAATTGTAGTAGTTATACCAAAGAATGGTCATGGAAGCGAAAAAGACTTTGGAGTTTTAAGTCTGAAAAGTATTCTGTTATATGTCTGTTCTACCACATTGATGTATAACTTGTCCATTAATTTCGCTGCAGGAATTGATAGAACTGGTAGCTAATGCCGCATCTTTATCTGAATCAGAGTTGGCGGTCAAGAAAAACAAGATGGAGAAAGATCAAAAGGTATGTTCACTGCATTACATCTACGTATATTTTACTACCAGGAAATTTGAAATAGACTACCAAAAAATCTTCTAAAGTTAAAACCTCAAAAATGAGATAACCTCAAAAATGAAATTCTTGGTTGTATTTTTTACTTTATTTTACTATTTGAAACATTATCAAAATGAAGCTTTGGAGGAAATATTTATGCGTTTTTCTTTAATGCAAATCATTAATAAAAAAAATGTCACAGCTATCAAATACTAGATATAAGATCAAGAAAATGTTAGGATTCACTTTTCTCACTGACTTAATGGTAAATCCACTTCAATTATAGAAACTGCTTGCTGAATTTGATCATCTAACTAAAGACCTAATTGACCAGGCAGAGAAAGACACATTGAAACAACTGGAGATTAAAGAGACAAACAAACGTCTGGATATTAAAGACAAACAGCTCAGAGAGTTGGCTGATGCCATGAAAGAATTTTCACCAGTTGACGAGTTGAAACAACAGTACGAAGAAGAATCCAGACAAATGGCTGAAGAAGCTGAAAAGTACAGACAAGAACATGTGAAAAAGATGGAAGCTGAATTGGAGAAGAAGAAGAAAGAGCATGCTGAAAGGGAAGAGGAGAGGAGAAAGAAGATGGTTGAACAATTACAGTAAGTTTTAGAGTCAAAAATCAAATTAGCTCATGATCAGTCAGTTATTAACTGAATTTGACCATTTGACTCATTCCCAACTTTTATCAACATTACTTGCATTGATAATTTATTACATTGCTGATTTTTAAAGATGAGCATCTCTTGATTTACTAGACAAAGATCAATTGAAAGTAATAATCTGTTTGTAGGAAGGTAGAGAGAGAACTTGAAGAAGAGCATCAGAGAGAAGTAGAAAGACAGAAAGAAAGGGAAGCAGAGAAATTAAGACTGAAAGAAAAGCAGTTGGAAGAGCGAAACAGAAAGCAGAGAGAAGAAATTGGAAACGCAGATACAACAGAAGAAGAGAGGGAAAGATTATTACGAGAACATTCAATGAACATGGAGAAAATACGCAATAACCTTGAGGCTGAACAAAATCGTAGTCAGAAATCGTTACAAGAGAAATTGGAGGCCAGACGAAAACGTAAACACGAAACTGCAGTAGCCAAGGTAGAGAAACAAACTCTTTTGGACACAAATCAAGAAGAGGAAGATGAACTACGACGGCAACAAGAAGAAGAAAAGTTCAACACTCCTGTGTCAGCTCCCATTCCAGCAGCTATAACCAAGTCGGCCCCAGTTCAACCAAGTTTTGAATCTAGTGGAAACCAAGAACAAGATTGGGTGAATTTATTGATGGCATCTCCATTATTTAAACAGATCAACGATTTAGAGAGCATGTTGAACGACAACCAGGCATCAGCTACACCCAGTGACAAAATACTAGGTTTGTGATATTTTTTTATGATTTGTTTATACATCTTTTGATGAATACTTGGAATGTAAAGATTTAGTCAATGTTTCCTTGTTTTTGTAAAGTGAAAGTAAGATCACAATAAAAAAAACACAATCAAGCTTCAAGTTGGCTTTGTGAGGAATTATTTTACTGATGTTAATCGTAATAAACTACCTATGTACCGTACCCAATGTTAATAGATCTCATTGGAACAAACTTCAAATCAAAGTCACATACAAGCTTTTGATCCAGACGGAGGTGTATTAAAATGATATTTATTTACATGATATCTTTTCTGTTTTCAGGAGGTGATTACTCTAAGCCTTATATAGATGTCAAAGATGCTCAATTAACAAGCGGTGGTAAACTTCAACCTGTGGATGTGAACAGCATCAATGCCAGTCAATTTGTTATTTATAGATTTGGAGTATTCCTCGTGAAATTATTACGTGAATCTTTAAATACCCCTGATGTGACTATACTCTTGGCTTCTAATCTCCCAGACAATAATTATAGTAAAAATGCTTATAGAAACTCTGTGTACTACGAACATGCTAAGAATATCTTATTCATACGAAAGGAAAGGATGGAGTCTATTGGTGAATTTGTGATAATCGTCCTCCACTCTTTAGCTCATATTAAAATTGGTGATATGACTGATGATACTAATACTCTTTTCTTACGAGAGTTTTATAAAGTAAGCATGCTTTCTGAATCTATGGAACAACTCTGCAACAGCTAATTTCATTTTATTGATTTTATGAGTAAACAACTGTGCATTATACACGCAAATATACGGTATCTCCGTAAATTATAGTAAAGCACATTTGTGTTTTGCTGATTTGCTTTATCGTGGTTGAAAGAAATCAGATTAAGCTATTTTGAGCAATCAAAAACTGTATGTGTCAGTTTGTGCAGTTAAAAATCTATTGAACACATTGCTCTAGTTTGTGATTCTCACAATTTGCTTCAAGATTGTAACAAAATTTAATATTTGTTTTACAGTGCCTCAGAGTTGTATGTCAAGATATGTTCTTCTCTCGTTCCAATTCTTCATCATTCACTCCATCTCATTCATCCACCACTCCATCACTCTCTGTGGGTAGAGGAGTGTTAGAGCAAGCACTAACGGGCAGTAGAACACCAGAAGATAAGATAAATATGGTTGGTGAATTAATAGATATGAAAGTTGATGGTCCAACTAGAGTAGATTTCTCACATCAGGTAATTGTGTTGTAATAAATTCTGTATCTGTGCTGCTATAATAAGGAGGGAGGGTTTAGGAAATACTAGTGATACCCACTTTTGTTTCTTTTTTTTTATATATAAACCCAATAACTGTGACATGTCACTGCTTCAATATCAGTTAAATTTGAATTTCAAATAACTATATACGTGTAATCCTAATAAAGTAATTAGGATTGCAATTTCTAAAAGGCAAACAATTGACAATATTGTATTAGGAAAAGCTTTAGGTATGAAACCAATAGTATGTTTATATTACTTTTTTTGATTTATTATGTTCTATCTATTTCTCAGATTGTCTTTCATATTAGCTTCTTCTGTAATACTTAATATAATTCTTTATTACAGAGATTAAGTCAGAGAGTATATGGGTATGAGAACATGGCCAGTAATGCCAGACTGAGACAATATCTATCTTCTAAAGGAGGATTTTTATCAACTGGTGATTTTATATCCTCAAGAATGGCTGAATTAAGAGGACAAACAAGTACAGCTTCTTCACCAGCACCTCGATTCAGGTAAAGGTTTGGCTTTTTAGGAACCAGTGTAGTGTAGGCATACAAGGCAACTGGTATTTACTTACAGAATATACCAAATAAAACAATATTAGCAATTTGGCCTCTCCAAAGGATATTCGCATGAAGGGTTGGGAAACAGTGAGCATGCCTTGCCCAGTTGACTTACACAAGAAAAAGACAAGATCCAGAAATCGGATGTAACCTTACTGAATGGTAGAGATGATGAATAAGCAAATATCTACAGTATTCATTCCTATTTCTTTCTCATGACCAAATTCATTTAATTTCAGTCCTCAAAGATCTAGAGCTACACCAGTGATACCTTCACCCAAAGATCTACTTGATACACAAATAATGCGACTACAATCACAAGCTGATGATCTGAATATCTCTCTTTCTCAGGTAATAGGACACTCCATTTCATCCTACAAGGCCAAGTTTTCAAAAATATTTTGATAACTCACTCAAAAGCTTTATACCAAAAATTGTCTCTTGTGATGCACAAACTTTTGCTGATTACTAATTTTCAATTTAACTCATTACAAGCAAATGAATTCGGCAGAAAAAACAGCTGTCAAAGTAAAAATCACTCATAAAACAGTTTTGTTTTAGCACAAACCTTAATTATAGGTTGATGTATGGATGTCAATTTTGTTGATTTCCATCATGAGTTGTATTCTGTATATTATACAGGGTGTTGTTACAAAAAAGCAACTATGATTATTCATACTCTATAATATTTATTCTAAACCATATCATTGAAGCAGATTATTTCAAGAAAATTTCTTTTTTAGACTTTAAAAGCTGAGAGCGAAGTTAGAGAGGGTCTGAAGAAGATAAATGAAACGGACCACCCTGAGCAGATGACTAGCATGAGGAAACAGTTGATGACACTAACAGTGGAGAGAGCAGATCTGGTCAAACAGGTAGCTCAAATAGAAACAGAACTAAGATCCAAAGAAAAAGCTTTAAAATCAAAGAAGTAAAGACAAAGAAGTATCGTCCAAAAAGTGCTTTTTGATGTTTATAGAAAACAAGACAGTGAACCAAACTGAACCTAAAAAGCGTCAGTCAGAAATGCAATAATTGAAATACTAAAAACAATGGAATTTTGAAGACGGACCTACAAAATATGAAGATTTTCAAATGAAAGCCTGGAAAGTGCTCTTTATTTGAATTGTACAAAAAAAGTTTGTTTTAGAGATGACAATATTATGACAACTCCAGAAACTTATGCTGAAATGACAAAGATATTGTGCCTTGTCAAATTGAACTGTGATATTGATGTATTGAATTTTTAATAATGTTTTGTATTTATTGTAATTGTTTTGTATCCTGCTGTGAAATCATTTATTTTCCTGTACACTGAATCTTGCAAATGTAGATGTAGCGATCAATCAAACCCCATCAAAGTGATTTAAATTGATGAGTTCACAGAATAACTCTATAACTTTTGTTTTGATTGCTGTGTTCTGTTTCATAAAAACTAAGATACAATCAAAATTACGTAAAAATGTAAAATATACTTCGGTGTTTGACCAGATTTTGGAGTAAGATCAGATAAAAGATATCCTGAAAAAATATATACGTCACATATTAATTTAAAAGACAGAGCTAAGCATTATTTTTATTTGCTTAATGTACACTGGTTTCTTGGCTGATTAACAATACTAAAACTTCATTAAAATATTTTATTTTTTATTTATGCAATATTTTTAAGTTTGTGAGCTTGCACATATTTTTCTGGGCAGGGGCAATTTTTGTATATTTATCAAATATGAATAAATCAAATATTTAAATATACATTTAATAGAATATTTACAGTTTATTATCAAAATAAATTCACATTGTATTTATATTAAGTCCAAAGTTCATAATTAATAGATCAATATTGTATGCATAAGCAATATGATCCAAATATTAATTATGTTCAATATTTATTTTAAATATTGTAAAGTATTTATTTCGAACATTCCGTCCAAATATTTTTAATATTGATTTGAAACATTCCGTCCAATATTTGCATATTTGTACCTTAGGGTTATGAATAAGATTGTATTAAAAAAAAAAGGCCTATTACTAACACTAATCAGTATTAAAAGTTTAAGAGAAGGTCTGCCAACAAAGATGATATTTTCACTTTATATTTGAAGAAGTGAAGGAAGACAATCAATTCCGTCCAATTGTATTTTGTAATTATATTTTATATATCTGTTTATTAAACTCTGTGATTACCTATTACCATCAATATTTTCTATCCATGTAGTAGATTTCTCTAATGGGTTCACCACCTTGTACCAGAGAAAAAACAGCAGGCAGTGTGAACACCCCTCCAAGAAGGCAAAGTCTACCTTTCAAGTCTTGGATCACTCCACAAAATTTTTGCTTTTGAATCAGAATGTTTCTTCCCAGTTGGCTAACTGTGTTCAGCATCTTAAACATCTTTCAGACCCATATTTTGAGATGTGGTTGTTGTGTGGAGATATACAACAATAGGCATTATATCATGATCACTAAAGGTGTGAATAGACAAGATACTGTATCCAGTGGGATTACAGATACAGTAGAATCAAAATCCTGCCCTGACCCGTACATCGAAAATTCCTTACACCATCTATTCACAGCTTTTTACTATTGTTTGACAAAATACTTATGGTACAGGCATTTGATAAATGTTGAGAGTATTTTCTTAAATCACTCTGCAAATAAAGGGGCTATTTAATATTGAATACCTTACCTTATTAACTTTGTGGCCTTAACACTGACCTTGATTATGTTTTCATTTGCCAGGAGAGCAAATTCACTTCCTTTTTCAATTTCTTGGGCTTATTGAGCATTACACTTTCATAGCTCTTTCCAAGTCGTCTTACCTGACTGCATCACATTGACTTTACCATGACAATACTATTACTAACTTTTCTACCAACTTCTCTTGAACTCATGGATGGAGAGAAAATTTAAAAACAGGTAATAAGTAATTACAGTTTTATTGCAGTAATAGTATAATAAATATATTGACAACAATAGGCAGTTATTAAAATATGGCAGTATTTCAACATCTGGCAGTGAAACAATTTACAAAAAATAAAACATATTACTGATTGAAACAGTTTTTGTTTGAAACAATTCAATCAGAAAGAAAATTTAGCAACGGAGCAACATATAGCTCACATTTTTGTAGGTAGTGTTAATAGTTATGGACAAAATTGCTTCTAGAAGTAAAATGATCAGGACTGCTTCTGACCAGGGTGTGCACAAAATCTTTTGCATGATTATAGATACAATAAAATCAGAATTAAATATGTTCTTATTGTTTACAAAATAAAATGATCAACATTTGTTTAAAAACAAATCCTCACAATAGAAATATGGTCAAGATTCAAAAACATGTACATAAAATATGTATAACAAATTGTGAGATTTCAAAATTAATTTGAAATCAAAACACTCCTCAAAATAAATAGAAATGTGACTATTCATAAAAATGCATATAACACTATGATTTTCAACATTTGACAATACCAGTGAAAACTGAATATCAAAAACCCTTAAATACAAAACAAACTCTTATAATCAACATTTGTTTAAAGGGACGTTCTCCTTTTTTCATAGGCAAAAATTTTTTTTTGCTCAATGTGAAAACTATACACCAAAATCTAGAGAAATGTGCCTTTTCACCGTTCTGTAAGTGTTAACTAAAAGAATCCAGCCATTAGATTTTTAAAACTAAAAATATTTGAAACTTAAAACATGCTTTTTTTATGAAGAAGTTTGATCAAGAAGATACATAGATATAATAAGCATACTTTATAAATATTTTCAGGTATAATTTACATTTCAAGTAAAGAAAACTTTGTACAAAAAATCAGAATACCTCTTTAAAACTCTTAAAATCACAAACTTAGGTATTCATTGATTTAGAATATTACATAATTTTAGTACTCCATCCCTATTAGGTTAAAATCAAGACTCTTCGATAAATTTGACACTATACAAATTTTTTTTTAACATAAGATAAATATAGCACTGATTTTAATCACAGAATTTCAGATTGGTCATCAATCTTAAAACAAAAGGCCTATGAAACTTTGCTCATTTCATCATTTGAGGGTCAAGGGGACTACAGGTTCTCATGTAGGATACAGGTGGAGAGTTTACCAAGTTTTTAAGTGGCTTTATTCGAAAATTTAAAAAAATACCACTGGCCTGCGGAAAAATTCCTTGAGAGGAATCCCTGGCATATGAGCTTTCATGTCAAATGATATTGGACACAAGATAAGATTTTCATTATAAATATCATCTTGATATCAGTTACATAAAAAAAAGGGAGTCTATATCCAGTACAGGTAAATTTGAAATATCAATATTATTGTCTAAAAGCGGAAATATACTGAATGTTATAGTGAAAATAATTTTGAAATATTTGACTATTCACAAAGAACAATTAGTACTCATCAGTCATCAGTTGATATTGTTGGTAAAACGAATGAACTTACAATGTTAGTTTGAGCACAACAGGAGATTTCAACAATTCATGTATATTGAAACTGGTGCTCTTAAAAAAAAAAACTAATTACAAAATCAACTCAATCAACCTTAATTTTCAAATTATTAAAAAACTAAAGGCCAATAATAAAATAAGCAACTTGAAATCAGATTTCTGAAATGACATAAGGATAAGTCTATGGACAGTTACATATGCTTTCATAACAATAAGGATAAGTCTATGGACAGTTACATATGCTTTCATAACAATAAGGATAAGTCTATGGACAGTTACATATGCTTTCATAACAAGAGGTATTTTATACAATAACTAAAATATTATATACAACAAAATATATCACAAATTGGCAGTAATAGGCTGGTTACTCATAAAACAAAATAAGACATTAAAAATAATAGCATATATATAACAAAATAAATGAACATAAAAAATTCAAAGGCCCCATTTAATTTCTAACAGACCTTCAACACTGAGTTTTAGTCTAAGTGGGCAAAGGCAATAGGAAAAATCAACTAAACCACTCTTACAACTGGTATAGTTGTGCATTACCTGATACACAAACCACCTCTATGACTTCATGGCTGATCTCTCCTATTGTCTTTTTAATTTTTTAGAAACAAGCTTTTCATATCCTGAACTGTATTCAGAAGATAGATTCAGAAAAGGTTTTCTAAGCCTTATATAAATGTATAGAGGAGACACTTTTATCTCAAATTTGCATTATTCAAATTTCTTGGCTCAAATTTTAAAGGTAAAAAAATCTCTCTTGAATCTCTCTAAATTCCCTTACAAACTTTTTCACCATAGCAGCTGTTTTACAGTCTACATAACTATGTGATATAATACATGAGTGGCTGGTAAAGCAGATGTTACCATGTAGTGTCACTTAATGTTAAACGTACAGATGCAGCATTTTGGGGGATTGATTTTAGTCTTGAATATACATTAATAGTCTTCAGAATTACAAGAAATGTACGAAAATTGCACAATTCCTTTAAAAATACTCGAACTAGGAACTTTATTCACTATTTCTATGTATGTCTTTTCTATATATCACAGAGGATCTTAAATTGACGAGTCCTCATTTTAACATTCAAATTCTGAACACACTTGAATTTGATGGCTCAAATTTGGACTGAGAACTGTGAACACTATAACTGATTGGCTAAGTTAAAAAATTCCTGTTTCTGAGTCTACAGTATGATTGGTCAAAAAAAAAATGGAGCATCCATCCCTTTAATGTCATACCCTTTGTTATATTACTTGGGTAATGGTATCATGGTATATGATGCTTTATTTCATTTACACTATGTGTTCAAAGGGTTAATGTTCTAATAATATACAAATGTCAATCACTTTCTACAAATAAATTGGAAGTCGATTATAAGATATGCGCATATAATTAACTTCTATCACAATATCAATAACAAATATACATCAGTATAGCACTAAAATCAGACAGTAATATGTTCTATAATGCAAAAGTTTTTAAAAAAAAGTTGCAATGCTAGTTCAAAATCAATGCAAAGTCATTTTCTTCCATAAAATGTTAACTAATTCAATATCAAAAAAATCATTTGTGGAAAACAAGTTTCTTAAAAAATCTTGAGTGGTACAGCATCTTTCAATTAGCAAAATTAATTTCTAAAATTTCACTTAACTTTGCATAATAACAAAAAATACAATCAAAACAAAACAGACCTAATAACAAAAACAACATTTGAAGTCATTGCTTTCATTTTTATGAGAATTGGAATAACAGCCTCAAAATAGTACTGTTAATCTTAGAGTCTTTGGTTGGTAAAAATATAAACATGAGCACACTTTATGTCTTCAAATTTTGTTTTCACAACGGGCCATTTTCAGTCAAAATTTTTGACATTTTTTGGGTTGAAGTTTATAGCAAGGAAATGTATTTCTTTTCAAAGTAAACTTCTAAAAACATTCTATGTAAAGTACTATTTTAAGGCTGCTATTCCAATTTTTATAAAATGAATGGTTAAAATTTTGAAAAATTTTTACTTTGCTCAGACAATAAGTCTATCAGCAAGTCATAATCCAGTGTCTATACAAAATAAAGATCCAAGATCAGTCAGACCTTTTACGTTTCAAGGGAGACGACTCCATTTTGGGAAATTTGTCTATTCTTGGTTTGTTTTTTTGGGGAGATTGATCATTCTCTTTCTTCTTTTCTGGCGTATTAGGGGCTGTGACCAATAAGTTCATTAAAGAGTCTGTACCATTTAGATTTATATCATTGTTTCCACTGTAGAGTATCAAGGCAGCTTGAATGGACAACACACGCTCATGGTTCTTGGCACCATCAAACAAGTCCCAATACACACTGTGCTCCCATATGTGTTTAATAAAACAGACTTTTGACTTGTATAGTTTACCTGGAACAAATTGAAAAATTGGAGAAGTAAATATAAGGTGACATCATAGATTTCATATCGTACAAAAAATATGTCGTTCTTAGATAGAAATAACCGACAAAAACTTGGTTGACCAACGTCTTAAACGCTATACACTTGACAAAATCAGTTGAATTTCATAATCCAGGATTCATCTGTAGGACTGGGTAAAATAAATGAAATAATCGATTATCATCGATATGAATTCATATTTTACATTACCACTAGGAATTTATCATTTCAATTATCGATCATCAAAATACATATATCAAGTATGTAACCTTTTTTGTGTGCTCTTAGTTTCCCTTCAGCACATGACTGACTCAGAAGTACCCATATTAAACTATAATAACCGATCAAAGCAATTAATATTAATTTTATCTTACAGAAATAACCCATGGAATTCAAATTTGGACATGTCTTTTGATTAGTATTTAGAAATTTTTAACTTAAAATATTTTGCTTATTAATCGATTATTGATCAGTAGTCTGCTATTGATAATCTTAATTTGGTAATCGATACCCATCCCTACAGTCATATATCAATTCACACAACATTGGGGTCTTGCAACTTAATCAACAGTTTGAGAGATTGGCTTCAACATTTATATAGAGGCTACTTCAGTTTAATTTTGCTTAAATAAAAATCAAATTATTTTTTTGCATTCAGTGCATTCAAGCTAGTTTAAAAGCCTATTAAATGACAAACATGATATGGTATAAAAAACATGAACACTTTAAAAGAAGGCATGCAAATTACCTTTAACTGATCTGTGTCTAATGCAGAAAATTCAGAAACCACATGATGAAAAGCAGCATGCAAAAGTGTAGGAAATTAGTGTTTACTGAAGTAGATTAATTGTCTAGTCTCTGTTCATACTCCAAGCTAGTCGCTGGCTGTATGTAAGAGAGATGAGTTCTTGAGTGCAAGCGTGGATGTTAATATCTAAGGCACATATAAGGAACAGAGATGATCGATGTTGTTTATAGAAAAATACCACACGAATATCGCTTTATAGTTATCATTGGCAATAACTTCATCTGAGATTGCCATAAGAATTTTTATTTGATTGCAGATGAATCATAAAGATTTATTTCAAAGTGATACAAACCACGTAAATTAGATATTCAATAATTCAACAATTATATCCCATCCATGTAATACAAGCCCTATATTAGCATAGAGGACCTTTCACACCACACCTATCCTGTCTCATAGTTCCATATCAATAAAGGATTATTGTCAAAACAAGGTAAAAAAAATAGAGTTTTTGCCTTTTTTTTTATTGAGAATTGGAATAGCCGCCTCAAATCAGTACTGGTACACTTAAAATGTTTTTAATTAAAACATAAATATGAGCCCACATTATGTCTTCAAAATTTGTTTTCACAGAGGACTATTTTCAGTCAAATTTTTGTCTTTTTTAGTTGAGATTTCTTTTTATTGTAAACGCAATGTAAACTTACAAATTTTTTATTTCTATCAATGCAGACATTCTAAGACTAACAGTGCTATTTTGAGGTTGATATTCCCATTCTCTTTAAATAGAAAAAATTCAAAAAACTTTTATTTGGCTCAGACATTAGATTAATGACTAAGGGCACAGGTAAAGGACATATAAATCAACCTCAATAAAGCATTAATTAAGGCACTATAGAAGATTAGTGATGAGATTATACATTGTGAAAAGGTAAGTAAGTATTAAGCTGGACTATAATTGTATTAGAAGAGATCTCATTAAGTTGTTAATATGGAAGAGTAAAACAGTCATAAGTCAATATACACTTGCCTAAGGCAATTGTAAAATGTTCAATGACAAATATTTCAAGTGAAAATTTCATTTATGCAACAGATATTCATTATTGAATTTGAATTGCAATGTCGGCCCACTTTTGACTTATGTAGCCTAATAATACTTGTAGGCTTGTAGGAAAGACCAAATAACAAAATATCTAGATTTATTATCAATATATAATATCATATAGCAATATATCGCCAGGGAAAATTTTTTTAAATATGAGAATTTGTTTTTTTATATGAAAATATGTTGTATTTTATAAGAAAATAATTATGTTGTTTTTTAAGTGAAAATATGTTTGTTTTTAAAATAACTTATGAAAAGTGGTCCAAATGAGTTATATAAAGTGGTCCGAGTTGTCTAGTATTCTTACAATTGACTTAGACAAATGTGTGCATTGACTGTAATTAACTGACATTAACTTACCACAAACAGAGCAGTTCACCCCACCACCATAATCTGCATAGCTTCTCAACAAAGTAATGACATCACACAATTCTAGCTCTTTAGGCCCACTTCCACCACTATCATAATGTTTCGGAGATTCGAACCGGGTTCTTTTTGGTCTCGGTGTATAGTCAGTCACATTGGTCGGTAGAAGACTCGATAAAACCATAATGACAACAGCTTTTTACAAGATTTTTTTAAAGAAATTTTCACCACTTCTCGCCATTTACTGTTATTTTTGTCAATAACATTGTACCGAAAAGGAGGACCAATCAAACTGCTTTACTGAGCAGATTCGGCCAATCATCGTAGGGTATAGCGTTATTCCGCGGGAAATTCTGTCAAATCGGAGACAATTCACCTCGATTGACCCCTTGTTTCCCGCCAATTCTTGATTATCAAGTCGGATATTTCATTGTAAATACTTAATAGCTTCCCTCGAATATCCAGGCTGTATCTTTTACTGTAAACCGACTTAGCACATTTTGATGGCAAAATATAGCGTTTTCGGCAACCTGCGAGATTCACATTGAAAATGCGGCGAAGGCCTCTAATTGAAGACAGTTTTTGAAAATAGAATTGATTCTGACACATACTTCGGGGCAAAAACGTATAAAAATCATTTAGTAAAATTTGTTAGAAAGTAAGGTTTAAAACTATATACTAACTATGTTAACCACATTTTTATCTAGAAGATCTCTTATTTGTGACCTTGGCCAGTGCTTTACATAGGAGCTTTTAGGAACTTGGGTCATAGACCCCATGCATGAAAAATATTATAGATTTTATAAACGACAAGGAAAGTAGGCAGCGGCGGCTTAAACAATTAATAAATTACATAATACAATAATCGAGACACCTGTTGGTATCAACTGACAAATAAGACTCCTGAATGAAATCGAATTTAAAATTACCTATCTATATATATACCTAGATTGTTGTAATTCAAGTGTAAATTGATCAGACAATAAGTAATTAAGCGTTATATATCGTACTAAAATATCTAACTTCAAAAGCCACCTAATCCTAGCTATTGCTATTGTTGTTTCACGTTTCTAATATTTTCATTTCTTCATTTTATGTATACTATTTTATATAACAAATGTCATCGCATTGTTTTATATGCATGGTTTATGTAATACATAAACTCCTCAAAGTGATATTAATTTTTCACCTTATAATAATTATCTTTTCAATGCTTCTAATTATAATATTTTATTTTTTAACTTTTATACTTCATTGTGTTACTTGTCATATACATGTACCTGTGTTTCATTTTATTTTTTATTGGAAATCATTGTACTGTTCTATATTTGTATGATGCCTACAAAGGGCGTATATATACAATAAATCTTATCTTACCTTATCTTATCTTAAAATAGAAACACCCAATGTAATTTCACCATTTACAACATCGCCACGCCTGGTGATTTTGACCAGTAGAATGGTATACCGGACTATTGTGTTAGATAAACAGAAGTTGATATAAAGCTATTGGCATCCTCACTGAAACCATTTTATACGACATACAGAACGACAACAACTAGTAAGCTAGTAAGCTAAGGAGTCAATTGTTGATTCACAGGAGTTCAACAACCGTATATTGATGTACATCTTTTTTGATATGTTCTTAGCCGGTTCGGACCCTAAAGCAACCTCTTTGGACTGGGCTTTTTTTTCACATGATCATCAATACTGACGCACAAATCAAATGTCAAAAAGAAATTGACGAAGTTGTTGGTTCTGAAAAAAGAGTCGTGTGGGCGGATAAACCTAACAGGCCGCTCTAATGGAATGCTATCGATACTCAAATGTTGCTATGACTTCGCTACCTCATACAGCTACAAAGGATACGATGATCAAAGGGTTTGTGATACCCAAAGGATGTATAATACTCGCGGGTATTAATTCCATTCACCATGATCCAAACCTGTGGGAAAAGCCAGAACAATCCATATCCATAAATAAAAAATAATTTCTTATTAAAATCCATGCAATGAGAAGTAATCAATTGACCAGGATATTTTGTAATTATTATTTTTCAGTGTAATAACCAAATGTGCTTTGAGAGTTCGGGCAAAAAAATTATAAAATATCCTGGTCCATTGATAGCAGAGCTTAAGCCTACGCAAAAAAAACCGCAATGATGTAACCCGTGTTTTTTTGAAAAACTTAATGCCCCTAAGTACACCTCAAGTCAACGAAACCAGATAAGAAATGACAAACGTATTGCTTCCGGTTATGGCGTCAGAGTCACACAAAGTGAGGTGGGGTACAAAACCGTCTGTCAATTTTACAATGCAATCGGAAGACCGTTGCATGTCCAATATAATTCACATTAGTAGCGTGTGTGACCACACAGACCTTCAATACAGGCGAATACTCTCCGATGCATATTCACGAGCAAGTTTCTCGCGATATTCTTCTTGTGTTTTCTTTTAATCGTTGTGTAAGCCCGAAATGCCATTCAACCCGTTCAAGGATCACGCGATTTTCATTTTTTTGAGATTTTCCCACCCTAATAAGCAACGCTGGGGTATAATTCTTATTGGTGTGTTTGGGCACTGTAATTTGGATTGACAAGCTATAAATTTTTTGTTAAAATTTCTTCCAGTCGTTATATTATGTTTCATTATATGTATGTATGTTTTATGAATGTGTATATTAAATGTTATATTATATTATCGATTCTTTGTCAGTTATTGAATAAAATATATATTTATACAAAAAGTAAAACTCAAATTCCAAATGATGCAACCAACGATATTTCTGCAATTTTAGTACGTCAAAAACTATTTTTAGAAATAACCCTTCCCTCATTAAACCCCATCATGCTCAATTCAGTTATCGATTTGATTTAAATTAATTATGATCCAGAACACACAGGATATAAATTCACAATCATCTCTTGACAGTTGACAGAGACCCTACATATATAGATGCAAAAATATAAAAGAAACTGTTTCAATTTCACGGAACACATGTTATTCTGTAATAATTCATGTCTTCGGTCCATTCAATTCACGATACCTCAGAGCTGTAACGATCATCAATTGTTACCAATCTAAACTGCCACCAATTGTCTCTTATACTTAGCGGTGGCTAATTCGTAAATGAGAACAGCCTCCTTCCCCTTAGTAGCCTCGACAGTAACCTGGTTGATAGGCTCTAGTTTGTATACATTTAGTGCTGATGTTTCAGAAATGAATTTCTGGTCTGCCTTTGCTTGTACAGAATTAGTAGAAATAATATTTGAGTCGAGGTTTCCATCCGAAGATTGCTTACCGTTACTGGCGATCTCTGACCCGGAGCTTATTTCGGAGCCGACGTTGAAACCAGAAGAAACTTTATCACTATCAACACCGGTTGATTCTGAGACAGACACAGTTTCTTCCCCAGCAAGGGTAGAACTTGCTTTAAATTCACCTTCTATCCAATCAGTTGCTATCGTTGTTCCAAGTGCTCCATTAAAAGCATCCCCTTTTATTTCACCATTTGCATTATCGCCAGATGAATTGTCTGTCGTAACTGAAGAAAAACTTGCTTCCAGGATTTCCTCTACCACAGCCGCCGTTGTTGTTCCATCTATATCATTAGAAACATCCCCTCCAATTGTCCCATCTGCTGTACCGAAAAAAACCGTTTCGCCCTCAACTGTAGAAGAACTGGTCGTTGCTATATATTCACTATCTACCACAGCTGTTGCTATCGTTGTTCCAAATATTCCAGTAGAGGCATCCCCTATAATTTCACCATTTACATTATCGTTAGGTGCGTTTTCTTTCGTAACTATAGAAGAACCTATTGCTTCCAGGTTGTCACCTACCACAGCCGCTGTTGTTGTTTCATCAAGATCAACAGAAGCATCCTCTCTAATTTCACCCGTTTCACCCGTTATACCGAATGACTTAGTTGCGTCCCCATCTACAGAAACCATTGTCGTTGCTTCATAGTCAATTCCTACCAGAGCTGATGCTTTTGTATGTTCATTTAGTCCAGCAGAAACATCCCCAGTGATTTCACTATCTACCACTTTAACAGACCCAGATTCAGGCGTAACTGTGGGAACGAATGTGGCTTCAAATTCAGTTAGTACCACAGATCCTATCGTTGTAACATCTGGCAATTCCATGCCGTCAAATGAACTGGTTGAGTCTTCTGATGCTGCTAGGACGATTGTCGGAGCCACGTCTGATGCAGTTTCCAGGGTGGAGATTCCTGATGCTACATCATTTTCATCAGGTGTTGTTGACCCTGTTTCAGAATCCGAGTAAGTGTTGTTAGGTGACAATCCTAAAACGAAAACAGTCAAAGCTGAACTTAAGGGATCTAAATATCAGTGACTGGATGTTGACGGAATTTTGAATTTTATGACCAGGAGAGTAGAGAAGTTATACTTTCATAGAAATTGATTAACGTGATCCATCTTGCAATTGAATAATCAGAGAAGTAGCCTGGTTGTGCTTAGAATGATCTATTCCATAAATTTGCCGACCATAAGTGAGGTATAAAATACAAAATTAAAAGTTAAATAATATACTAAATACCACCGGCGAAGTAACTTATTGCCGTTCTTCAACTAATTTACATTGGATGCTTAGACATCAGTGAGTCTGCTTACCGTTCATTTTACCAAGGAAAAGTCCAGTTCCAACATATCTTTTTGGAATGTACCTGGCTTGTGAAAACATCACAGCTATGGCCAAACAACACACTAAACGTACATACAAGGTCCTCATATCAGAAATCTTAAAATATAACAGGAATTCAGAATTAATTTGCATTTTGAGAGACATAAAATCCTTGCTGGAAAATCTGTGTTTTAAGAGGATACGTTCGTGGCTGAAAACAGATCTGAATAAATATCTCACATTTATGCTATTCATGGGTTCGTAAGGTAGACCTATATCATGTTTTATGTGTGACGCCTGTCAATGGATAGAGTGATCAGTTTAGTGAAATTGGCGATGAAGAATGGGACCAAAGTTGATAATGCTTTCAAACTATTGGGCTTTTCAAAAAGAAAAGCAAACCATTTGAGACAACGCCACGATCTCCACTCACCTTGTTCACAACACCACTAAAATCAGTATGAATTGTGAAGTCTGTCCGGATTCACAATGTAGCCTTATCACGCCCCTACAACTCCATTCTGATTGGTTTCCTTTGTCTGATCTAATTGGTACATATAAATAATGACAAAAATTTGCACTGTCTGGTAAGCATTCTAGAGCTATTGACACTGAAAACGTTTGTTGTGTAATTGATTCGTCCAGACTCATTTTAGTTCAGATTATGACAATCACATTATGTTATATATATTTCATAGTTTGTACATGTATATGGTACACATTTTATATAGCATTCAGACCAGAAAGAAATCTGAAGTAATAGGACCGACTCCACATTTTAAGAGATTTCTGGAAAAAGGTATAGAAGGTTGAATTTCAAGATTTAACATGGATATAAATGGCAAATGAATTACTGGTCTATGTCCAGATGGCAAATGAATAAGTGGGCTGTCGGTCCTTATATAAAATGATAGTTGTCTCCCTTGATTATTTGAACAATATATCAACTCATAATGGAGCCATTATGAAGAGAAAACAAAATGTTAATATATATATATATTTATATATGTTATTTAGCAGTAAGCACACGTACTTTTACCACGATGGAAGTTTAAACATTTCTTCACATTCATCTTCTGTTCTTTAGAATAGTAGTTTTTCAACCACCTTTTAAATACATTCAGATCAATACCAGAAAAATAAACAAAGAACCTCTCTAAATTTTGAGATAAGTAAATAAAAGTACGTCTCTTTTGGGTACTTTTTCGCTCTGATATACACCCACAGTCCTCCCTCGATAAAAACAATAATTCGTATCCCGAACGCTTCATAAATGTTAATGAAATCAAAATGTAAGCATTAAGTGAAATCTAATCTGAATGTCATGCAAATCAGCAATTTCATTTTATGCATCATAGAATTTAATGGACTGTTTTGGTTCATCTGTTCACATTGAATTAATCCGTAACTTTTTATATTTTTCTTTCTCTAGTGTCCAGTCAAGACGATTTGGTTCGATCTTTCGACCTTTTGTCATTTGCCATTTGCCATATCACCAGGCCCAGGGTGGTTTGTAGCAGGGTTAGCGAGGCGCAGTAAGCGAAACAAATAAAGCTCTCGTACCTTACATCTAGTGGCGCTGAAACAGTGCCCTGCTTTTTTTATTTTTTTATGTTAATTCTAAGCCGTAATGTCATCTTTACATTTTTTTAGGTTTAAGAAGGACTTGACCAATCCTCATGGTATTGATCTTTCTCGGATTATCCGTACCCATTTACAGCTGTTTCGAATGCTGTACAAGTGAAGACGACTTTTTCACGGTCATCGGATTTTCACATCCCGATACAGATAGACCAGTAGAATAGCATATCGGACTATCGTGTTAGATGTAAACAGAAGTTGTTTTGATATTTTGACCTCGCCAAGCTGTATGTGTTTTGGCTCAAACAGTTCAAGGGTTAACCAAGTAGTTAAACAGAACGACAACATCTAGTAAGCTTAGGAGTCAAGTGTAAACAGCTTAGAATGTTGAATTTGGGTGTTTGGAGCCTGACAGGAATCGTTGTCGGGGTATTGGTAGTAGCTCTATTGGTTCTGATGATAATTGGATGTGTCTTATCCAAGCGAGAAATTCCAGGGATACCACCAGGACCATCATTTCTTCCGTTGGTAGGAAATGTTATTGATATGAGTTGGAAATATCGTACAAGAAAGTATAAATATTTTGAAAAAATGGAGAAAAAATATGGATCTGTGTACCGATTATATTTTGGTCGTCAGCTTCTGATTTTTCTCAACGACATGGACTCCGTGAAAGAAGCATTTGTTATAAAGAGATATCTTTACAGACAGACCCACGGAGAAGTTCTGGGTGGCTCGCCAGGTACAGAAAGGTGGATTGGGTATAGTATGGTCAAATGACCAACTGTGGGAATGTACCCATAGGATCGCCGTTCGTGGGTTACAGGACCTTAAAATTGAAGAGAAGGTACTTAAAGAGACTGAATGCATCCTAAAAGAATTTTTGAAGCTCGAAAACCAGCCCATGGAATTGAATAAAATATTGCTAAGAAGCGTAAGCATTATTATAGGAGAGCTGATATTTGGAAAAAGGTTCGAGTATGATAATCCAGATTTTATCAAAATTCTAGCATTCTTGATTGAAGCTTCTCATGGTGAAGGTCCGTTAACGCCGATTAATATGTTACCCCAGTTGCTTTACCTTCCAGGAGCTCGTGGAAAATTCAAAAAGCTTATAGCTGGTGCTGAACTCACAAAGACTTATATTTCAAAGAGGATTGTTGAGCACAAGAAGACATGGAACAAGGATAAGCCAAGAGATTTGATTGATTGTGGACTGGCTGCTATTGCTGATGCTGATTCACAGGAGTTCAACAACCGCATATTGATGTACATCTTTTTTGATATGTTCATAGCCGGTTCGGATACTATAGCAAATTCTATGGACTGGGCTTTTCTTCACATGATCGTCAATACTGACACACAAATCAAATGTCAAAAAGAAATTGACGAAGTTGTTGGTTCTGAAAGAAGAGTCGTGTGGGCGGATAAACCTAACATGCCCTACTGTACTGCTACTCTAATGGAATGTCTTCGATACTCAAATGTTGCTATGACTTCGCTACCTCATACAGCTACAAAGGATACGATGATCAAAGGGTTTGTGATACCTAAAGGGAGTATAATACTCGCTGGTATTAATTCTATTCATCACGATGAGAACCTGTGGGAAAAGCCTGAACAATTCAAACCAGAGAGATTCATCGATGGAGATGGGAAGATCATCCACAACGAAAAGGATCAGAGATTGATTTAGAAGGGAATTTGTATACTACTCTAAATCCAAAACCATATTCAGTTATTGCTAAATCTCGAGTACATTAAATTACTCAATTATTGCATTGTGTTTATAAAACTAAATTTTCTGATATCTGTCCCATACTTCAAAATGACCATGTTCAAAGTTTTGTAAGAATATGGGCTAACAACGTGAAGCTCCGGATAATCGAATTCGTTATTTTACTTATCATAGTTTTAAAAGTCTCATTGGTGCACGGTAACTTGGTCACAGGAATTAAGTTACTGGAAATATGACCACAGTAATACGGGCACAAGGTATGATGGTCACAGTAATACGGGCACAAGATATGATGGTCACAGTAATACGGGCACAAGGTATTATGGTCACAAATTACCCGTTTCCCTTATTACAATGACCAAAATACCTTGTGCCAGTATTATTGTGACCAAAATACCGTGTGCCCGTATTACTGTGACAAAAATATCTTGTGCCAGTATTACTGTGACCAAAATACCTTGTGCCCGTACAAATGTGACCATAATACCTTGTGCCCGTATTATTATGAATATTCCCGGCGACCAAATTTCCTGCGACCTGTTTATGGTAAACATCTTGTATAAATAATAAATGCAATAAAGCCTTAAAAGTGGAACTTTATGAAGAGATAAAGCAAGCTGCTATAGATTTTACCATGTGACAAATACCTCGTCAGATATCCAGAACAAAAAGAACCTTCCAGAATATAAGCCTGCTTCTGCAATTGAACGAAACTGAAAACCTGGAAGCTTACGTACTTCTTTGCTACCCAATTGTTATAAAGTCAGTAAAAGTAACAACTTCTGACGATTGTGTTCCGAAATTATTTTGAATTTGAGTCAATATTATGCTAATGTTTGGTGGCTTTGTAATAAAAAAGAAACATTTGAGAATCTAATATATTATTTAACATTAACATACATAATATCAGTTTGGCAGAATGGTCTATACAGCTGTTAACGAAGGGCCTAATAATTACTATATTTTGGGAAACCAGGACAACACAATGTGGTAAACCAAGTTCTGTAGGTCATAAACACATTGACAAGATCGATCTGAAATCTGTAACTGGAACATTTTGAATTGCTACCGAATTCACATCGAATGCGAATCAAAATTTAATAACATTAGCCAAAACTCTATTTTGGTATGATAAATTGTTCCAGTCTAATTAAAATTAGACCAAACTTTCGTTTTTATTAGCTTTTATCTTTAAATAACCACTTCAGTTTGGGTCTAACGCCTGGCCTATTAAATATTTGTCAAAATAACCTTTCGATCTAACCCTGTTTTATCCAATCAAATTTCTGCCCTCTTCAGCGCTGGAATTTTGTGAGATTAAAGGAATTCGAATGGTTAAAGCAGATTTAATCAGATTAGGACAAAAGGTCATTTTGACGAATGTTCAAGACGGCTGTCTGTAGACACTAACTGAAGTAAAAAGCTAATAAAAAACAGAACGAAAGTTTGGTCTAATTTTAATTAACTAAAATTGTTCAATCTAAATTGAACCCTGAATTACCATTTCAATGTTGCATTATGCGTGTATGCTTTTAGTATTTTGCACAATTATCCATATATGCATACCTCATAAATTTTTTTTAATTTTTCTATTGAGACACCCTTTCTGTCAATACCTTTCGATATCCAACTAAAGAATGATTAAATTGAATGCCCTGACACTTTTATTAGTCGGTTTAAAATTCTCAAAGGAACCGTTTAGTGTAATTTCACGATGTACATTAAGAATAATTTAACAGAACAACACCCTGGGTTCCCAAACATTGGATTAAACAAAAATGAAAAAAAAAACAAAATCAAGAAACTATATTATTAGCTATTTACAGCAGATTCAGCAAGATGTAATGGTTTGTGGCTAACAACAGATTTTAAACTTCGGCAATTGGAAGATCAAAACATGCTGGTTGATCGGCAATATCACATTATTTGATTAGACCTTTCCGTTAAGAGTATAAAGCAATTGTAAAATAAGACAAGACAATCAATAAACAACTTGGTCCAAAGATATCCTGAACGTATGAACGTTGAGTCATTTGATCACATTTACCCTATGTAAGAAAGTCATAAATGCAACAGATAGACCTTTGACTCTTCACCGTCGTTTTTGTATCATCAAAAGTTTAACCTAAGCACGAAGAACACTACAAAACTATTTAATTTTGGAAATAAATATGAAAAAAAATATATAAACATGGTTTAGTTTACTGTAATTTGATTTAATGTGGGTATATCAAAACATATTCCTACAGCAGTGAGATTTCACAGAAAAGATTGGCAATAAATCCATGACATGACCATAATTGTGCAGTGGTTATTGTGTAGCATACGAAACTACTTATATGATTCTTACTTTCAAATGTGCTATTACAAAGTAAGAACCATACATACATAGTTTTGTATGGTGGTGAAGATAAAAGAATTGACCATAATACCTTATTTTTGATTCACAAATCAAGAGGATATTTATATCTGATCATTTCTTTGGCACGATTCCCCTGACATACTTGGTACAACATGGATCATTACTAAAATGAATCCCAATTACAATATGGCATCATTTTCATGTGAAACAGTTCTTACATATTGAAGCAAATCTCATGCTATACATTAATTTGTCAAAAGTCAATGAACGAAAAATGTCCAATAATCCAACTTTGGTACCGAACTATTTGCTTCTTTTCTGCTGCACTTGACAAGGAACACTGTCTATTCAATCCTTTCTTCAGATACATTGTTGAAAATAAATATAACCCCATATATACAGCTGCCGGTATACACACGAATATATACGATATAACCCTTCAATATCAACCAATATAAGAAAAGTCCCTGCGCGGTACCACATTATCATTGCATTGTGCCCAAGACACTGTCCAGTTTCAACTTGAATCCACAAACCAAAGACTATTGCTTAAATATCTCGTTCGTGGAAATTCCTTCTTAAGCGTGTCAGCTTTTCTCCATCTTGTGTAATGCAATCATCTCGTTTCATAAAAACCAAGACACTGTTTGGTTTTTTCCTTTTCTCCAATCTGGATAGCAGGACGTGCAATACATTAACCCTTAACATCTTTGGACGGCAACAAATGACTTCACAAACTAAAACTGTATGAAACCAATATAACAGAATCACTCTTTGTACATTTTTGTAGTTTATAAAAAACAGATCTTCATTCCACAGCATATTTTCAGATGATGTATACTTTTGGAAATAATAAAAAAAAAATGTTACGGGATATTCACTGCTTTTGAATTATCATCATGTACCAAGGATCCGTGATCATTTTTACTTGACCTAATGCAGATGTGGTTTCAGATTTCATTATCACAGCTATAAATCAGCAATACTAAGATGATCTGATAATTTATTTGTACGGCGGAATGAACTGTTTACTAATAAGAATCTCATTAAACTTTTTCATTGTTTCGAATTTTCAGCAAGTCTTCTCATTTCGGCCTCAGCGTGGTACCTTTCTTGGTGCAATAACCGTCCTCGTGTGACCAACAGAAAGATAAGTTCGAACATTTCAGCTACTGTTATTAAACTGAAACCCATAAATAGACCAACTTGACCTCCAATAGAACCTGTAATGACAAGAAAGGTCACAAGGTATATACTGAAATACTATTGACGAAATATTGGCAACAGCTAATGAACTTTTCACATGAGGAAGTATATAAATCATAAGTAAGTGAGTATTTCATAATGAAAAGTGGTATTAAGTGTCTAGAAGAGTAAGCATACCCTGCCTGGCACCACACCCGTCATAGCTTATCAACACACACTGCAAAAAGAAACGCGCCAACAGAAGACAGCAACTTAAAGACGAATTTTAAAAGTCGAAGGGACGTAACTGATGAAAACCCCGTCAACTCGGCTGATCAATGTCAAAAGGTATGGTCAAAGTCAAGGACCAACTGATAGAAGGATCTTAAGCACCTTAATTCTCTTTTTTTTATCTTTATGCACGATAAAAGATGGTCAGGAATGCTTACCTAGAAGTTTCTCGAGTGTATAAACTGGAACCTGTTCAATAACGGTCACAACGGGATCAGCAAAGAAAAAATGAAGTACAACAACATCAGCATCCAGATTTTGGCTGAAATATAAAATCAAAGTAACAGTTTTCTCCCTTGAATTAATATAAATTTGTTTAAAATCATCACATGCTATTGTAGTCTTCTATTATATATTAATTCAGTTACAGTTACCACAACGTATAGTGTAAAGTTTTGTTTTCTGGTAAATTAGCCAATTAGTAATATTAGCCCCGCTTTGAACTGGTACTCCATGTATCTCCTACCGCATTGTGGCTTCTACCCTAATCTCTATCTTATTCCTCTCAATCCGTTTAATTACTCTTTTTAATCCCTACAGCTGTCTTTTTACACCTCTTCCCTTTTGCCTTTATTGTTTGTTTCCATTATCAATGTTACCTGTATATATATACTTATGTTACTGATTGTTTATAACTATTATAATCCTGATGACGGTGTGAGAACTACATTGGAACGTTGAAGTAATAAATATACCAGAAGTATCTATCCATAAAATTGTCTTATTTATCTATATCTTGTGCTTCTAATATGCCATTGAAAGATTAATATTAAAATGTTACTGAATGAAAGACAAAGGTATTTAAAAAGAAGAATCTTTGTCTCTATATAGACGTATATTGCAAACATTATTACCGTTGGCCACAAAATGTGTTAATTGGAGCTATTTTATTTTAATGTGTACGCAGTATACATATACATGTTTATGCCTTGAAGTCTATAACCCAAAACCCAAAATATTTTGATGTGCGCAATAAATCTACCATAAATGCAACTAGAAACTTACACTACTTTTTCAAAGCTTTCAGTAGCTCTGAATTTAGCACAGGAAATCGAAGCTTTGTGGGTACTCTCTTTACATGGCAGTGGGCAGATACATTCAGATTTGGCAGTTCCACCTCTGTAATAGTCCTCTGGAATATAGAATTGAAATGGATTTTGTAAAGCATGAGTAAGGCAGACCAATCATCATATTATTTATTGTTCTATCCAATTCGAAATGTGTACTAATAACCAGTAAAAGATATATAGATCGCATAGCGTGATACTCTGAGTAACAACATGATTCAACTTCTGTTTTTATTTTTCTATAATGATGTATTGAGCTCTAGTTTTACAATGAAAGTATTTCATTATTGTATTAATTTTTGTACTAATTATTATTAAAAGCCTGCTGCCTCAGATAGTCCACGTCTCCCCTTTACATGTTTTACTGATGGTTTGCCCAAGGTAGAGTGCATGTTCATTCAGACTAAATGACGTGAATGGGGTTTTACGTCCTGCTTTTCTGCACCATGTGGGCTAATGAAGACGGGCAACGCCATGCATGATGCGATGAGGAAAATTTACCAGGACAGCGGCATTAGCCTGCTCTTTGTCGATTTCCAACTGTTCAGGCATCTTCAACGTGCACAGCCTGTAGCACACATGTATTTTGATCAATGCCGACTATGTATATTTTGACTATCTAAATATGAAATCTGATTCATGGGTGCTACTGACCGAATTTATGTATTTTTTCATAGAATATTGCATTGTCAATCAGAAACCAACCCATCACAGTTTTCTGAAAATTTTGATTTTGTCTGGAACAAATATCGCATAATTCCTTTAAAAATATCTCAATTTAGGAATTTCATTTCCTATTTCTACAGATGTCTTTTCCATATATAGTAGTGTCTCAAACGAAAGACGACTCGTCTTTTAATTTTCAAACGCGGATATTTCTAGACATACATGCATTTGAAGGCTCAAATTTCGACGTTGAGCTGTGAACACTGTTACTAGCTAAAACAATTCCTGAGACAAACGACAAAAAAATATAGCGCCACGGTCCCTTTAAACCTATATTTGATTTTAATTTCAAAAGAACAAAAGTATTGAAAACCTACTTTCAGCTTCTCGGTAACATTTTATCAAACGGTCTATGTGGCATAAACTTTCGTTTCCTGTAAATATATAAAACAAGACAGAGTAAAACAGTGGACTTTATATAAAAATAATGACAAGGCCAAACATTAATCATTTTAGATAATTAGATTTAATTATTCTTACATTAATGTAATCGAGAGCACAATCAAATTAGATTGAGTTTGTTTGGTGCGATTAGATCACCCAGTACAGGTGAATAATGCGAAAAGGTTGTAATATCATGCCTTCAGTTGTGTATTAAGGAGGAAGGTCATGTGGCCATGGCCCTCCCCGCAGACCTGTGAAAGTTTTTTTTTAAAGTAAAAATTAAACACCCCGAATGCTCAAAATTCATCTAAAACCCGTAGGATTCTGGGAAGCCTCTGGGCTCAAGGGGCTTCGATCCTTCCGGCCCCGCCTTGTCCCTTTCACCTTCATGCACGTGAAGCGACAAGATCCGACAGAATAGATTGATTAATTCCACTGTCACTGAAAATGGCTGGACCTATACTGAATAAGACTGAACGACCTCCTTTGTGAGATTTACAATATCAAAACAACCTCCAAATATTGAGGTTCTGTTTGGCTGACAAAATCAGATAACAGCTGAATTATCGACGACTATATGTTCATACAATTGGTGGAAATCGGATTGATCAGTCGATCTGAGCGAACCGACGACAACAATTAATTCAGAAACACAAACAGCCAGTTGCTGCCAGTTGTTCGAACTTGTTATACGTTCAGTTAATAGGTCTAATAATATACGACAGGAAGCCGCGATCGTCTCTAGTTGATTGCTGGTAGCAATCGTACTAAAAAAACTGTACCAATTTAGACTGCTGTCTTTTTCAAGACGTAAATTAATATGACTTCATCAAATCTGTAATAAATGCATGCACATGATGTTAAAAATTTCTTAAACGCACCTGCTACCAGAACACATTAGGAAATATTCATAATGAAGATGTGAAATTAATTATACCACTATTTTTATACTTAAAATGAATATCAAAAGCTTTGATTAGCAGACCTATGTATTTCAATGAAGATATTGCAGATTGAATTAATTAAATGTATTGCAGATGAGTCGTTAGGTATGGCTATATTTTTATATAAACATATTGATATGTAAAGGTTTATGTAAAACTCTGAAGCTCAAATCATACATAACAAGATGCGGCAGACGATTGGGTTGGTCATGGTGAGCAACGCCTTTCACCATGTGGTTTAGGCACTTAAAGTGCCTCACACCATTACGATTACCAGTTAGGTATGGTGGCGAATAATGAAACTTGTCACGATTACCGAACGCACAACTCAGTTGCGTCGCGTTCGAAAGTTATGACGATATTCTTATTCGCAATCGTACGAAACCGGTGATGGCTATGGAGTGAGGGCCATTTTAAGCAACAACTACCAACCTGAAAATCAATGTTTATCACTTTAAATCTACCATTTATGAGAGGAAACTATATTTGAAAATCTGGAGAAACTATTTTTAATGTCACTAAATAAAATATATTACGACTGATATAAACAGTATCATATTGCACGAGAAATAATACCTTTCGCTCGAAAAGGAAATGTTTTGGCCAAAGAAAACAATACCGTTAAAACTGATTTGGATTTGATTGGATTCGATCGGCGATAGTGTGAGGAGTTCTTGACTTTATCATATTATAGCGAATGGATAGTGTTACTAAGTACCTATTTCAAGGATTAAAAACACATTTCCAACTGAATTATAAATTGATAAATATTAGATAATGTGTTTAGGCCATTATTGTAGAATTCCAATCGGGTGTTAAGTTGTAATGTTAAGGATAATCGACGTTGTATAAATGTTAAAACTATTTAAATTCAATTAAATTATGAAAGTGAATATTATGACCTTTTATCATGAATATTCAATTACATATGGAAACGCCCACTTAATGCTAGACACAGAACTGAATATTCATCATCATAATGCAGGCATAACACCCTTTGTTGTCTACGTTAAATACCACCAGCAAGTAAGATAGTCGATGCCCATTACGATAGTCTGCAAGAGACATTCACCCCTGTTCATAAACGAAAGATGATTATTGCATATTCAAAAACAAAATCTTTGTTCGTAACAAACTAAATTCCGTGTAACAATCTAACCTTCTCTAATTTCAGATCAGAACAGAGGAAAAATCCCAGCAGTTTGGGCCAGCTTCATTTCAATTTTCAACCTTGTACAAATTTTTCTATTGATTAATCTAGTAACTACTGTTTAACACTGCTGTTACGACATAATAGATGCATTGTCCACGTTTTTGAAGTTAATATTTCTGCAATCTCGCCTATTAAAGTAACAGATGTTTATTCAAATTGCATCGCATAAATTCTTTTATAGTATTGATCAAATTAGCGTTCGACTGTTATCAACACATTATTCAAAAACCAAAGAAAACCGTGATAATTATTATTATGTAGATTATTGTATGATGCGTTTACACTGCACTGATATTTAGCCGTGGCGTACTCGGTCCGAACAAAGACCACCTCTCCTTGCGAGACTCGACACACTTGAAACTAGAACGATGTCCCAACTCTCTCAACTTGACACTGACACTTTTCTGTCGAACCGTGCTGGATAATGGATACAATTATTGCATCGACGTGGATCTTTATGTATCGATATAGTAGGATTACGCAACACGTATAATATTCTGGTATCAATACAGTTAATCCTGCTTTGTTGCTTATTCTAATCCAATACTCTCCAAATACTAAGGTCTTAAGGGACCACCTTCATTAAGAGACCACTTTGTAAAATTCCCAAGAGTGGTCGCCTAATACCGTTTTTACTGTTTATAAGATAACGATTGAATAATAGTCTACTGTCTGACACCTTTATAAATATGGAAATGTTTGAGGCTCTTTCGTTGCTTAAAGTATTTTGGTGTTTTTATTTGCCTTGATCCATTGATAATTAACGACTTACGGAAATATGGAAAATACGATTTGCGAAATAACATTCGTAACTAGAACTCGGCTAAATAGCTAGAATTATATCGAGTTGTGACATGATAACCAATCTGTATTATGTAATGGACACATGCGATATAACTATTATGCATTGAAAGTAAATGTATATTTTTCTCTAAAGCGCATGCTTGTGTACTGATTTTTCAATTGTGTACCGAATAGAACCAAGTGGTAATTACAATTTACAAGTATTTAATCTTTTCACTTCCCTTTCTTACTTGATTTTAAAATACGTATAATTGTATATAGCTCTGTCTTAACACCACGTTAATACATGGAAAAGACGTTAATTTTAACAACAATTCCATTACCTTTATGTAGAAAGTGTCGACACCCACAGGTCTGTACCACATAATCTATAAAACATTCATTTTCACACGCTTCTTTCGTATAATTTTCATAGCGTTTTAATGGATTCACGAATTTATCGCTGTTGGTGTCCACACAGGTGCTTCCACCAAACGCCTTGAACGGTGGTTCTAGTCCAATTCTCTGAAAATGACAAAAACAATATCAAGTAGATTGAACGTAATCCGAGTTTTTGGCCCAATTATATTAATCTGTTTAACACGTGTAAGGCAAAATTTTTGAAGAAGATTTCTAAGCATAAAAAGGTTGAGGATCAAGTTGATCTTGTGACTGGCAACGGGATTTTAACGACTACTAACGACTTTGGACGAATCGACTGAATCAGTCGCATAAACCACAGTTGCCACCCACAAATTGCCATTGTACTACCCTTTTGCAAAGATTGGCGTTTGTCCTCGTTGAAATCAGCGATCATCTAATTGATCGCATTACTAGCTAGCATTCAGTTTCTCAACATGAGAATTTCGGATCCGATGGGATGCTTTAAGTCTATTTGAACCCATCTTTGGAATTACAGCTTTCATGGAAGTAACACGGATGAAACCTAATGGTTTTACTTCGTATTAATCTACCACATTGAAGTGATGGATAACGGAGGACGCCACGCTGGTTTCTGACATTTGTACAAAATATTATAATTAGGGTATGAAGCATTAAAAGAGTTCACACCACTTCCAACAAGCCCAGGACTTGGCAGGGACAGAGCTTACAAACACAATGAACGATTGTTTTTTTAGGTTATTAAATGAGAAGAAGAAAAGTCATACGAACAGAATTATATAATGTACCAAATATGAGATTTGTTGGTTCTCTGAATGTGATGCCGAATTGACAAACCCTTATGGGCGAGCATTACTTACTCTACTGGCGAAAAAGTATTACTGGATGTCCCATTAGGGTCAACCTATCCTGCCTTGCTGGCGACAGTCGTCACAGAAATCATTGTATTCAAAATTCAACTTTGACTCGGAGCATGAAAGAACATAAAAGCTAATAGCTTGAAATGATATGAGAGTTTCGCTTCCTTGTTTGTGCTTCTGATATATCTAGTGAAGACGAAATTAGTGTAGATAATAGTCCACAAGCAAAAGCTAATCTTAATCAAACAGTAGCAAAAAACAGATCCAATTTCCTTGTGTGCAGGAAAGTAACAATGTAATATAATTTACTTTTCGAGAAAATTAATTTCAAAGTTTTGGACATCTGTCGTTTCTATTAAATATTCATAATGATATAATCTGAGGTAAATGTAAAAGACTAAAAATAAAGATGGCTATTTATGACACTTGTCTGCAATATCATGTTACCCTTAATGGTTGTTTGAAGCTTCAAACGATTGTAAAAATGAAATGAATGGAGTTTTCTGCGCTATTTAAAAGGGTTGTAAATATGTTTTCTAAAAAATTTTAAGTGAATCGCGGACACTGATAGCATCAATTTCACCATTCCAGTTTTAAATCAGACGTCGGTTTTAGTGGAATTGCAGGAACCACAGACATCCGATTGAAAATTGGAATGCTGCAAATTCATGCTTTTAGTGTCCCCTATACACATAAAAAATGTAGAAACCCTCTTTATAGTCCTTTTAAGACTTCTTAATTGAGAGCAGTCAAATTTACTTCAGTACCCTTAACTGTCTTCACCACAATATTTCGATAGATGAAATAAATGTTGAGTTAGTTTCTATTTCTCTTATCTGAGATGTACTTACCACGTGTTTTGATACTTCGATCTCAGACGAACAATTGGCTCCAACCACAAAACCCCGAGATTGCGGTAGAGGATCTTCTTCAACATCGTGTAGAACTACCTGAAAAAGAATGAATAACAATGATTTTAAATTGGTGTTGTTTCTCTAAACACAGTCCTTCTCTTTTAATTTTGTGATCATTTGTATTTGGCAGTTACGGGATTAACTAAAACTCAACCCAGTGACAATTTCTGTTTGTAATTGGTTATTTATTGGTTTGAATACATTCAGACTAATTTTCGTCGAATACAACCAATCATAGCACTCGATTACATGCCAAGCCACAGACTTGCATTAACAAAATTCCGCATAACAAGACATGTTTCTAATAATGTCAAGGTATTAGACGCAGATTGTGAAGATCTAGAACTAGTTGAGGGGCCTTGTCAGTGGCAGCACCAACCTCCCAAGACAATTAGGGGGAATTCTGAGAAAATTCACCTTAGAAAATTTTCGAAATATTGAATTGATATGGTGCATTCTGACACATATTTGGGAATAAAAACGTATAAAATCATATTTTTATGTTTAGTTACGAAAGCTCGTCCTTGTTCACTTCATAAGTTAATTTGCGATGATTATCGTTTCTGGTCATCGGATTAGTCAGTTATACTTAAATTGATCTTACAATCATTATCTAATCGGACTACACTACATTATTTCCGAAAATCTGCACTTGATATCAGTTTTCGCAAATAGGACATCAGGTCAATATATCAACTACACCATCTTAATTGGTGATTGTATTTATCAGTGTATTAGGACTGTTATTAGAACATTCCTAACCAATTAAATTCACAAAATGGGATACTTTATTATATTAATAGTAGTCTATTAACTTCATTATAGTATAATCGGAGCGTAAACCATATTAGCAATATAACCAAAGTCAATTTTTTTCTTTCGGTTATTGAATGAGAAAGTAAGTTTCAAATTATCCTTCGACCACTTAAAGTTCAGAAAGTTAATATGGTGAGTGAAAAGTGAAAATGTCAACATAATTATTTGCTATCATCATCACGAATTTGTATCAATGCTGAAATATGAGCTATGTCGGGTGATCAAGTCATTAAATTGAGTAAAATTGTGTTAATAATTGGCAACAACTTTGTGCAATTATGTTATGACACATTATTTGAATGGATTGGATTCTGACAACAGGCAGATTCTCACAAGTAATGGTCCTGGAATTTAAATAGCCTTTAATCTTGACGAACGGCACATAATCGCCTAGCAAATGCCACGCCAACTCTCTAATGAGCTATCTCATTGCTACATGGTGTGATACGACGCAGAAGAGTGTCGAAATTTTTGCGATTAATATTATCTCTTATCGCCATAATTACAACCCTGGCATGATTTACAACGAAAATGACTTTTATATTTTTGTTAAATCTGATAGACTTGATCTGAATCTAATAAGATAATCCGTGTACTGGTCAACCTGGAACATATATTTTAAGAAATCGGCAAGAGATTGATAAGCATAGTTTCTGATAATTTTTGAAGGGTATTCGATAAAATCGCATGGAAATCTGGTGACCTTAATGAGTCATTAGCACATTACCACATTACCCCAACTGGAATTTTGTAAGAATGATCAGGGAAAGATCAGTGCCGAGAGGTTTGACCCTACGGTAGAAAGGATCCTTTTGTGAGGTTCTAAAGCACAGTCGGTCAAAGCGTTGGTTCTAAACACGACGTCATTTGGATGGTAACGTTTAATGTGATAGTCATAATTCCAGTGGACCCATCTATAAATGGGTACTGATAATCCGGGAAAGATCAATGCTAAGAGGTGTGGACAAGGACCAGCTGGTAGAAAGAATCCTTAACTGTGAACCTAAGTTGTTATCCTTGTAAAATATAGGCCTAGTTTTTTTGTTTTGTTTTCTTTTTTCTTTCTTTTCTTTCGTGAAAAAACAAGATTACTGTATTTGTGAAATTTCGATATACGAATACGAACTAAAGGATTCTAATTAGTCCACTTTTGAAACTAGATAATTATAGCTTGAAGACGATTTGTTTCTGATAACAAACGTTTGGTTTTGGGTCAACCCATTATGTTTCTAGAAATTAATCAGTTAAGAACTCTGGAAATGTCAACTATTAACACGGTAACAAACCTAAGGTAGACCAATTAAAATTCTTGAACTTCTGTTGTTAAGATTGTGGTGTTACTGACGATAAAGGCATGGTATTTGAAAGTAGTCCGCATGGACAAACTTTGAAAGAAATCTGATTTTAAACTACTGCTAGCAGATGACGGCATATTTGAGAATCCGAATTGCAACGGCGACTGAAAAATGTCAATTGTCGTCACAAGTTGCTCATGTTCTAATTTCTAACAAAAATCGGACCCGGGCCTTGACTTCAGCGGTCTGAATCTGCAACCATTCGGTTGATTGCGGACGTCAACAGTCGGCAATCTTATGCTTCAGCTCTGCGAAGGATGCGATGCCGTTAATTGCCAGTTGCCTGCTCTTATGGCTACTTTTCATACTTACTTTAAAACCTTCAAATTGGTAGAGTCTATAAGGAATATCACTTCTTGATGTAGTAACCAGTACACTTAATCCACGTAAAGCATTACTCACTGGGTTGGGATTAATTACTTTTTTCGTCTTTTTCAACTTTAACGTATCAACCGTGAAACAGATTCCCATTTCAGTCACTCGCGTAGTTAAGGCAGCACTACAGTCTTCCCAGTAATAATCTCCCCAAGCACACCGTAGTCCCGTGCCTTTGATCATACTGTCCACTTGAGTAAAGATTGTATCCACAATTTCTTCAGCAGATTTGTTTCCAATGGGCGGGGCATTTTTATACAAGCCTGTCAGCAGTCTTTTGCCCACTAAATGGTAGATACCGGTAATTTCTGTTAAATGTGGCATGGCCATTTGAGTTCGATTCGACATGTCTTGGATAAATTCCTTATTAAATATATTTAAATCACAGATAGTAACTGCAGGAAAATCATCTTCGTCTACGTAACGAATGTTAACACTAGTAACAGTGGGGTAACGATAATAATCCGACAGCTGAACGTATATTGTCGTCACCAATAACGCTGCCATAACAAGCACCACTATCACCCAAAATATACTGAAAAATACAAAATTAAGAATTTGCATACTCTTAAGATGCTATTTAGATAAAACGTCATAAGCAGTATAAGTACAATATATTCCATACTTTTACAATATATATCTTAATATAGGTTTCCAAATCTAACCACGAACATATTAAAAACTGAGGAAGTATAAATACGGTTGCCTTGAAGGAACTACAAGAAGAGCTACTATCTTCTGATTTCTGTACCTATTACTTAAGATGTCTTTTCTATATATTGCAGTGTCTCAAGAAAGAAAAAACGATTCGTCTTTTTGATTTTCAAACGCAGATAATTCTGAATACACATGGATTTGAAGGTTCAAATTTCGAAATCTCAAAATACAATTACTGACTGACTCAGCTTCCGTTTCTGAGACTAAGGTACGATTGGTCAAAGAGTGGCGCTTCTGTCCTTATAATATATTTATTTGGCTATATGATTCTTTCATATTCGGAAGAACAAAAATGTTCATCATTTACTAGGAGATTTAGCTTTTAGAGAAAGGAGGGGTGAGTTTTCTCAATTGCACAGGCTCAGGGAGGAACCAATACTTCAGTAAGAAATTGGAGGCCTCGATTGACAAAAAGGTTTACATGTCTAATAAGTATTGTTTAGATCTGATAATAAATAAACATTCTCTTTATTCGTCGACATTTAAGATCTACGTTAAATTTTTTATATCAGTCTGGCTCATTTCCATGTCTCTAAAAGTGCTAAAAAAAAACCACAATTTCCTCACAAATTACACGCGGGTTGCAAGCAGGTCAATCGCTAAGGGTGTTAGTTGGTTTCTATTGTCATGCGAATAGAACTGGTGACTTCGGTAATATCAGCTGTCCTTATTCAAGTGGATCCCTTCGCCCATCGTTTCAGTTGTCTGTTCCCGGTGGCAGCGCCAAACCTCCGAGAATGGGGGTACAAATATGAGGCAGACTGACAAAATGGGGGGAGGGGGGGGGGGGGCTGTCGAGGCTGAAATTCAAAGAATGGCAACTGTGTGGAGGCGTCATAGGCTCAGGCCTCTGATGAAGCGACTGAAAAAAAAAATTTCCGAAAAAGTTAACTGATTTGGCTCATTTTGACATATTCTAGAGCAAAAACGTATAAAATTGGTTTAAAATAAAGTGGAAGACAATTAGGGATACAAACCAATTTTCCCTTTTTTCCCTGTACCTCCACTGGCGCCGCCACTATCTGATCCTTTTGTTACCCATTGATATTACAAACCTAATTAAGAATCACAAAATGAGACGAAATGTTTTGTTAAGTGAACGCAAAGCTGTTAATGAGTACGCACAATCTGGAAACGATAATTGCTAGAAAGTTTGGCACAGAACCCGCTAGTAGCAAACTAACTACATCATGGTAGCGTTTCTTAAAGGGAGAGATGCGTCATTTTGGGGGATAGATTTGAGTCTTGAATATAAATAGTAGTACCAGAAATGTACGAAAATTGCATAATTCCTTAAAAAATATCCCAAACTAAGAATTTCTTGTCCTATTTCTATAGATGTCTTTTTTATGTATGGCAGTGTTTCAAGAAAAAACAACGTCTTTTCATCTTTCAAACGCGGGTAATTCTGGGCACACATGGATTTGAAGGCTCAAATTTCAACTGTGAGCTGCGAACACTATTACTGATAGGCTTAGCTAAACAAGTCCTGTTTCTGAGGTACGATTGATAAAAAAAAATGGCGCATTCGACCCCTTAATGATATCTATAGATATCTTCAAAAGGTGTAGGCCTACTGGGTGCAAGTTTGTTTTTCGGCTATCCCTTGAGAGAACATTCATTACTTATCATGTCGCCCAATCAGTGGCGCTAGTAGTTTTCGTGGGTCGAATCTCTATCGCCATGCGAAGATCCGGTGACCTTGAATACAACAGCTTTCCTCATTATCAGGTCGATGCAACCTAACATATCTCAAAAAGGTGCACCGAGTGCAAGTTTGTTATTTTCTGCAATGTCCCTTGATGTACATCCAGAACATAAATTACAAATCCGTAACTGAAACTGTGAAATATATTTCATCGAACTAAAAGTAAACATTTTAAAGCCATTAAATTTTGATAAAAACATTTGATTTGAAATACGACTTTGATAATGGAAAATACGTTAAAAATGCCTTAGAGAAACTCTTTCAATTCCTTATATTTCTTATGCTGGTGTTAAAACATATCTCGACACATGGATAATCACTTCCTTATGGACAAACACAGTTAAAGTGCAGAAGATTTGACCATGCTACAGGTACGATCTTTGTCCCTGGATTTTCAAGGCTGCTAGCATCTGATGGCACCGGGAAGTATATGACCGATCGATGTGTGCAGCTGCTCAACTAAATGAGTGGGTTGGAGCCCCTCCACTGGGAATATATGCTCTTCTGCATTCTGAGACCCATCTGTAAGTCAATTTAATGCCTGTTAATGGAAGATTAAATTTCATTCTGCAGTTAGTGCTATTTCGCTCATTTATATAGTTTTTTCTATTTTGTATTTTTGTCAGGGGGTGAGGGTGCACTTAACGAAGGAGGCCCGGCCTGTGGACTTGGTTCAATCAGTCCCTATATATAGTAGTTGAGCCGCTGGATGTATCTCAGCGACTGAAAAAAAAAACATTAGTTGCTCATGTTCGACTCCCTATCAAAAGCTAGATCTGGTCGTCGATCTAATCAGTCGGACTCTGCGTTCATCCAACCCATGTGACGAATCGGATGAGTCACTCAGTCAAACTCATCTTATTTTATTATATCGATTCTTTTTTTTTAAATTTAAACGATAGCTTGAATAATGTTATTACCTAATCAAACCTTGCGAACTTTAAAACCCCGCCTCCTCCATTTGTGTTACTGAGTAAACTGTAAATCAAAATCCCAAGAAAAGTGTTGAGAACTAGTATCCTGCAGTTTAAAAAGTATCAATTACACTTTGAAAGTCCCTTTGAACACTGCGTCCAATTCTGTTACCCCGCAGTTTACAAAAAGACGACAAAAAGGCAAAAGGTTAATCAAAGAATTAATAAAAAAAAATTTATGGACTAAACATCATCAACTTTCTTTAAAGATTCGTAAATTTAAAGTTCTGCTTTCAATAACTGAAGACTTTGAAGTCCTTTATGATTTCCATCATGGAATCATTGATTGAATTGAAAACAGTATCTGACAGGAATTTATGCTAGGGAATTTTTTCAAATTCTTTGTGAATTCATTTCCAGTCGTATTTTATGTTAAGCCATGCACAATGTGAATTATTTCATTATCAATGATACGAACTAAAATAAACTTCCAATGGAAATCTTTATAACACAGGTCGTTCTCAATTTATGTTTTATGAAAAGTCCCCCATATTCGCTGAACAGTAGTTAACTCGATGTCGAAGTATGTGGGCTATATCACTTCGTCGTCTAATAGATTGTAAAAGATAACTGAAGATGATTTTTGTCCCTTGTCATCGGATAAATCGATCTTACATTCATGGACTCTTATCACATCATCCTTAAATCTGTGTTTGATTACACTTTTTGTAAATACGACAACCATATAAAAAACAAATCAGCAGTTTCGTCGAAGCATGTGAGTTTCGTTTCGTCCGAATGGTACCTCAAGATAACAATGATCAGGTCAAAAGGTCAGTAGTTTCAGTCCCTGAACCGCTCTTCCTTAGAATATAAGCATTCTCAATACACGAGCAATTTTTAGTTTCGTTTGTGGCCAATTTGCGTTTAAGACTCATCTAAAATGAGATTTTCAATATTCAGTAATGTACAATGTAATCTGATTTAGTAACGCATGTTTATTTGATAACTATAATGACGTTATCTGAACTACAGATGAAGTTAATCATATTTGCAGGTACATATTCCTGGATCTTCATGCACTTGTCTCAATATAATTTGTTATCTCTTTGAAATGCAGAATAATTAATTGAAGAATGCAAACTAAGATATCCTCTACCACGATACATGCGTTCCATTCGACTACTATCTTGTACCTTATTCACTAATTAATGACCATGTTTAATTAATGCTTTTCGTGTGATTTTCAATGCACTGACATTGACCAGCAGACATCCAATTAATGAAAACTCTGGTCGACTTGTTTTGCAAAGTAACAGTACAGTGGAAGTGTACATATCGAGAAATTGGTCGTTCTTAAGCAACTGGATTGTGGCTGCTTTGACCAGTTTGGTCAAATATCATAGTAAATATTAAAAAAAACATGAGCAAACGGCTTCACCACAAAAATAACTTCTCTTACATGACGCAAGTTGCAAACTATCCAGCTATCAGTTTCCGACAGTTGCAAGGTAGATCTGAGTCTTAGATCATATATACTGTTAATCTGTTGTTATCAAAATGGCGTTATCTTTACCCCTGATGGAACAGTTATAAAATGCATAATGAAAGGTATGCCAAGATGTTCATACCTTTGTCTTAGTCTAATTAATTCTGATAAATAGCACATGCCATTAAATAACTACGCCTTAGCGGGCATATCAAAATACAGACATTCCATTGCGCAGGCAATATAGCCATTAAGTAGAAAGTTTCAACAAAATGATGTATTTATTTGATTGTAAGGATAGGTTTTATTTTAACCACAGGTGGTAATACTTCTAGTTTTATTACACATTGCAATGGGAATTCAGAAATTCTTATTTTGTTACCACTGTTGGGAAATGTGCCAATAATTATGCCTTTACTTTGTCTTTCATTTTACCAGTTGAATTCAAAGGCTTGTATGTAATCCCTAACTCATCAACCGGACGTGAAATTTAATTATAATATTTCATACAGCGGAAAGAAATTATAGAATTTGTTATTGAAGTAATATTGTTTTTTTTAACAAATTAAATTTTGTTTCGACTCCATATTATTGATGTCACCGAATATTATTCAAAATTCAATAGTTTCGTCCTGTGGTATAAAATTTAATAATCCATATTATTTGTTATGCCTATTTGGCGCATTATATTTTACGATTGACATTTAAAGGATCTAAAGTAACGGATCATTTTTAAATTCCACTTAATTTCACTACAAAATATCTTTTAAGTGTCTGGAACACTTAACATAACCTAATCATGAAGAAACAAAAATTACTCTTTCTAACCTGTGCATTTAAACTAATTATTATTTTAACAGCAGAACTTGGCAATATGTTACCTAACAATGATCTATTTATACTATGTACTAGATTATAGTATCTTGTTAATCTGTTCCAAGCTTCTCGGGTCACCTGTTTTATAACCATTCCAACGCCTTTCATCACCAGACTTCACCTTAATGATGAATACTAAGTAAAGTAAGTATCTCCAGCCTTCATCTTTATGTTTATAGCTATCGGGGGTTCTTCCCTGTTTAATAAACGTGATGGTCTCCTGATATACGACGATCAGATTCAAACGACCCACCATGAAAGTGGATTAGGTAATCAAATAATAATGAACTGGTCCACACTCAAACGGAACGTGCACAAATTTAATGGAAGGAAGACCGACACATAAATTTTAACCTGGTAAATCAGAGAAAGAAAGAAAAATTTCACTTAAATATTGAAACGGTGTACATCGTAATTCAATGGCCTATATATCACTAAAATATAGTTGCCAATGTGCCACATTAGAATAGGCTATTCAGCCGTGGGAAAATTAACTCAAAAGGGGCTATATATACTAGTTTTGAGGCGCTTTGTAGTCTAGCATAAATTTTGACAATTATGATTCATCAGTCCTTCTATTCAGGCAGGCGGAAAAGAGGATCCTGAAATGAGTCATGGAAAGAAAACAGTTAGAATGCATTAGAATGACCTGAATAAAAGTATTCTCGCAATGCTAAATAATATGATGAGTGGTTTCAGCCATTATTATATTTCAAATTATGCTATTTAGGGCAGTTATCGTGTCACATACTAAGCGAAAACTGTCGATGACTATAAGTGAAATGTTTAGTTTGAGTTGAATAACATTTGAATATAGATGAAATCTACACAACAAATTATTTCATATTCTATGGATGTTATTCATTCATTTGTTTTGTTGTGATGATGATATATCTTGAACATATGCACAGTTTTTATCAAATGATCGGGTTCGACGTCATAATGTACTGTTCTTGAAAATAAAGAAGGCAATTGTTACACAAGCATTGCATTAAAGGAGCAGTATGCACAATTTTTAATAAAAAAATATTATAAATTATATCTGAAAATATTTCTAAAATATGCAATTTTCACCTATGTATTTACTACATCAAACCGAATTTTGTTTTAAAATGGTTAATTTAAAACAGAGTGTACTATTTGTTAAGTGAGCGGCTTAAACTAGTTTTGGTGTTTGGCTTCATGAAGACATTAGATATTTTTTGTTGAAACTTTAGAATACGTAGGAGACATGTTTTCTTAATTAAAGCGTATAATTTGCTTAAATCCACACGATAGTTTTCTAACACATACGAAAAAGCATAACAAACTTTAACAGTTTAGGCACACCTTTAAAATAGTTTTAACGTTAAAAATTAGCGTCAGAATGGTAAAGTCGTAGCTCTCCTAATTTCTTTATCAATATGGTTATTAAAAAGAAATAACGGAACGTTCAACCACGATTTCATACGACTACATATTATGGTTCCGTGGTTTCTTCTACATGAACAAAAACAAAGTCTGGTAACATTTAAATCGCGATATTCTTTTTGTTTCACCTAACTAATAGTTTAATAACAATACAAGTGTACTCAACTATGTTAATCTGATCAAATGCATGAAAAATGTCTACAAAGGAATGCGATCGCCCAAGTAGAAAATTACCCCCACACAGACCAGTCTTTTGACTTCAAAACACATGCTTACATGATCAATAAGTAAAATACTCAGTATCGGTCTCATTGCAGCTATTTTAAAGATAAGAAACACCACAAAACAGAATCTGTAGATAATCCATAGTCAGTTGTACAATACTTATACAATGCCAGTTATACAATACAAATACAGTATCAGTTATACAATACTTATATAATGTAAATTATACAATGCAGAGACAATGTCAGTTATACAGTACTTATACAATGTCACCTATAAAATACTTATACAATGTCTGTTATACAATACAAATACAATGTCAGTTATACAATACAAATACAATGTCAGTTATACAATACTTATATAATGTAAATAATACAATGCAGAGACAATGTCAGTTATACAGTACTTATACAATGTCACCTATAAAATACTTATACAATGCCAGGTATACAATACACATATAATGTCAGTTAAACAATACAGATACTATGTCAGTTATACAATACAAATACAATGTCAGTTATACAATACTTATATAATGTAAATTATACAATGCAGAGACAATGTCAGTTATACAGTACTTATACAATGTCACCTATAAAATACTTATACAATGTCAGTTATACTTATACAAAATCAGTTATCCAATACAAATGCAATGTCAGTTATACAATACTTATACAATGTCAATTATACAATGCAGAGACAATATCAGTTATACAATACATATACAATGTCAGCTATACAATACTTATACAATGTCAGTTATACAGTATTTATACAAAATCAGTTATACAATACTTATACAATGCCAGCTATACAATACTTATACAATGTCAGTTATACAGTACTTATACAAAGTCAGTTATACAAAACAGAGACAATGTCAGTTATCCCATACAAATTCAATGTCAGTTATCCAATACAAATACAATGTTAGTTATACAATACAAATCAATGTCAGTTATACAATACCTATACAATGTCAGCTATACAATACCTATACAATGTCAGTTATACAGTACTTATACAATGTCAGTTATACAATACATATATATACAATGGCGGTCATACAATACTTGTATAATGCAATGCCATCGACCTTCCCTATCTAACTCTTATAATCGAGTCATTTTCTGCCTCGAAAGCATGTACACAAGAGCGAAAAATAAGTAAAAAACAAAAAGTAGAAAGAAAGTCTCGATTAGATAAGAACTCAGTAATAAATAATGATAGGATAAAGTCAAATAAACACAAGCCACATGTGTTTCGATCTGAATTCAAAAGAGGAAGGCATCAAATAAAAGTAAATAAAGCAGGCATCATTTTTTGAATGTTACCCTTAAGTCTGGTCGCAATCATTTTAACGGAACTTGTTGGAATTTCATCAATCAAGTTCTAGATTTCACTCCATCAATTTGATTAAATCTATTAAGATAAACGGAGAATCGTTTGTCAAAATAAGATGGAAGATTATCGGAATTTCTCGTTGAACATGTAATGTAATATATCAATGCTGTTTTTATTATAAACCTACATTTTTTTGATAAAATGATGTAAAAAAGACCCATCACTTGACAATTTATAACATTCAGAAAATAAAATTTTAAACATTAAAAATGACGATCGGATCGAATAAATAGATATATCATTCCGCATAAATATCAAACGTCAATCGTGTTTAATTTTGATGTGTTTACAGATTTTGTTACCAAATTTCGAGGATTGGTGGTGGAAATTTCACCAAAAGAAACTTATCTGAGATAATCAAAATTGCAATAGTTTTGCGACGTTTTATTTAATATATGAATTAAAGCATAATCTACAAAGTCATATTTAGGTTTTGAATTTGTAACGTCCAATTTTAGAATGCTGACAAACTTTGTTTTTTTTTCTGACTTTGAACTAAAACTAAGTATTTGATTACGTCACTAATCGCGAAGGGCCTTAGGTGATAAGGCACATTTAAGATTACTGACGTCCTGAACCTAATGTTATTGGAATTGCAGGAACTTCAGCTACCTAACTGAAAATTGTAATGGAGCAAATTGATGCTGTGTCCCCGATACACATAAAAATTTTATGAAAACCTCTTTACGATCCCTTTAAGATCACACTTTAATTTCAATCGATCCAATTAACATATCAATCAAACATTGTTCAATATGCATGCATATAGTAAAATGTAAAGCTTACTGTCGACCACGATAAAGTTGGGTATCCACAATGGAAGGAACTCCGTGCATGGATGAATTTCTGGCATAATGTTTCAAAAGACCCTTTACATTGGTGTCTTCCCTATCTGCGTCCTTCACGGTAACTTCGGATTTTTCCTTCATCCTTAACAGTTTAAATCCGACTCCTTCACAAATCCATGGAATATTTCGAAAAAATATTGGCGAAACTTTTTCAAATTCACGAAATCAGACATTCAAACCCGTGTAAATTAAAACATAATCTACATATATGAATGGTGTTTCGTTGCTCTATCGTTTTTGTGGTGTAAGTATAACTGTGCTCACGATGTGATGATGCCAACACCATAGATTCAAATGAGTAAGAATTACTGTTACACACGTGTGTAAGAGCGAAGTTGATAAACAAAATTACGTTTAGTATGTACATATAATAGCATGATTAAGTATACTTCAAATATCATTATTTTTAAATATATAAGTCGTATTAATGGTTATCTGAGAATAAAAATTCAAGAGGATACATGATTATGCTGTTATTATTTTTTTTAATGTCGATTTGATTGTACCGCCATTCAAATGGAAACATGCAATTTCTTCTTTACCCATAAAATGTATTAATACCAAAGCAATAAAATCTTCGGCCTATATACAACTCATACTGAACACTCACATTAGAGCAGTAATGAGCGCTGTTCTCAATTTTTTGAAAGGTTTGAAAAGTTTGAAATGTATAAGCAAGTTTTCGACAACTACTGTACATCATGCCCTCGCCTATGATGTTTGATATTGAAAATGAGACTAATTCATCAAAAGTTTAAGGGGTAAGATAAACCATTCTTCCGTGCCTTCTGCTGACGTTAAGAGGAGATGGAATGAATGTAGTTTTACGTCCTACTCTTCTGCCCCTAATTGGGCTAATGCCGTGCAGTGTGCAATGGGGTTACTTTTGCCAGGAAAGCTGCATTAATTTACTCTTCTTCGATTTTTCACTGTCGAAGCATCTCTAACGTGCACAGCCTGTTGCAAGTTGCACACGGACGCCTCGATTTATTGTCCCATCCGAACGACTACATGCTTTTACAGCCCTAACGTTTAGAAAAGGTAAAAGTAGAATTTTGGAACACATTCAAGCTTTCGCTTCTTTAAAAAAAAAACGGACTAACAACTTTTGATAATGACGTCATTTTCAAACAGAATAATATGGAGTTGTTCGCTCCAATTTGAATTCACTTGGTAAACTAAAAGCATAATCGTTAACGAAGGTGTAATTAAAAACGCAATATTGACGTTAATAGCTCTATGGACTTTAGGGAAGTTAAAATGTCAAACCCAGTCGGAGAGTGACATCGGATCATGATTACTTTCCTGGCACGCTATATATTTTACTGTCTGAATTTTTAATTACTTGTTTGTTTTTGCCTTTGACATGAAGCTATATCAGCTTTACTATTTAGCGATATCAGCTTTACCATTTAGCGATTTTGGCTCTACCGTTAAGCGATATCAGCTTTACCGTTCAGCTTTACAATTTGGCGATATAAGCTATACTATTTAGCCATATCAGCTTCACCATTTAGCGATATCGATCAGTAATATCAGCATTACCATTTAGCGATATCAGCATTGCCAGTAAGCGATATCGGCTATAGCGTTTAGCGATATAACCTTTACAATATAGCGATATCAGCATTACCATTTAGCTATGTTAGTTTTACCATTTAGCCATGTCAGCTTTACCATTTAGCTATATCGGCTTTACCATTTAGTGATATGATCTGAAGCATTTAGAGATATCAGCTTTAACATTTTCAGGGATATCAGCGCTTTTAGCAATATCAGCTTTCCCATTTACCGATATCAGCTTTACCATTTAGCGATATCAGCTTTACCTTTTAGCGATATCAGCTTTACCATTTAGCGATACTAGCTTTACCATTTATCAATATCAGCTTTACCATTTAACGATATCAGCTTTACCATTTAGCGATGTCAGCTTTACGGTCAGAATTTCAATTAATGATTTTACGACTACACACAGATTGCGTTCGTTATATCTATGAACTCATATAATTGTCTTTGACCCGTGCGAAAAGGTGGTTTATGAGTCTCTAGCAGACTCGTTTATTTTCACCTTAACATTTATTATGACAATATATCCTAATTCATGAGACTTTTATGAAGTTTTTGTGATAACCGCAATTTGATACGAATATTTCCTCGTGATAACAATCAAGTAATCCTAACAATCGTGTCAGAGGGTTAATTTCTTTCACGGCAATATATGTGACCTACATACCACACTGTTTATTGTCAATATTATGAGTCCTATAACTTGGTTGGGCAAAATATAGAATTATGTGGGGTTTTGTTAACTCTACACCCACATAACTTATAATGTTTATTAGTTGAGAATTTTGTCTTGATGCACGAAACGCAGTACTTCTTCAATAACACTTAAACAACCCTATCAAATTTTCAGAAAGCTATTTCGATCCATACTTTTTTAATTACAATTTAAACTTTTCAATAATTAGTAAGTTGGGTACTGTAAGAGACCCTTGATACCACTGGGAGACGTGGTTGTCATGTATCAATCATCACATTTTCCCCATGTTAACTGAACACGATTTAAAATTTTTAAAACTGCGAAGTTCGACCTAATTATGAGTTCAAGAAACTTTGAAACTGAAAGAGGAAATTACATACTTGAAGCCATGATTTACTCTATAAGAATTTAATGACCTCATTATCAACAAATTAAACGACAATCAAAGAAACTTAATGACTTATCTCAGAAAAAGATCCTACTTACTTTCTTCCTCTATAAAGCTTGGAACCAACAATTGAAGGTACACCATGCATAGTAGAGTGTTTGGCATAATGTACCAACAGGTCCCTAACCTGGATAGCATCAGGAGTAGTGGTCTTGGTGTCATCCTTCTCATCCATATACATCTTCATGCTTTCTTCTGGCACTATGGCTTGAGACCTACAATAACCAAGAAAATATTTATGTCTTTAAATTTTACCCTGAAGCATAGCTCGTGTTTAATTGTAGGGGAACTTTTCATCGACGCAGCATACGGTACAGTTGTCGATAGAACCGAGATTAGAAGAAATAATCGTTTCCGCATATTATCCGGGTGGTCTTGTATGTTCCTTTTTTATTTGCTACTGTATAAAAGGCCAACACCACACTGGAACTAGTCTAGTCGCTCCTTGTAGCCCTGTCACACCGGACTGCAGCCATTTGCGATCTTACAGCGACATGAAATGTACCAGTCGCGATCAAACTGGAGGAAAACTAGAGAAAAGTATCTAAAACTCCGAGTATCTAGAATTCCGCGACAACATTGCGTTGTAATGTTTACTGCGCTTTCATACTGCTCAAGGAGAGGTTACAACGCTTGTCTGACGACCTTCTCGATTCCATGGGGTTTTCAGCTCATTGCAGAACATGTCCAAAATAAACGCTGAGACTCCACGAATAGTGGCGACAATCGCATAATGTGTGGCATGTCCTGTTCCCTAATGTCCTACACGCTCATATCACACTGATGACGACCTTAACTCTGAGCGTACTTCCCATCACAGTGTGACGGATCCATTAAATCTACAAACAACAAATATTAATAGCACAGTGTCTATAAAATTCCGATAAGAGCTATGAAGATAATGCAATGTATTCTGCTTCTTTTTCTTTTGTAGTCATTAATATTTCGTAAACATCCCAATGTTAAAAGTCTTGTAGTACATTTTCCTTTTTACTATACAGACCAGACACACAATCATCTATTAACGCTATGAACCGTTAATGAGGCTTAGAGCTAAAATAATGATGAAACTGACGATCGCAATTATTTTTTATCATAAATTTCCACTCAATTCAGCTAAAACGAGACAATGGGACAATTACGCATGAATATGATATATATTTTTTTCATATTTGTCGTCAATAATATCTAGGAGTGGTATAAATATTCTGATAAATAAATATTGATGCTTCATTTGGTGTTTGTTATCCATGATCTAGCGCAATTCTGTTTAGGCAAACAGTAGTGGCAAAGATTGTCATAATTAAAGCACTCCAATCGAAACTATTGTTAAACAAAGTCAATGTTAATAATGAAAATCACAGAATGAAGTTGTAAATAAAACAGTGTATTTGGGTTGAATAATTAAATGACACAAATATATTCGCCTTGAATATCAACCGGACTCATCCACATTAACCTTTATGACCAAACGAATACTGTTTTGTTGCCATAACGCAGTTTTATCAATTTTTACTACATTAATTATTGTTGAACATTATTATGGCACACCTGTTACACGATACATCAAATAAAAAATAAAAAAAGAGTTTATTGACGTAGTCATGCCCTACAGATTGTCTTCTTTAATCAGATAACACATACATATAATATATTTATTCATTATGTTTATTGATGGTTATGACTTGAAACAAAAGTGTATTGCAATTCAGGGCACAATTCAATGACTCTATAAGCTTTGACGAAAACATACAAGGGTGTATGCATTGTAGATGTCTATGTAAAGTTCGCTTTGAGTGCACTAAATATGATTTTCTAGCTTTTTGTGTACATTACATATCGGACGAAAAGGCACATCGGAACCGGTCATTTATGATCTTCGCTGTAAAGCCTGCAGTCGTTATCAAGTACTTCAAATCCCTATTTTGAGCAGAGCATAAGTGGATTTGATTTTGATATATAATTTAGAGCGGTATAGCGTACCTATACCAATTGCCTTGCACAGTTGAATTTCAGGATTTAGAGTATAAGTCAACCGAAATGAAAAAAAGGTACATTTCTCTTCCTTTTTTTTTCGAAATCTGAATTATTATATATAATATCACTCTCCTTTCATTTTCAGAAACAACCTTAAGTTCAACATGTTGATCACTTATTGGTGATAATTGGTCTTATCAGTCGGCACATTATGACACAAATGGTCCCAATTTGTTCGGAATTACTCGCATCTTACCAAGAAAAAAAACTTTGACCCAAAACATAATTTAGAATGTAATAGAGGTTAACATGTGCATAATTGGGATGAGATAAAGCCTTGGTCTGTATCATCCAGTCTTAATTCTTAGCATTTTGACACTGCTAGTTAAT